ATCATAGTAACCAAAACAAAGAAGGAAATTTTTGTCCACTTTACAAAAATATATCATTTTTCAATAAAAATATAAAATTAATTTTCATTTTTTCGAATATTTTGTATGATTTTGTTCGTATGTTAGTACGTCTTCAAAAACCCGAAACCCGACGGAAGACCGTGCTCGGGTTTTTCGACGAAAAGACCGTACTTAAACCCGAAAAAAACCCGACCCGGAAAACCCTACTTTCAGGGAATGTAAGTCGATCCACCGTTATCACTCAGCAAATAATTTGAGACGAATCTTTATTTCTTTCATTCATTTAGGAGATAGATTCACAAGCACTTCTAGTGAGTTGACAGAAGTAGGTAAGCCAATGAATATTAATACCAATATTATTATTTTTTTCTTTTACAGTTTGTCCAATTTTGAAGAACGGAATTCCAATTGGTGATTAAAACGAAGAACGACGACGACATTTTTTAGCCTAAGCTGGTGTTTCGTTTGCTTGCTGATTTAAGACTTCATTTACATTATGAATACCAAATAAAGAATAAATTGTTCACAACACCTTCGTTGAGTATTGTGAAGAAACAATCGCTTGAGCTTCAACAATTGTTGTGCGAAATAAGATGCTGAACGAACACACCTCGTCGTTCAGAAGATTATTCTTTTCCAACACCGTTTAAGAAAATTATGAGTTCAAGTAAAGAAAGAAAGTTTTTCTAGCAACTTCTTACCGTTGCAAAGCGACAAAGCAATTAAAGACAAATTAAGGAAAGGGAAACTTCTTCAAAAAACGCTTTCCATTAGAGCAAAGTTGAGTTGGGAAATGTCATTTGATTGGTGATCATTAAAAGTGAAATTTGATAACATTTGATCGAAATAAAGTTCATTAAACTCTGCTAGAAACGCATAGAAATTTAAATTTCATCTGGAAATAAACATGAAGGAAAAAAGAAAGAAAAACGAAAATGACAAACAAGTTTCTGATTTGTTTACATACGCAAAACAATTTTTATCTAAGAAATCAAAACTATGTCATTGCGAAAATAACTACATATGTAAAATAAGTATGCAAGCAGATACTTATAATTTGGAAAGTAATTTTTTGTGTCATTGAAGAAGACGAGGAACAAGACAAACAAGATTGAAAGAATTAAAATATTTTGACATGGAAAAATTTAAATTCATTTGAAAATTCTGTTCCTAAATATTAATAACGTGAAGCATTGTTTGAAATATCTGAAACATGTGAAGTTACTTCGTATTAGTTTCTAAGCTCTCAGAATTGTTTTCGATTAATGTAATTTGTATTCAAATCATAATTCTAAATGCATAAAATGTGACATTCTATTTATATTTCCCAGAAGAAACAAAAATTGACTTAATTTAATCCAAAAAAAAATTCAATCAAACAAAACAATTTGAGACTTATTTTCATTGTTACATGCATGTAGTTGATATTATTGAAATATTTCAAGCTTAACAAATAAGAAAAATTTGGATAAAAACAATTGACAATGAAAGTTTCGTTGTCTGTCAGACGAAGTGAAAATTACAAGAAGATTTCCTTTAAAATCTCGGTCATAATTTAGCAGAAAAGCAGAGCAAAAGTCAAATGAAGCTTGATCTGACTTCCAGAAGCATTATTTATAGAAGAATCTGGAATGTGAGAAGTGGATCTCAAAAGCCCACAAACAACGATGATTTTGGGGTAATTTCCATCAATCCAACAAACGATCTTTAACATTAGTCATCATGGAGAAATTTTTTCCTCGTATTAAGTCGTTGAAATCTTCCGATTTAAATAGGTCAACACTGTTCGATACATCGAGCAACTCATCTTACAACTTATTGAAGTAATTTCTGATTATTACACCTTTATAGTAATTCTTTCATGTGAATGTTTATAATCGTTGATTTGGGTCAAGTTCACCGACAAGGGTCGAGGAAGAAGAAAACTTGAAATTTCTTCCAAATTAACATCAAAACAGGTTCTTGATTTCCATTCAATCTTTACTCGTTTTTCCGATCGATTGAGTTGAATAAGCAAAATCTAGTATGTAACTTGAAGCGGTTCATTGACTTTTGACTCAATTTAATCAAACCTTACCGCACGTCGCATGGCATTTCTTCAGGTTCTTTCTTTTGATTGCTTCAACTCAATGATATAAAAACTCTTTTTTTTTTTGACAACGTTTAGTTCTTGAATCAGAAACTGTTATACCTTTTTGGATATCTTGTCGCGACTCGGTATATCTATACACGATTTATAAGACCGTTGGGAAATATTTGTCTCACTCATTAAAAATTAATTTAATATTGAAAGAAGACTTTCTTTCAGTTCTACATTCTTACCGTTATTCGCTACTGGTTTTTCGATTCGTTCTAGTTTTTGACTTTAGATTTTACTCGTCTTTTCAATGAGAAAGAATTTCTCTATTGTCACTTAATCTCTAAGAACTTTCTTCTATCTTTCTTTTTTGCTTTTAATTGATAATTGTTTTCTAAAAGTTTTTCTTCTTTGATCTCAACTTTTATAAGAAAATAATTTTCCTTCACTTGATTTCTTCTTTCTTTTTCTTTTCCACTTTTTTCTTGCACACCTTAAGTCTTCAACTGCTAAATACAAACTGCCAGTAACAGTTTACGAATTTCATCGTCTCAACAGTGCTCGCTCAAGTTCTATTTTTCAGCTCTTTCTATCGCATGTCGCTTAACTTTGTTTTTTTTTTCTTCTTCATCTCGCAATTCCGGAGGAGAAAGAAATTACTTTTTTTTCGTTCCATCTTTCTTATGTTGAGTAATTTGTTGTTTAAAAATTATGTATGGTTTTTTAACAAGCCAATGTTCATGTATTGCCTTGTTGTTTTGTAACTTTGGAATATTCAACTAGTGATGTTGCCCGTTACTATGTGAAGTAAGTTCTTGAAAGCTTCCGCTAAGACCTCTGAAGACAATACATAGTAAAAATAAAATATAAAAAATAGATTGAAAGCATTTCTCATTAAAAGACTTCGTACAGCGATGTTTAATTAGATTTGGCACACATTTCTCAATGTCTCGAAAAATCAGAACGTCTTCAGTTATTTAATTTTCCGCTTTTTATTCCAACTGATGAAGCATTCATTTTACGTAGAAATATTTTCGGAATGAAGAGAAATGAACCGTAAAGCGGTCGCTTGAACTCATAACATTTGAGTATGTAATTGTATTTTAATGATCTCTGCTTTATTATTAGACAAAACGAAAAAAGAAAATTTCACGACTTTAATTTCCGAATATTTCCAAAGCACAACAATCAAGTAAATTAATGGAAACTTTCTTTTCTTTGTTCTAGAATTATTAAAGAAAAGAAAAATTATTGTGACTGTGATGAAGAAAAAAGATCAGACACAGATGATTTCAATGCGCGACTTGATATCACTCTCAAGCCTCAAACAATAAGTGGTAAAAGTAAAATTATAATTAAAAATAAACGCTTGACAAATAGTTTCGAACGAAATTAAATGTTCGCTGATGTCTAAGCTTATACATGTGATATCAAATCATATAGCGGTAAATTGTAATTTTCATTCTAGTGATTTAGAAAAATGTTTTCTTATCTTACTTTTTTGTGGATAATAAATTACATTAACAAGCGGTTCTTTGACGATTCAATGAGTTGCAAATGAAAACGAAACTAGAGCTCTACTTACACTTACGGGAGCGTGGAAACTTCTTCATATGTTTCTCGAATGTTTTCTGAATGATTATTTACATAATTAAGAGCGTCATTATTCATCCACTTCCATCATAAATAATCAGTAAGTTGTATACACATACAATAGATTATTAAATAAAGTGTAGTGGAAATAAATCTATAAATTCTTCATTACGTTTCACGGTTTTTCACACGGAAGATTCTTTAACGGAAAACTCATTGAATTATTGTAGAACTTTCATATTTGATTTTTTCTTCACATTCATTTATTCATTTCATTCTACATTATCATGTTACATGAATCTAACCTGACTGGAATGTTGGCAATCCAGAATTGAATCACGTTTATTTAAAAACAATACAATTGAAAGTTGAAGAACATCGATAAAGGATTTTCACAACGGTGATGATAATCGATTACATAAATAGTCATGAAGGATGTGAACATTTCCTTAATTTTTTTAACATTCATTAAAGATTTCTTCTTTTTCTTTTAACTTATAGATAAATTAATTTTGCAATAAGAACATGAACAGTTATTGTGATGTCGATAAACATTCTTTCAACGTAGTTAGCTTTTGGCTCATTAGATATTTCCGCTTTTTTTTTCTTTTTAAGAATATAATAAAAAATATCAGAAAGTTTCAACTAAATATTTGGTTAAATGATTATTTAGATAATTTGTTTTATCGCGTGTAAAATATTCGATAATAAAGTGTCTTCGATCTCCATAATGAGTATGTGTTGTCGAACTTTAGAAGATAAGTTCCTTCGCCGGGGTAATTATGAGAACCAGCGTAGACTTCATTTTGACACTCACGACGATAAACAGGAACAATGATAGAGAGAGGTGGTCGGTTGATGACTGCCGTAGGTTTAATCTGTTGCATTTGTTGACTTCCTGATTCGAGATCGTCAATGCTTGTGATTTCTTCTTCGTCATCATTTTCAGCTTCATTTTCATCAAGCTCATCATCAGATTCACTGACATGAACAGTTACTTCAGTTGTATCAGGTTTTGACCATTCAAAATAAACACCAAATCCAATGTCGTAACTATCAGTTGCAAACTCCCAGAACAGACTCGAACCACCTTCAAGTGTAGGAACACGAACAGTTAAACAATCACCATGTCCAACTCTAATAACGCCTGGAAGGTTTTAATTTATTAGAAATCATTAAACAGTTGCTCGTAAAGCGTAGGATTATTTTTAATAATTATTATTAAGTTAAAAAGAAACCGCGAAAATTTGCAAGCAAAAAATTACAAAACAATTTCAATAAATATATAAAAATATACAAACCATCGCCACCAGCATTCATGACTTCGTGTTTAAATTCTTTAATGTCACTTCGTGTCCACATATTCGCGGGTTGAACAACTGCATACTCTCCCGATTCTTCGTCGCTATCGCATTTCTCTCTCTCTTCAATAAGACTCATTTCCTGTTCTTTTGAATTCATCACATCTTTCTTTTGTGAATCTGTGCTTTTCAACTCATTATGATGTAACTGTGATTGTAATTGTTGGAGATATTGATGATAATGTTCAGTTTGAAGTTGCTTGATGAGAATTGCTTGTTGTTCAGGATTACCGGGAAATTGCTTCTCGGCATAATCTTTGAACTGGTAAAAAGTTTGTTGGTTTAAAGCATCTTGAAGTTTCCTTCTTTGTATCTCCTCTCGATGTTTCTCATACTCAATAATCTTTCTTTCTTCTTGACGCTTCTGTTCAACTTCTAAATCTGCGAGCTTTTTTTCCTCATCAATCTTGGCCTGTTTCTTCTTCTCTTCTTGATCCTTCTTAATGGCTTCAACGTAAGGTTTGAATGCTGGACAGAGGCGATCTAAAAGATCAATAAATCCTTCCATAGCTTGTAATTTTGACATGAGTCCTAATGTTGCCCATTGTTCTCTCCTATTTTTACCGATGACATCAAACACTCCTAAAGCTTCCAATTTCTGATGCTCCATCGGGCCATGATTTGCTTGCATGGTTAAAGCCACAAGTTTCAAATTCTCTTCATAACTTAGATGAACAGCTTTTCCAGATTTATCTATAAAGAGACACAAAATCTCAAATAAAAAACTCATCAAGTCTTCATATAAATTTTCTTAAATTGCCACCTTTGTAAAATTTTAAACTTAATTTATAAATTTCATTGAGCGGCAATCCCCATTTTAGACAGTCGTGTTCACTTGCTTCTTCAGCTGTTTCATCTATAGATAAATTTGATAGCTTTTCACAGGTTTTCTCCATAATTTTTCTAATTTTCTTCTAATTTGTTTTCATCAACAAATATTTTTTTCCACCTCACAATATCGTCGAGTTGGAACTAAAGTGAGACAAGTCACATTGACAACAACAAAAAATATCCACGAATCAAAAAAATTTAAAATTCATAATTTTATATTAATTTTAAAGAAAATTCAGGATGTCAAAAGGTTCTGACAGCTTGTTAAACTTCAATGAGTTTGAGGATTTCGGAGAATCACCGGAAATATCTGTGAATTCTCCGAAAAAGGCGACTATCAACGATGGTGACGAATTTCTTTTTATTCATTGTTTACGTATTTAAATGTCAATTATTTATAGGTTTAGAAGCTACACCAACAACATCAGCCAAGATATCAATGTTTCAAATTGAATATTACCAACAATTCTTTAACATTGACACAATGGAAGTGGTTGATAGAATTGCAACGTCAATAATACCAAAACGAGCTCCATCGACTTATCTTAAAACACATTTAGTAAGCAAATTTACTTTTATTTCTCAAGATCAACTTCAATAACTCTTTTATCTCTTTTTCAGGGAGTTAATCCTGATCTTTATGGGCCATTTTGGGTTACAATAACATTAATCTTCGCAATCGGTATTTCTGGAAATCTTGCCAATTTTCTTCAACATGATCACACCAGTTTATTTATTTGGCATTATAATTTTCATTTAGTAAGCTATGCTTCGACATGCATCATCATGTATGTTTGTATTATGCCAATTGTGATTTGGGGAGTTCTTAAATGGAGTGTCAATCTCACTGATGACATCGATCTTGACATTGAAAGTGTAAGAAATTTAAATTGAGGATTTTTGTTTTCATATTATTAAATATTTTTATTTACAGGCTCCATATATTCCTAGTTTACTATCATTAGTCTGTCTGTATGGATATTCATTAGCAGTCTACATTCCTGTTTCAATACTCTGGACAATTCAATTCTCCTTTCTTCAATGGCTTCTCGTCCTTACAGCGGCATTCTTATCTGGATCTGTGCTTATAAATATTTTAATGCCATCACTTAAACTCTCAAAATATTCTTTCTTTCTTATTATTGGAATTGCTTCAGCTCATTTTCTTCTGGCTGCTGGATTTATGTTGTATTTCTTTCATGTACCATCAGCCACTTCTAATGATATTCAAAAACAACCAATGGTCAATCTTCCCATAGTCAACACAACTGGATAAGAAGATAAATTTAACCTTGGACGAATTAAATTGGTTTTCATGTTTTGTAAAGTTTAATTTCATTTAGAATTATTGAAATAAAAAAATTGATGAGTTTTAAAAGTTTTTATTTTACTTGAAAGAGTTTCACTCATTAGCATTACTCACATGAAGACTGAGTCATCAAACTTTTATTAAATTGTTTAATAAGTAATCAAATGTTATAGTTTGAGTAAACAAGATTGTTAATTTTTATGCGTAGTTAATAATAAATTTAAAAAAATGCGACTCGGGTCACAATATTTTCCCCTAAAAACATTAAAATCGTCTTTATGTTCATTTTTCGACTTATCTATTTATTCAGGCCATGCATATTCGTATTTATGCTTGCCGGTTTTCTTATTGTTGCTTTTGTTGTTGTTGTTGTTGATATATTTTTTACTTTATTTAAAAATATAACGAAGCTGAAAGAGTTGTATCTAGGAATGACTAAAAGTCATCTCACATGTGTATCTTTTGCGTTGTCTTTTACACTTTTAATTCGTCTCTACGTTTTCTAAGTTTAGTCTCCCTAGCATGAGCAACGAAAAATATAAAATATTGGGAGAGAGATCAGCCAGTCTTTCGCAAAACGACGAATTGAGACGTTGTCTTGAAAATCTTATAAATCAATCTCCGGAAAGCTCATTCATATTTAAAAGTGATCGTGAATTAATTTATTGAAATTCATTGCAGCTTTGATGAGACTTTTGTGAGATCTTCTTATCAAAGTTCAGCTTCTGAAAAGTGCAATAAAGTTAAAGATTTAAAAATAAGTTCATATTTCTCAGGAATGTGTGATGATGTCATTTTAAGAAAAAAGTATCAAAAAAATCCTCACACACATCTCAATCATGTTTTCTAAAATAAAGTGTTAATAGAACATTGAAAAACTCAATTAAGATCAATAAAATTGTTTAATTTGATTAAAAGTGATGCTAATAAATAAACAAGAAAATCAACAAAACATATTTGAAGTTAATTTTTAATTTGTAAACGACCTTCAACATTTTCGGCTTGAACATAGAAGAAAAAAATTGAAAATAAACAAAAAGCAAGGCATTGAACGGAACCATGAACAACGTCTATTCTAAAGATTCTAAAGTGAGTAGAAATACACATAAGAGAATATGAATGAATGAATGAATGAGTCAACCCTAATGTTTTGATAATCCATTCGATCACGCTCTTAAATTATTCGTTAACATTTTTTGTTTATTGTAATTTCAGACCAGCCTCTTGGAAGCATTCCAGAAAAGAGATTTGGGAGATTTTATTTACATCTTGGAGTTTTCAGAAGCTAATGTCAATGAAGAAGAAAGTTCAGGCATATCATTATTTCAGAAAATATTGATGACCCCAAATTCAGCTTCATACATCAAAAATTCTATCAATAATGGAGCTGATTTGTACACAGTGAGTTTCACAACGTGACACAATTTTCCATCCATTAAAAATTTTTTTTTTTTGCTTATTTTAGAAAACAGCAGACAATCGTTACCCATTACACTTTGCTGTCTTCTCTCTATGCCCAGAGAATTTGAAAGCATTTTTGAAACGCTTCGATCGGTCAAAAATCAACGTCAAATACAATCATAAGAATTCACTTCATATTCTGATTGATTTATTGACAAATGACAATTATGAGAATGTCTCTGAATGCATCAAAATTTTATTGATGAATGGATGCAATCCAAATTTGCCAAACGAAAAAAATCAAACGCCTTTCTTTCGACTTCTTAAGAAACAACCGAAATTATTCAATCAAAAGGAACTTGTCGAGTTTTTCTTAGATAATTCTGATATTGATCTTTACACTTATCGACAAGATGACATGATGAGTATGTTTAAAACTCAAAACTCTCACAGAAAAATCCCGGAACAAAAAATTCAAAACGTTGATCCAAAGTTCATGATGAGTTTGGTGATTCAACAACGAGAGGCTGAGTTTGAGTCATATTTTAAGGCGTTTAAAGAAAGTTGCAGTAATAATGCACAAAACTACAGCGGTGAATGTGCGAAATTCTTGGAAATGGCAGCAATAAAAAATGCACCAAATATTGTTGAACTTCTTCTTGAACATGAGACGATTGATTTGAGTGTTCGAGCTGAAGGTGCGACATGGAAGTTTCCACCATCATTTGTTGCGTGCATGCAAGGCTATTACAAGATAGTTGAAATGTTCTTAAAACAGCCGAGTTTAAAGTTTTGTTTCGAAAAACCGAAAGAATTTCCACTCGAAAAAAACACAGCAACGACTTTAATTCATGAAGTTTGTTTAAGGTTTGGACGTGAAGCAACTAACGATGCTGACGTGGATTTTAAGAAATGCTTCGATTTACTAATAAACGACGATCGTTGTACGCCTGAAGTTATTAACTCGCAAGATTCGTATGGCTGCACCCCACTTCATTATTCGACTCGTTATAAGAATGACGAAGCGACTTTAATGTTGCTCAAGAAGTCAGCATACATTTGTACTCCAAATAACCTTGGTCAGCGAGCATTAAACGACATCAATAAGGATACTTTCGAAAGATTTTTAGACGATTCTGTGGTTGCTTTAAATCGTAGAAACAAGAAAACTCACATGTACGTATTTGGACATGATGAACAAGAGATTAACATCAACTACTCGTTTCTGATTCCACCAAAGAGTCTGGAAAATCGGGAAATTTCTCCATTGCAGTTGATAACAAAGAACAAAGATCTACGATATCTCATTAAACATCCAGTCTTGTTTAGCTTCCTTTACATCAAATGGAGTAAATTGAGTTTGTTGTTTTACATCAACTTTGTTATGTTCTCGCTGTTCATGTTGAGTCTCATTGTCTACATTGTTTTATGTCAATCAATTGCACCTGACGAGCGAACTAAGAGTGCTGCTTACATGTTCTTTTATGGCCTTTCAGCTGTTTCTGTTTTTATGTTGATCATTCGTGAGATACTTCAATGTGTTTTCTCAGTCAAACATTACTTTAGAAGCAAAATGAACTGGTTCGAGATTATCTTGATTTTACTCTCAATCTTGGTGCTGTTGAATCTGTTTGAAGAAAATTTTCAAAGAATTCTCCGTGGGATTACAATTTTATTTGCAGCAACAGAGTTTCTTACACTTGCCGGAACTTTACCTAATTTATCAGTGTCAACTCACATGGTGATTCTAAAAACTGTCATTTTGACTTTCTTGAAATCGATCGCCCTTTATTCGATCTTACTTTTTGGATTCGCATTGTGTTTCTACACGATTTTTGGAAATGAAGGCATCAATCAAACGACAAACACGACCAAAGTTTTAGACCTCGATGAAGAAAAAAAGCAGAATAATTTTTATAATCCAGGTTTGGAATGATTCACTCAGAACTTGAAATAATTATTATTAGTCTAATTAAATTTTCTCCATTAATAGGAATTGCAATCATCAAAACGCTTGTCATGCTTACTGGAGAACTTGATTTTAGCGACTTGGAGTTACATGAAGCGTCAAATTATATAATTTTTGTATTGTTTGTCTTCTTAATCACCATTGTACTTTTCAATCTTTTGAATGCTTTGGCCGTTTCAGATACTCAGGTAAGTACATAAATAAAAGAATTTTAATCTTATTGACAGCTTGAGTTAATTGTCCGATATTGTTCAGGTGATCAAGTCTGAAGGCCAACTGGTCGACTTAATGCAACGCATTTCCGTGTTAAATCGATATGAACGAATCATCTCTAATGGGAATTCATTAATCGCTCGATGGCTTCGTGGAACAATCAACATTTTTCATTTTTGGATACCAACAGGAAAGATTGTCGTGTTTCCGGACAAAGACAATGAAATTAAAACAGCTCGCAATTTACAGAAACTTTCTAATGACGTTGGTGCAGAAGAATTGCAGACTTTGAACAACAACGCGTCGAATGCGGCTTCATCACACTATGAAAGAATTGTTGTCAACAATTGGCTGCCAAGTAGATTCCACAGATACGCAACATTAGATCCAAAAATCATGAAAGCGATCAAACTTGTAATGGAAAGCAAAGCAGTTCGCCAAAAGGAAGAAGAACAAGAAATCTATCGAAAGAAAACTGATGAGAAGCTATTACGAGATGTCATCAGTCTTAAGATTCAAAACAACAATTTACATGACGATATTTCGAGTATTAAGAAACATTTGAAAATATAAATTTGTTTAATCACTTTTAATTAAAAAACTTTTAATAAAATTATTCACAATATTTCTTCGAATTAATTAACAACTAAATTAGTTTATAAATCATTTTCTCCAATCTCTGATTCCACCCAAGATGTCAAAGTCGAGACATCTTCATATAGAACCGNTTTGAATAAAAGTGTAATATCCCAATCTAAACACAATTAAAATGACAACTTGTCCAATTTAATATTGATGTTTAGTGGTCAAAAGTAGAATCTAAAGTGAGAGTTCAAACTTTCATACCTTCTTTTCCATGCTAAAGTTTTGTATCTACTAGGTAGGAGTTAATTATCAACTAATTTGGTGATTCAAAATAATATTTAGTACGAAACGTTACTGAATATAAGCAACATTATGTGTCTTTTAAAACGTTATCTACATACAATGATATGATATGGAAGTTTAAATATTGTCAATTCAAACAATTTTATCGAAACCATTAAAGTATCTAATATCAGAAAATTTACTTCAAATTATTCATTTAGGAAACAGAAAAAATGATTTAATTGTGGATTATTAAAAAATTTTATATTTATCAACAAAAGTTCAAGAATTTGAAGATTGAAAAAATACTTTGACGTTAAAAATGGAAGCAGCATTTGATAAGTTGAATATTAGCAAGAAGATGGAAGCATTAATTATGTTCATGGATGTATTGAGAGAATCTTCAATTAATCAACTAATTATATCATGAACATGTTGATTTAAAAATTACTGACGTCTAAATGGTGACAAAAGAACAACGAATTGAATTCTCGATAAAAAGAAGTGTTATTTTTTTAAGAAAGAAGTATAAGATAATAATAACTTGGAAATCTCGTCAGCAAATGAGTTAGTTAGATACCCATTTTTATGAAATTTTTATTTCTACTCGTGAAATTTAAATCGATTTTTCACTTTTCAATCAATTTCAGATTTAAGAAATCATTGAAAAAAGCATTTTTTAAAAAACGCTGGTTTTTTTGCTGGTTTGGATTACCAGCATGCGGTTTTTTGGAGGAAAAACCAGCAAAAACCAGCATGCTGGTACCAGCAATGAGCAACCCTATTAATTAACAACTAAATTAGTTTATAAATCATTTTCTCCAATCTCTGATTCCACCCAAGATGTCAAAGTCGAGACATCTTCATATAGAACCGGAGCTCGTGGTCGACAAGCTCTCGTTTTAAACACTTTAAAAGTTGAACTCATAGCTTGCAAGAACCATTGATCACCAATTTTGATGTATAAAGGCTTGTCATACCGACATGGAGTTTCAATTCCATTACCTCGAGCACAGAAGAACTTCGAATCTTTTGTTTTCTGAAGCGTGTTGGCGTAGAACCTTTGACATATTTTATTCTCCAACACCACCATTGCAACTTGTTTTTTAAAACCGGAAATAACTCCAGTGTGATCAACTCCAAAGCCAACAGCATAAACCGTCTTTCCTAAAATATCATCTTGATTCTTCACGCTACTCCAAAGACATACTGGTGAAATATATTTCGAAAACTGCACCGATTCCTTTAGAAAAATCAAAGCAACGTTGAATGTTCTTGGCTTTGTTCCTGCTACTTTGGGATGTAAAATGACTTTCAAAGTGCTGTCAATAACCAATGCACCAGATTCGTTCATAGAATTTTTATAATGTGATGTTCCAAGAATAATTTTAATGTTTTCACCATCATAAGGAATATAACTCTGAAATTTGCGCTTTTAAAATAACACCATAAAAGGCATTGAAACTATTTTACTTACTTTGTCCGGGTTTAAATCTAATGAATCACCTAAATAATTCTCATATGCGACAGAGTTCGCAGCACAAAGAATGTGACGATCAGAAATCAGTGAACCAGAACCCGCATACAACGTTGCTCCGAGATATTTTGAAAATATGTTTGCCACCCACGGAAAGGCTTCTCTCTGTGACTCGTATCCGCCTTGACTGATGCCAGCTGATTTAGTCATCACACCACAAGAATGGGCAGGCTGCGAAACTTCATCTTGAAGGCAAAACGCGCACTTTGCAAGACACAAGAAAAATAAACACACAAGCATTCTGCACAAATTTATGAATGCGACTGATTGTTAGCTCTGAAATGAGATTGAAATTTTATATAAAAACATTTTTTTCGTCACTGTGCTAATGACGTAGCTCCGCTTCTGTTTCATACATATAAACAAATATTCAATTTATTATGTTTATACATTTATTTTCGAAATAACAGAAATTAACTCAATTACTACTCGATGCAAACAGATTCTGTCAATAACTGACATTTGTTCATTTGATGCTGACATGATAAATGGTAAATTCTTTCTAAGCTTTTTCAAAGCTGCAAAGATCATCAAGGTGCTTCCGAAAAAACACCTAATGAATGAGTTCATTCGTTCAAGTCACTCATTCTTCTTTTTTCGCATAACTGTTTCAGGGTTTTAAATAGTTAAATTATTGAAGCAATGCATATTTCAACTCACAAGATTCTTTTTCCAAAAATGAACAATGACAGAACTGTCAACTTTTTTCATTACTTGATCAGAAAAAGAACTGTTGAACAATTGACGATTATTCTCATAAGGCACCGTCAGAATCTTTCTTATTAATTTTTTCTGTGAAATTTTTAGTACCACAAAGTTTTTGAACTTCCGATGTAGAATGTGAACCCAAAGTGCTCCATTGAAATTGTTAGCTAAAGCTCCTGCAAAAAGTGTAGCGAGAGGATTTCTAATGATGTCTGTATTTAGGTAAACTCCACCAAACTTCCAAAGCATTAGAAGACTCAAAACGTCAGCAGTAGGTTCAATGAGAAAAATGTGGGATAATTATAACATCTCAAATATGAAAAAACATAAAAGGTAAGGAAGTGACTATTAAAAATGTCCACATGAGCTTCCGAAAAAAATTCACTTCAAGCTTTGTACCATTGAGAAACATCATGAGAAAAATCATGTTTTTGAGAAAAATGATATTTAAGTAGGTATCTAAATACCATCTTCAAGAAATGATTGCAACATAAAAATCAATAAGGAAAATATTTACTTCAAAAAAAATTAAATGACATAAATTAAAACAAAAAATAAATCCAATTCATGAATACACGATTGGTAATCTGATTACGTAAGAATAATCGATAGTAAAGCTTCGAATAATATTAAGCTATAGCGAGGGACTTTAATTACAAACTTAATTTTTGACACTCCCTCATCCATCCATCCCTGTTGCTGTTAAATAACGTCAGTTTTTCTCTAGTCTTCCAAATTTGTAATTCACACCTTTAATATAAAAATTAAAACAAACGAAAATCTTTTAGAGAACGGAACAAATTAATTAATTATTATTTTCAAACAATATTAGAGATCTTTATTTTCTTTTCAATTAATTTAAGGCATTTTAATGTAATCTATAAATATTAATTTTTGTTCTACCTATACAGCTGTTTCTTGTATTTCAATAGATTTCCTTTTTTGTCACTTAATTGTGAACTAAATTTGTTCATTAGACATCAATAATTTCTTAACTTAAATAATTTTTTAATAAATAAATAAAAGATTTTTTATTTAATGTTTTTCTTACAGTTGAACTGCTTTAAAAGAAGTTCTCAGAATTTTACATATTTAGAACAATTAGAATCTCTTTTACCTAATTCTTTAATTATTTTGTAAATTCCTATTATTTATGCACTATTAATTATCGCTTTTCATTATTTTAGGTAGCTCAAAAACTTTTTAAGACGTTAAATATTTCGAATTAGATAAACTTTTTAAAGATTTCACACATAAAACGACGAGAAATTTCCTTTCTCAAGTAGGTATAATAATCCGAAATATCTAATTGATGTTAGTTTTGTTGTCATTAATTGACAATTACATTCTTAAATAGTTGCTGTTTAAAAAACTGATTGAACAATTATTTAGCAATTTGTCTATTTGAAAAGAATAAACATGGAAATCTTAAATTCTATTTATGCTTAGATATTTCTAGTTACATATTTTCAAATACATAATAACAAGGATTAAAATTTTTGAAGGTGTTTGCTAAATTAATTTCTTGGTGGATACATTTCTTAATGAGTAAAATTTCTGCTTATTCCTGGTGATTGATGAGCTCAGAGTCACTTTTGAAATTGACGACTTTAAAGACATCTTTTAAATGGTAGAATTGCAAAACAATCGTCAATCAGCAGAATTTCTATACAAATGCAAACATTTAAAGTGTTGAAACTTTGTATAGCTTAGGATTTAGCTAAATAAGACTGTGTAACGAGAATTAAATTAATTTTCTATGATTAACATTATATCTTAGAAGCTTGAAGTGGACGCCATGAAAATTCCAAACTGCCATCATTAAATTCTTTTTAAATATATATTTTTAAGCCTTTTGTAGCAAAAATAAAAATTGGCATGAAATTTAAAAATTTTAGTTTAATTTAAGATAGGCAAAATGTAATACATAAAAACTTGATCATAGTTTAAATTTGTTTCCTTTGTAAAATTTCACCAAATATCCGATTTTCATGATAATATTTATATCAGGTAAACAACTGTTTTCAAAAGATGTGAAAAAATTCGGATTTAATAGTTGAATCATATTTCAATATGTTAGAATTATTGGAAATTTGAGCAGATGGAAACTGAATTAATTATATTAATTATGACTCAAATTTGATGCAGAAACGTCAGAATAAATAATTAATCATTTATTGCTATGGCTTGATGTAATCTAGAAATATTGCTGAGTTTCATTATAATTCCAGTGAATTCCTATTATTCATTGTAATAATTCACCGTCAACAAGAGCCACAAAGAAATTAAATATTTGCATCTATCGTGAGAATATGCTTAGAAGTTTTCACTTTTTTCTGTAAACGATTTTAGAGATAATGATCAATTTATGACAAAATGATTAAAGAAATGAAGTATGGAAAAAATCAATCTTAACAAGTCGCTACTAAGTACGCAATTTTAGCTGGAAGTAAAATTCATTTTGAAATGTTCATTGATTATGAGGTGTGAAATATGAAATAACATCAATTAGTTTGTGAATAAGCGAATGTTCTTCTGGGTCAGAAAGATTCCCAAATTGTTTCATAAACTGATCAATTACTCTAAGTAAAATAGATGACAAATCTTAAGTTTAACTACTTTATTACTTTAAAGATAATCATTAAACAAATGTCATTACTTCCGGTCAGAAAACTGAAAACTAAAAGTAAATAAAATGCATTCGTTAAGCGGTCGGAGTTTGATTCTGTTCAAATCTGATGCATTTGTCTATCGCACTCGCATTTTAAATGCTTACATAGCGTTCTAACAGCCATGCTTTATTAGAGATTGTTGGTTTGTTTCTGATGTTAAATGCAAGTTTCAAGCCTTTTCTATCGTTTCACTGTTTTTTCACTATTCATTAGTGTAAACGCGCAAATTATAAACTACATTGATTTAGTCAATATTTTCATACCGGTTGAACTCTAGACTACAAATAACTTTTTTTCTTTTTTGAACACTGAAGAAGTTTCGAATTAATTACGTCTCAACTGCTGATTTACGAAATAAATCAACGATATAAGGAGACTTGCAGAAAGTAACTCCCATTGATGAGCTATTTTAGGTGATACATTACATAAATCAGAGGTACATGCACAATACAGAGCATACACATCATGAGTCCCTGACCGTTTAACGCAATCTTTGTCTTCCCGTCCATCATGTAGGTACCCACAGTCTCGAACAACTCTGACCTTGCCATAAACTGAAATAAGATTTTTGTTAATTGTAATCACAAAGAATTTATTTTACATTATTTTGGCTACCTTTTTGGGAAGTTTTGCGGCAAAGAGTATATTCATAAGCATTTCCATTAGGATCTGTTTTCTCCGGTAGAGGCAGAGTGCTACAGTTAACCGTTGCGATGGAAAATGAATTGAAGGGATCTTCACAACGGGGATCATATGCGCTATTGCAATGGTAGCACATTAGGGCAGTTGATCCTTATTAAATAGAAAAAAAAATGCAGTTGCAAAATGTTGAAAATTTTAAAGCAATTGAACTTACCTTTGATCCCGAAAATTAAAATAACTGATCCAATTATAAGAGTTTTGGTAAGAAATGTTCCTTTGTCCAGCATTTTTATTCTGCTTGTTGTGATAAACAATTTAGACTGCAAAATAGAAAATGTTTAATTCCTTTATAAACTAATTTAGAAGCATCAACATTCAGATTGAATGTCTTTGCGGTACTGTCAATATTTGCTTTCCAAAATAGTAAAAAAGGTCACACAATACAATCATGGAATACGAACGCGAATCACAATATTGACGATCCACTAATTCATCGAATCTCTTCAAAATGTGCACTCTTAATTAATTGACGACACTGAGAAGAGAATTAAGTCTCAGTACGAATCGAAAATTTCTGATAATGACAGCGTCGCTACCGAAATACGAATAAAAAAGTAAGTTAAACTAAATAAAATCTCAAAAGTGTGATTCGCGTTCGTATTCCGTGATTGTGCGATATGTCACATTTTACGATCTCTCGACAACATAATTTTAATCAGTAAATGTGGACAAAAATATTGCAATCATCTCTTCCATTATGCTTCCCATAGTTTCAAATATGTTCCAGACTTGTCCTTGAAACAAAAAATATATCTGGGGACGAACTTCAGAATTAGGACATCTTTTCAGCAAAAAAAAAGTTTCGACATTGTTTCAAACAATTTCTAATTTTTAAAAAATCATTCGATTGGAAGTGGAAGCATTTGATTTAGTGTAATTAATTCTTTGATCTATTATTAAAATATAAATAAGGAGAAGCTTGAATGTCCTTTTAAAGTCCACCATTCAATTTTACCACTGTGATTGAAAATTTAATAGCAGAGAAATTTAAGTTTTTCTTTATTTTCGTGTCTTTGTTGCTTCGATTTTCTACTTCGTGTTGGTTTAACTTCCGTTCTATTTCACTTCTGCCCTAGTTTTTCTTTTTTTACTTTATGTAGGAAATTTCATTTTGTCTATTTACTTGTTACATTACGACTGTATAAAGAGTAAAATTTTAAAGCATAATTCACATATGTCATCGGAACGCTCATTTGCAGATGAAACTTTTAAATAGAATGAATTGGAATAGGAAACTCAGACGAAAGTTTATTGCGCTTGCATAATTTTAAATCATTTTCATTTTTTTTAAGTAAGAAAGCACAGTTTGATGTTCCTCAAGTTCAATATTCAATTGAGTTTACTTGGAACTAATGAAATTACGTTGATTTTCAGAGAAACAATTGTTGAAATATTTCAGAGGATTATTTAACTTCCTTTGGATCGATAAAATCTATTCAATGAGCTGACAAGTTGTTAAACTTATCAACGATTAGTGGAATTGCTAATTAGTCCTAATAATCTCGTTGCACTGAGCTTTTTCTCGCTTTCTTCACCTTTCGGTTTATTCAACTAAACTCACTCTTGAACTAGTTCCATTTCATGTTAAAAGAACAGAATTTTTCATTTCTAAATACTTTACTGAATCGATTTTTCTGAAGTCAACGAAAGCTTTTTCATTTTTGTACTTTTGAATTACATAACTTCCTTTGAAATCGATAGAATTTTTTTCCTTCATTTCCTCAATAAGAACAATTGTAGTGAAGATGCTTAAATGATTTTATGTATAAAATTATTAATATTTCCCAAGATATATCAACACACACCTTTTATATGTCACACGATTCAAATTAACATTATTTATAATAGATAAGAAATCTTGAAGCATTTTTTTCACGCTCAAAATGTTTTTCTTAATTAATTTTCACTTATAAATAGATGATTATTAATAGGAATAAGAATATTTACCCAGCTTGTTTTTTATATATAGGAAAGTCTTAAATCTTTGTAGAACTTTGAGTTAAAGTTCAATTTTCTACCCAATATTTTTTAAAGATTATGTAATTGAGGGAAGAATGAAATAACCTTCATATATTTCATGATAATGTGTACATCTATAACATGCCAAGTGATATTTTTATGTCATTTCAGAGATATTTCTTGTATGACGACAAAAAGGTTTAAGAAATTTACTTATATCGATTGTCAGATTGTCAGATCGTTAAATTGATTTTTACCTTTACCTTTTTAAACCTTAAATAATGTTAAGAACTATATTTTATTATCACTTGACGCTTGCGAGAGCAGGTCGAAAACTGAATAAAAATATGCAGTTTTATTTTGTCGTCATCAATCTAAACTCTATTTTATGGTGAGCATGCGCGTTAAATGAAAAGTTTTTATTAATAATTATAGATCTTTAGTGTTATTGTGACAGAATGTAAAAAGGACTTGACAATTTTAACTAAAGGGAAAATAGTTGTGAATTCACCACTTTTGTATTCAAGAAGCTCGCATCCCCTCGGGTGTTTTTTAGACAAACGTTTTATTTAATGTTATTGTCATGAATTTTAAAAGGTCTTCAGACAAAGTTAAATACAAATAATCATTTGAAGTATCTTCAAGACACAAAGCAAGAATTTTGAATTTTAAAGTTGAAACAAAATTATTTATTTAAAACATCATCACAAAACATATTTTTAAGAACTTAATGTAAATTCTTTCAAATCTTCAGGATCCATAATGGGATGTCCATAATTTCCCCAATCTCTGAGCATGGTTTCGTTCATAAAATCCCATGTCCATTTTTGAGTCATTAAGTCTTTGTTACAATTTGTGACGAAAACTTTCATTTCTTTTTTGTTTATCTCGACGCATTGATTTCTGCTCTTTCCTCCACATATGATTTGTTTTGTTTCAAAATCGTATCGGAAATATTGACTTCCTTGATTGAATGAACAAGGATAATAAGTTAATTTCTTATTATTCACGTCGAGACACATGAAGGGAGTTGTCTTGTCCACTCTAATATCTCGATTAACTCTCAATTGGAAGCTTTGACGATATTTGTCGTTTTTACAAGTATAAAGTCCAACAGCTTCACCTTCATTCACTCCTAATGTGTCGATACATATATTAGGATAAGCTTCACTTTTAATCATACCGGAGGCAAACGGTTCAGGCTCAATCGCTGGATATCGTTCAAGTAAATCAGGAGCGATTTCTTCGAGAAAATATTTAAAAGGCTTGCAGTTAAGTTTTTCTCTAAAAGCTTTAACATAAGTCAAATCGCCAGCATCAATGCTATTCCATTTTTCTGGGTTTCGATCGTAAACATATTGTTTGTAATCATCCATCCAAGTTTCTATCACTCTTTTGATATTTCTTAAACAACGAATCAATTTTATTATTAGACATGAATTTAGATAATTTTAATCATTTTTCATACCTTCTATCATACCAAGATTTTTCAGTGATTTGAGAAAAAGGTCTTCTACGGTAAATGTGCCCAAAGCGAGAACAATTCGTGTCGTATTGAACCCCTGAAATTAAACGTGACATATAAGTTTGTTTTGAGAATTGATAGCAGATATGAATAAACTTATACGTTTCATACCTCCGCAAAGCCAGACCTTGAAACTCAATTCATATTGTTCCCCTCCCCAAATCTCGAGTCCAGTGTCGTAGCCGCCAAGTTCCCAAAAGAATTTCGCCGATATTGCAAACAATCCACCCAACATAATCTGAAATAAGAATTTGAATGATTTTATGAAGATTGATGATGTTGAAAGTTAAATTACTGGTGTTTCGTAAGGTTCTGCTGGGTCAATTCTATCTTGTTCTCTCAAAGGTAAGAAAATGTACGTAAAATGCCAGTTAAATGCTCCACGACTACCTCTCGTTTTTCTTATGTACTCATAAGTCAACGCTCTTATTGCTTCAATAATAGGAGAAACAACAGCTCGATAATTCCTAGCAATTGGATCAATAAGTGGTGGAAGCCAATTCACATTCGCTTCTACATGACAATCAATAAATACGAGTACGTCACCAGTAGCTGCTCTTGCACCAGCTAAACGACCCCAAATCAAACCAGACCTCACCGGCATCACAATGATTTTTATTTTCTTCATATCAAAATGATCTCGAAGATATTCTTCAAGGGGTCCATAACAATAATCCTTGTCACTATGATCATTCACTAAGATAACTTCTTTTAACAACTCAGGTGGTGATCGATTAAAAACACTATGAATTGTTCGTGTCAAAGTGCTTAAAATTTCGTTATAAAATGGAATTATCACACTGGTTGATGGAAGATCAGCGAGATATTTTCTTGATTGACATTCCACTGGACGTGTGTCTGGAACTGAGCGTTCACGAGATATTTTGTCACTAATGAAGCCATTGTGATGATGTTCTTCAATTATTGGTTTCGAGAGTTCTTCTTCTTCTTTGGTGAGAATTACTGCTGTGCCACGTTCGCCAGGTCCAGTGCGATTTCTTTCCATTGCAATGAAAGCGTAATCATGCCAATCTTTCAATTCTGAACTGTGTTCATGTCTGAAGTACGAATTAAAAGGCTCAATATATATGAATGGTCTTGAAACTAATATCGGATTGTTATTCCAATGAAGCATGAAAGCACCAAATAATGTAATTGCAATCACAAACGCCAAAAGAAATTTTGGAAATCTTTTTGTAGTCTTCACACGTTTGAAAGAACTTTTCGAATCCTCAATTGAAACATACTTGAAATAAAAATTTAGAATATTAAAAATAATTTCAAAGTCGCTTGTTAAAAAGTTTAATATTTACCTTAAACAAAATATGTTTCAACTTCAAGAAAATTCGTTTAATAGACATTGTTACGCACGAAAACGTTCGACGACAGTAAATTGCTAAAGTTGAAGTTGAGACATTTTATTTAAAATCCTTTAAAGTTTTCACCTGTTTAAATATCTTATTTGTATCAAAAGCAATATCTTATGATGATATTGTTCGGGCGAGTATACATGCGCATCCATTTCATCAGTTAATAAAGTGTTGAATTGGCTGTATGAAAATTTTATAAAGACATTCCTAAGCATATTAATTTCAAGTATTTGTAAGATATTGAAGTCATATCATTTCATTATTTCTTTCACACCACATTAAAAACACCAAAATAATTCCTCTTTACATTTACAACTTGCCTTCCCTAAGATCCACTACTTAAATCAATTAAAAAAACCCAGCTGAGGTTGCCTAGCTTTTAGTGTCATTTTGTCTTTTGTAGCTTAAAGTTCTTGTGAGAAGGTTTTAAATTGAATATTTTTTATTATAAGATTTTTGATGAGAGAGAAATATTTATCTTTATTCTTGTAATTAGTTATAACTTACTAAAGTTTCAAATTTAATTTAATTTAAGCACCAGCCTTTTTCCTAAAGCTTTAATCTTAATATTTCATTGAATTTTAAATTAATTAATTTTGTATTTTAAGAGAATTGAAAATATAGCTAGAGTTGTATTAGAGAATCAGAAAAATTATAAAAACTGATATTTAGAAAGGGAGTTAAAATTTTTTACAAAAAATTATAATTCAAGATAGGGTCACTCACAGTGTAGGAGGTTTAAGTATAAGATTTTTGATGAAAAACAAGAAAAAGATTTTTATTTTTTAGAAATTTAAAAGATTTAGTAAGATTTAATATGAAAAAAATCAAATTTTTATCGGCTAGATCTTAACTTAGACATTTTTAAATAATTTTTATAAATTTTATTCAGGAGAATGAACAATTTTGTCGGTGTCCCGAGCGGCACAACTGCTCCGCATGCAAAGCTATAGGTTTCCTTTAGCGGATTTCGTCTAGCATTTCCATATGGCATTGCCACGAAAAATCCGCTAAAGTCTCCTTATAGGAAAATTCACGTGTGAATTTTCCTACAAGGTTCCTACACGCACCTATTATCGTCACCGCACGAACTGCAACAGGAAAAAATGATTCCGCGTAGCAAAATTTTGTGGCAGTGAATATATATGAAAGTTTCTGAAGCTTCGTAATTAATTTTTTTTGTTTATTGGAGCTATAATTATGTTTAAATATTAAAATTTAAATTAAAAAAAAACATAAAATAAATGTTGCAGCTTATTTATAAGCAATTTCTCGTTTTTTAATTTTCATCAGTTTTCTCCAGTCTCGAACCCGCATCGTCTGTTTTACTTTCCAACTCCTATTCCTCTAAGCCAAACCGTCTTACGTATAATTTTGGCAAATGTTAAATTTTAATGTTTATTAAATTTTATTATAAAATTTTTAATGTTCTTCAATAACATTATATTAATTTAATTATAGTATTCATTGAATGATATTATTTCTATCTGAATACTTTTTCTTTTTTTATTTCCCATTGAAAATTTTTTAAAATGAAACATCCTTGGAAGTCTAACTGAGTGCTGACTTAAAAATCCGACATATGTCGAATTTATTGAGTTATTTCAAATTGATTTGAATTTCTTCCTCTAGAAAGTCATGAGCTAAACTTCACGGAATTTCTTTATAATTGCTTTGAAAGTTTAGCACATGGCATTCTTAAGAAGAGAACATAAGGAAATTTTAAAAGTCGATTTCATTTTCATCATATGCCAACCTTTGATCAAGATTGTGCAAAATTTGACGGAATTGCTTCCCATTTGACTAAAAAAGCAAGCCGATGGTGAAAATGAAATAGGAATCTCCGCTTGTGCCGCTCGGGTGTGTAGTTTAATGAAAATCAAAAGAAAAGCTGAAAAGGATTTTATTTTAAAATACATATAAACCAAATTATTGAAGCCAAATTTTATAAAAAAATTAAAAGAAATATCAATTGGATTAAAGTACGGTTCATTGAAATTGTTTTAACTTCATCATGTTCTTAAAACGTTTATCAACTGAAAAAAGTGGGGAGAAAAATTTTATAGTTGCTGACACGTAAAATGTATCCACTGTTTGTTCAGGTTTATGAACTGCATTGAAATGATCTGACTGATATGACTCACAATAGTTACTTTGCGATCAGCCAGATCGTTTCAATTCAGTTCATAAACCTGAACAATCAATGGATATTTTTCAAACGTTAGCAACTATAAAAATTTTCTCCCCACTTTTTTCAGTTGATAACAGCAACTATGTAGAGGTGGTCTGAGCCGAGAAGTTCCTTCACACATTTATAATTTTTTAAAATAATTACTAAATACGCACGAACTTAATTTTTTTTCATTGGATCTGCTACGTATCATTTTTCTTTAAACTTCCAAAGCGTTATCATTAAAACGATTACAAACAAACTCATCGTTATTTTTTAAAAAAAATTACAGCGCATGTACGATCTTTTAAATACTTTTAATATTAGAATATTAAAATATTTTCGAACCCTCTAAATAAAAAAATCAAAAAAATTAAACAGCTTTTCGATTATCCCTATTTGCAAACACTTTCAATTATTTTCTGTTTTTGTTTATTTGATATTAATTAACATAGCAAACAAATATGTATAGATATATGTAATTTGATTAAGAAAATAAATATTTCAGCAGCAAGTGAGACAAACTTATCTTTTTAAGTTGTTTGTACAGAGGTTCACATCGCAATTAAGAATATAAGAATTGAAAAAAAAGTAAATGAAACTTCGAGAAAGTTTATTTTTGGAAAAAAATGAGTTTATCAGACGTCCATTCAAAGTACTCATATAAATTTCACATTAGACAAAATATATTAGCATTAGTTTTTCTAACGTTTTAACGTAACTTTGTTGACAAGTTGAAAAATTTTTCCAGATAGAACTAAGTAGAAACGTGTAACGTATTGTTGTTTACTTAATATCGTACTGAACAAATAAAAGATGAATTACGTTTATCGCATTGAAAAAAATGACTACCTTAGAAAAACAACTTCACGAAAAACAACTTCACGAAAAACAAATTCTAAAGACATAAACATCTGAACAAACATCAGTCAGTAGGTTAATGTAGCAAATATCTTGTCAAATTACGTTTCAAAAGAAGAAAAAGCATTACTTATAATTTTTAGAGGAATTCGACATCAAATTATCTAATTAAACTCTTCTGATTATTTTATAAAATTTAATAAAACATATAGATTAATGACACTTCTCAGATTGATGACAAATATAATATCATGATTTTTATTTTGTTTTTGACCATTAATTCAATGAGAGTTACCTGTATGGATTTTAATGAATGTAATGTGAGAATGAACTGATCGATTGTCAGTGAAAATTTGTGAATTTGAACGCATAAATGTTATAAATGTATCAGCTCAATATTTGAACAACATTTTTATCAATTGTTGATATTTTAGAGTAAACTTTGTTAAATTATGATTAAGTAGACATGTCAATTGATTGCCAATTGCCCAATTCATTTGCTCAGCTAGGCAAATAAAACTACTGACAAATAAAATTTTTATTAATTTTTAAACAAAAATTGTTTGTTGGTTTTTATTTTAAACAGATGGATTACCAATTCTCCAATCACTACAAAACTTTTATAATTTTTATAAAATCATATTTTTTAAATTCAAAAAATCAAATTTATTTTAAAAGAGTAACAAAATTTTATTTGCTTTCAATCATTCATTCATAAATTTCATGTGGATAATAATTTAAAGTTGTAAATCATACAATGAAAGTTAAACAATTGATGACAAGGCATTAGCACGTCGATCGGTGTTTTGAAACAAAGCTCGAATAAGTCGCTTAACTTCTTCAGCTTTGAATGATTGAGTTATTTCTTTAGACTTCCAGCTGTTTGTGATGTCAACGAGTGATGCATCGAGAATAAACTGCAAATGTAACATAGTTTGCCAGCTTGTAACTATGACAAAAACACTTGTGTCAGCTTCAAACAAAGCCTGCCCTTTCTCATCAACGGTTTTAATAAGGTCAACTAAAGCATTTGCCAATATCGTTGAAATGTCTTCCATTGTCGTGACTTTCTTTGTCAGATCCTTACTGATGATATCAAGCAATCCTGCCATAGTTTTGTTGTATAAATCAGATGGTAAAATTGTTTGCCAAACGTTCTTTAAAAGTTCCATCTGACGTAAGCATTGACGAATTGGTTTGAAATGTTCAGGAAGAATTTCGTTTAAGCATTTCGATGGATCTGTAGAGATAAAAATTCAGGTAAATAATTCGATTAAATCTTTCAACGATTAATTAACTCACCAAAATCTCCCAAAATTTCCAACAATTGTATTTTTTGTTTCGCAATTTGACATTCAAGAACTTCCCAGCCTTGTTGTTGTAAGTCATGAACTGCTTGTTCCATTTCATAGTTTTTTACTTCAATGCAGTTTGTGACCCAATTGGAGACATACATGCAGTTGTTATAGAATAAAGCAGATTGTTGGGGAATTTTCGACATGAATTTTGAGTGATGAATTTGAACAGTGAACGCATAATTTTCAATGATCTTGCGAATTGAAAGCATCAAGTTTTTCTTTTCATCGCCTTTATCAGTGGCAGTTTTAGCTTGATTTAGAATTTTTTCAAGTAAACGAATCAACTCAAGCGTACTCTTTGAAACCATTGAGCGTGGGAATGTCAATGGAGTTGTTGTGGAAAGTGTCGTGTCTTCGGAAATGTGAATCATATCATGTAAGTCACGTTTTAAGATTTCAGAAGCTGAGGTTTGAATGTTTTTGGTGAATTGATTATAAAAGAGCTCATCAATTTTATCTGAGTAGCGTTCTAAACTATCTTCTTCATTATTCGAGCAGAAATTTATTTCCTTTAAGAATTCACTCATCTCACTGATGTCAGAGCTAATTGTTGACTGATTTTTCTCTTCAAATGTTTTAGGTACGGAATGCATAAGACAATTCGTGAAAATTATATCAAGAAATTCTTTTTGATGATTTCGGAAAATATGAGTGAGGAGAAATTCTTCGTTCTGAAGTTGAACATTCATGTTGTTTAAGTATTGCAGGACTGAACGTAAATTCTTAAATACAACACTATAATTGGGTCGTAAATCATCAGTCACTGGCTCAATACTATACGAAAGAGTCATCTTAATTTCACTATCACTGTCATTGATTTCCAACGAAATTGGACGTGAGACGACAGCCTCGAAAATTTTTTTCATAAAGAAGTTAACGACAGGATTGAACTCGTAATCAGAATCAACGATAGAATTAACACATTCAATCAAACTGGAAGTGTTTTTTGTAATCGTCATCGTAATCAATCGATTCTTCAAAAATGATTTCTCCTTCATATCAACAAAACTTTTAAAACGAGCTTCCAGATTTTTCAACATATTTTCTCGTTCTTGTGTCAAACGAGACTTCAAATTATTGTAAATATCTAAGCGACGAATGATGTTTTCTTCAGGATCATTTACAATAAGCAGAATCGCATTCAGAAGATGATTTATTTCAGTGTATCTTCCACTTTCATTGTATAGTTTGATTTTCTCCAACAAGCCGTCAATCTTCATTAGTTTCATTGAAGTGTTAAGCTTCATGTTGACAACTTCCAATTCTTCCACCAACCTGGAAATCTCGTCATTAGCTTGATACATACTTTTAGATCCATCAGAAAGACTTTCTCTTAGATTCAATAGTTGAGTCTCGTGATACTTTCCTTCCTCTAAGAGAACTTCATTGTTAATTACTGAAGGCAGAAAGTCGGCATAATTCGAAGCTATGTATCTATAAACAGAAAAAAATAATTAAACAATTTATTTATTAAGCATGATTAGAGATACTCACTGACGAACTTTATCTCGGTATGATTTGATATCTTTATTTAATTTAAGGATATTCTTACGAGCATCAGCATTTTCATTACGCTCAACAAGATCAACAATTTTTTGAATCAAACTCATTTTGCTTATTATCCTTTTCTCTCTTTTATTTAAGCCGGTAACTTCCAATCAAGTCAAATGATTAAGAGTGTTTATTTTATTAATTAACGATTTATTACAGTATTTTATAAAGAATTATTTAGAGAATTTAGTTTTGTTTACGTTTTAAGCTGAATTCAAATTTTTATACGTTAAGAACATCTTTACACGTACCTTCACACCCCTCAGTGCAAAACAAAGTTCTGAGCAGACCGAATTCAGTTTTTCATAGTAGTAGTAGTAGTGTAGAGACAATGAATAAATCGTCAGAGTACTCGACGGAAAATTTTTCATCAATTCTCAGTGATTTCTTTTTCCCATTCTCATTCTCTGTTTAGTTCTCGCGACGCGAGGAACATCGGAATAATTTGTTACGTGCTCGTTTATAGTTTTACTAAAACCCTTTTAGATAAATTTTCTTGTTGTTTCTACTGTCAAAGAAGTGAATAAAAAAAATTAATAAAAAATGTTTCATTTAAAAAATATCGTGAAAACTCCAATCGTCAACAAGGAATTGACAAAAATTCTACCGGTGGCTTTGAACAGCCACCAACAAAGACGTGGCTATTCGGATCATCAAATTCCCGAACGTCTCCAACACATCCCAACAGCTCAAAATCCGAAATTCTTTGATATGGTGAGAATCACTTAAAGCAGCCATTTGTCGGTTTATTGATTTTTCCATTCAGGTCGAATACTTTTTCCATCGAGGATGTCAAATTGTTGAGGATTCTCTCGTTGAAAATATGAAAGAAAGAGCATCGCTCGAAGAGAAACGACAAAAGGTCAAAGGAATCCTTCAGGTAGTTTTTCTTTACATCTGATTCATTATCATTGTGACTCATTAACTTACAATTCCTTTGTGTTAATTAGCTCATGCAACCATGTGATCATATTATTGAGATCAATTTCCCATTACGACGGGATAATGGCGTATATGAAATCATTACCGGCTACCGTGCTCAGCATTCAACTCATCGTACACCTACAAAAGGAGGTAAGAAAATATTTTTAAAAGCTTTTCCTGTCAATTTTTTTTCCATAATGTTGCATAACAGCAGAATGGAAATTAAAACAAAAATTATGAGTACCATTTGAAGTAAAAATTTGTCTTTAAAAAGTGGAGACATTAACCCGATTGCTTTGTTCTATAACTGCGATAACTATTACAAGAAATTATTCACAGTTGAAACTCTGAATTCCTTTCTTCTTATGAAACTTAATTCAGTTTATTAAAAGGGAAACTTGAAGCACGAGATAACTATTAATAGATTCGTTGAAAGAAGGAAAAACATACAAAATATTTGCATTCAAACTTCATTCAATTATAAATAGCGCGAAAAGTGTTTTTAAGCGAGTTTTACGTCTGCCTTTTATTCTGACTCATCAACTTGTAAACATATTATCATTGAAGGGAATTATCGATCTCTCTTCCCTGTTTTTATGTCTGTTTTTATGATTGGTTGAACCGGCGAATTTTATTCGATATTAAATTACGTAATTATGTATTAGAATATGAAGGAAAGAAAAACGAAACAACACACAGCTTTAAACCAAAAAAAAAATCACAGACTTGAAACATTTGTGCATTAATTATAAAAACAGAAATCTACAAATCCAAAAGCAAGTTAACAAGTTTAGCAGCTTCTTATCTTTTAGGGGTGTTGATGGCCATTGTTATCAACAGAAGTAGAAAGAAACTTGACTTGTTTCGTCACATTCCAGGCTTAAAGATAACGCATGGAGACAAGTCAAAAATATTTAAGCAATTAAAAGCTTGTTGAATTAATAGATAAATATCATACTTATAAATCACATAAGTAACTGCCATCGATTTGTTGGTGAAAATATTGAATTTGTCAGTCAAGTATTAATTGGAGCTTGACAACTGATTAAGTAAATAAGAAGGGAATTGAAGACGAAATATTTTCGTATTTGATATCAACAACTTCAGTCTAAATATACCTGCCTTGTGATACGTACACAAACAAGTCTGATTACACAATTTAACCCTTGTTGACACTCTCAATTGCAATCATTTGTTGTCCGTCTGTTTCGATTGTTCCTTCAATTGAGGGCATATACTTATGTCTAATACAAAACAAGTGCCAATTCGTCTCTTTCTAAATTTCTTTTCTTAATGCGATGTTGCCAAGTTTGCATTTACGATTTAAATTTCGATACATCGAAAAATATAAGAAAAGAAGATTTCGTTTACGCAATTCAGAGTTCTCAGCTAATTGAAGTAAACATATTTATTCGATTGATTATCACTTGATAACGAAAGCGTGAAATTGATTTCAATTTTGCACTTGTGTGATAAAATTGCTTCTTATCGTTCATATTTACAACATTACAAAAAATGATATAACGACAATGTAATTTCCTGATAATTTATTCTGAAAGTAAATTGAAAGGGAATGAAGTTATTAAGATAATTGAAGATATATCGTGATTGTCACGTGCCTTGAAATAACAAAAAATGTTTCAAAAATCAAAGTTGATTAGACGTGAACTCCATGCAAAGCAGAACCGGCTACGAACTTTTAAAAAGGGGTCAAATAGCCTCATTGGCTTAAGTCGCTTGGAGTCGGGCGTACAATTCATACGTCCCGGGTTCGAACCCCGACTTGGTCATGAGGTAGAGTGAAGTTTAGATACTTCGGCCCTTTAGTATAAATATATACAAATAGTTACTATTAGTAACAAGTGGGGAAATGGCTACAAGCTCAAACCACTATAAATAAGTTGAATCAAAAAAAAAAAAAAAAAACGAACTTTTAAAACTTCTAAAATGTCAGTGATCTTTTCCAATTGGTTGAATGATCATAAAGTTGTTTATTATTGTTTTAAGCTGTCGTCGTCGTAGATTCTGATCAGCTGAAAATGAAAATGAAATAAAAAGAAGCAAAACGTGTGAAGAAGATAAAAAAAACTATTGGGAAATCCTTGAACGTAAACTCGACAAACAAAACTTCTCGCTAAATAAGATTATTTTTAAACTTCGAATCGGTGGGCTTGTTGTCATGTTGATCATCATCCTGTGTATATTCTCGTCACATCTTTAAACGAAATAAACAATTTTTTTATTGATACATTTAATTGTCAATCGTGCGTCACATATCAGTAAATGACAAAACCATCGAATGTTTTTTCTTTGTAAAAATCATCAGCCTTTAGCTGATAAGAAAGTGTTATTGTTGGCAGAAATCATTGCGCAACTTTAATGTAAACATCCACAATTATCAAGTCATAAGTGTTATAATTTAATTTAAGCGGTTTTATGATTGCTGGTTGCCCGCACAAAAAAACTTTTAAAAACATCAAAACTATTATGATTAGATAGTTAAGTTTATTGCGTAATTTGTCCAAATCATATGATCTGAAAGTCAAATTCTCAATCAAGGAAGTTCATGTAATAATTTATAATCTGCTGAGCTTTTGTTTGAATGATTTATCAGCACATCCTAATGACATTCTTTCTCTTCTTACTTTAAGGTATTCGTTTCTCAATGGATGTTTCTCGTGATGAAGTTAAAGCTTTGTCAGCATTGATGACATTTAAATGTGCATGTGTCGACGTTCCATTTGGCGGTGCTAAAGCTGGATTAAAGATCAATCCAAAGGAATACTCAGAACATGAATTGGAGAAGATCACTCGACGTTTCACACTCGAGTTGGCAAAGAAAGGATTCATTGGACCAGGAGTTGATGTTCCTGCACCTGACATGGGAACTGGGGAGCGTGAAATGAGCTGGATCGCTGATACCTATGCAAAAACAATTGGACATAATGACATCAATGCCCACGCTTGCGTGACTGGTAAGCCAATTAATCAAGGTGGAATTCACGGACGTGTGTCTGCCACTGGACGTGGAGTTTTCCATGGATTGGAAAATTTCATCAACGAAGCAACGTACATGAGTCAAATCGGAACAACACCAGGATGGGGTGGCAAAACATACATCGTGCAAGGTTTCGGTAATGTCGGTCTTCACACATGTCGTTATTTAACCCGTGCTGGTGCAACATGCATTGGAATCATTGAACATGATGGATCCATCTTCAACCCTCAAGGAATCGATCCAAAAGCATTAGAAGATTATCGTATTGAACATGGAACAATTGTTGGCTTCCCAGGAGCTCAAGTGAGTTTACTTTCTTTACTAATTTGAGATAATTTATTCATTTTTTTTCTGTTTTTATGAAAGGCTTACCAAGGCGAATCATTAATGTACGAAGAGTGCGACATTTTCGTGCCAGCTGCTGTTGAAAAAGTCATTACAAGTGATAATGCCAGCAAGATCAAAGCCAAGATTATTGCTGAAGCTGCCAATGGACCAACAACGCCAGCTGCTGATAAAATTTTGATCGATCGTAATATTCTTGTCATTCCTGATCTTTACATCAACGCTGGTGGTGTAACTGTGTCGTTCTTTGAATGGCTTAAAAATCTTAATCACGTCTCATACGGTCGTTTAACATTCAAATATGAAAGAGAATCAAATTATCATTTGTTGGGTAAGTATCGTTCATATTTCTTCAATCGCTAAGCTTTCTGCACAATTTCATATCTTTCAATGGAAAGTTGTATTTGAAGCAGCAAAAGAATTGAATTCGATCTCTGCACTTATGCTCAAAGCTTTGATGGATTTTATTTAGTGGATCCTAAGTTTAATCGATATTCTTTTTTATTTTTCTTTTTCTTATATTCTCCTCCTGAAAACACAAAAAACCAAAATTCGATATGCAAAAAACCAAATTAAAATAATTAAATTAAACATGTAAACATAAACAATCATATGCAACCCGCGCTATTTGATATCAAATAAATAGCTTCGATTGAAGAATCTCTTGAAAAGGCTCTTTCTGAAAGTAACGTATTCGTTTTAATTATTTGTTGGGCTTTAAGTTTTTTTTATGTTACCTTTTGTCAGACATTCATTAAAGGTTTAATTTACTTTTTTCCTATTTTGCATCAATCATTTAGTGACTTAGAATTTATTGAATGTTTTTTTCATTTTTAATTGACGATTTCAAATTGACGATTTCAAATTGAAGATTTGTTTACACAAATTTAATTTGTTCAGACATTCTGAGTAAAAAAATTATTGAAATCTATTTATGTGTTTATAATTTTTTGCACGTTCATAGTGATACAAATTTATTTAGATGATTGTTTCCCTTCTTAGATCGTGACTAAAATGTTCTTCTCGATTTCATTATTCCATTTCCTTTAATTTTGCTTGGGAATTTTACTTTACAAAGATTAAATAATGATTATTGATTCATTTTTAATTTAAATCTGTTTTTAGAATCCGTCCAAGAGTCTTTGGAACGTCGCTTTGGACGTGTTGGTGGGAAAATTCCCGTAACACCATCAGAAGCTTTCCAAAAGCGAATTTCTGGTGCATCGGAGAAAGACATTGTTCATTCGGGTCTTGATTACACAATGGAACGTTCTGGTAAGAATTAATTAACTTTAGCATGTGGTTTTGAAATCAATTCAATTTTCTTTATTTCAGCTCGTGCAATTATGAAGACATCAGCTCGATTCAACTTGGGACTTGACTTGAGAACTGCAGCTTATGTTAACTCAATCGAGAAGATCTTTACAACGTATCGTGACGCTGGATTAGCATTCTAAATTATCCATCCCTTCCATTCTTCTTATTGCATGATGAAGACATCAAAAAAATTTAATTTCTTGTTAATTCCTTTTCTTCCTTCTTTGTTTGCTTTGTTGACGTGACCCTTCATGGGTGTCTTGTTTTATTTAGATTAAAACCTCTTTAAACAAATTCAACTGCTGAATTTCGTTTCAAGTAACAGCAGTTGAGATAACATTATTTAACTAACAAACGAACTGCCATTCTATTTGAGTCAAGCATACAAGAATATCAAATCGCTCGTAGATTAATCGCAGTATTTAAGCAATTTTCAATTTTAATTTCGCAAATGTTAAATTGACTCAAAAAAGAAGCAAGAACAGTTTCAATCTAAATTAAAAATTCTGCATTTGTCTTTAATGTAGTGAGCGCATAAAAAAAATAAATTTTCTATATTTATCCAATAATATTTTATGAAATTTGACGAATGTTGTCATTTTGTTTTGAGAGATAAATAATTGTGACGAAAATAAAAATGTGTTGATGGATGCAGAAATAATTTAAATAAAAAGTTTTCTTTTCAATTGTTTTTATTATTCAACTTGATTGATTTACAATTGTGTAAGAAAATCAAGTGATCAAAATAATTTTAAAATACTTTCATGTAACCTTTTTCACTGGCATGTTTGACTATGCTGACGATTCTTTTATCAACTTCTTCACCACCACAAATTTGTGTGATTTTATGGAATTCTTCGCCATTCATGTCAGTTTCAAACCAATGCGAAATTTGTGCACATTCTTCTTCAGAACAAGCGATCCAAGGCACGTAATGCAAGCATACTGGGACACCATAAAATGCATGTTTGGCGAAATGATCAAGGAAGTTCTCGAAGCTATACGGTTTCAATCTTTCGTCGGTTTTACTACATTTAAGAATGTCTGTAACTGATTCAACAAGAGTGTCGTGATAATACTTTAATAGAGAATCCCACAACTGATCTCTTATTGAATAATGAATGTTCATATACATAAAGAAGGCAAGGTCAATGACCGGTGATGCAAAGCGAACCTCTTGAAAGTCAAACATTTTAATACTTTTTGGATTATCAAATCCGGTTGGCTCGTCATATTGGAAGAGAACATTATTGCGAACATAATCGCCATGTAAGATAATCGAAAAGACATCGTCTTTCTTCAGAAATGTCTCCATTAAATGCATGAATCTATCAAAATGTTTCTCCTTTAAACGTTTGACGTCAGACACAAAAGTTTCATTAAACTGATATCGAGAATCTTTTTCAACCAAGTTAAAAAGTCGTTCAAGACCAACTCTAAATAATCGTCCATATGAAGAAAGTTCTTCTCCACTTTCTGATAAGAATGAGAATGGCGATAATTTGCTGGCCATTTCCTTATGTTTGGGGTCATTTCTTATCCGCATTGCAAATGGAACTGAATGATAAAGTGCAATGTTCTTGATCATTAACCGTAAATGTGCTTCATCCAAATCAATTTTTGGTCCCATTCGATATCCTGACATCTTCAGATTTTCAAGAGCAAGAATCGTCTCTACACCGTCACTTAAACCAGGGAAGAGTCCAAAATCAGCAAAATAAACTTTCGGCGTCCACCATTCATCTGGATTGAAGAGTTTCGCGTTGTTATCTTTCAAGTATTTTTTAAATGTCGGTAAAACAGTTTTGTAGATGAAAATTTCATTTGAAAACTGTAGAGTTGCTTTTGAAAGCTCTCGAAAGTTTTTATCGCCTTTCATAATTTTCAGAATGATAAAATGGGTCTTCGGCCTTGGATAAATTAATAATTTTATTGTAACTTCCTACGCTAAGAAAATATTCATTGTGAAACTTACTCGTCATCGTCTGGACCTTCCATAGTCAGTTCAACATTGATAATGTCACTCATAAAGCCATCCATACTTTTATTTAATTCACCACGACAACTGACCACTTCATAATCTTTAAATTCTTCATTATGCTCTACGATCAGTGTTGGAAGAATTTTCTCCACAAACTCAATTTTCTTCACGTCTTCCGAGAGATTAGACATTTCAAAAGCAACTGAAATATAAAAATTACTTAGATAATGGTAAATGCTTCGTTCTTATCTTTAAGATAAAAAATGAAAAGTTTGCAAATGTATCGAATGAAGAAATATTTTTGACGACAAACGTGATTGATTGATGTGAAAGTGGAAATATTTATATCACCATCATCAGGATTTCATAGAAATTGTACCTAATTATTATTAAATCTGAGTCGTACTGAACATTAATACAGAAATGTGAGAAAAAATTTCATCTTATAGTCTGAAAACCGTCATTCATTTCACATAAAAATCAAATTAACATCAAACGTATTAATTAGATGTATACTAAAAGAAATCATTTGACACTTTCTTATAAGTAGATTTTATTAATTTAATACAAAAACTGACGATTGTTAAACTCACCTTGTTTACTCATTAGAATTGATTCAACTACTGTGGTGAAAAAATTAAATCACCGGCAACCTGTTGCCTTAATTTCTACGTAAGCGTTTGAACCTCTATAAAGTGACATGATACAATAGAAAGACTTTCGTGTGTTGTTGTTTTCCTTAATTTCATTGAACTTCTTTTAGAATATATTATTTTAGTTTAATTTATTAACTAGGATGGAAGGTGGGATATTGTTTTATTTTAACAAGTGTGAAACTTTCAATTAATGAAGAATTTGAAATTGCTTTTTTGCAGGCTGGAATGACCCACCAAAAAATGTAAAATCAACTGGAAATTTAAAAATAAATTTAAATAAACGAGTGGCATTTCCATTGACTTCAGCTCCACCTAAACCAGATGGGCAATCAAATCCGTCCCAGTTGCTACCACCTAAGCCTCCTACATCAGACAGTCAGTCTTCAATTCCGACTGCAACTGACGATGAATCATCATCTACTAAAGATTTGAAATCACAAAAAGAAAATGTACTTAGTGCTTTTAAGAATAGTGCAAAAGTCTTGGCACCAAGTGTTTCCTCGAAAATTGATAGTTTAGATAAGGATTGGGATGAATGTGATGATGAAGTTCTTCAATCTTTAATCGAACTTTCAAATCGTGAGTTTTACTTGAAACTTTTAATACTTATTCAAATTTTAATATTTTCAACACTTCCTTTTAGATATAAAAGCTAAAGATTCTATAAAAGCTATGGCAACGCAAAGGAAAATCGTCATGAAAGGAATCAATAAACCTTGGATCCTCGCAATTAGACAAATTATTATGAAAATGGAAAATGTTGAAACATCTTCCGATATTGCAACTGATGCTTTAGATCCCATCACATAGCACAGCTTCTTACAAACGAGATATCTGAAAATCTTGAAAAAATAAATATTAAAATTTAAAACAAAAATAACGAACTTTTCAATTTCAAATTTCTTCTTCTTCAATCCTGTATTCTAAAGTAAATATTAAATGTTTCTAAAAAAATACTTTTCATTAAACTTTTTAAATTTTCAGCCATTAATTTAAGTAATAGAATAATGTTAAAGAAAAGACTGATAAATACAAGTGATGACGAATCGGAGGATGATGGAAAAAGTTGTATGAAATCTGTAAAAAGCCGTAAAACACTTATCAGCAGCCATGTTTTATCAAAAGTGTTAAATCGATCAGCAACATCGTACTTTAACAGTAGCTTCAGAAGCAAGTCACACCAAATGTCATTACATCAAGATAATGTCTTAAAGTTCTGTCTCAAGGATATCATTCCTTTTCGCTATTTGGATCATATTTTCATGGGCCTAACTCAAGATGGAAATTTTCTTATCAGCTACAAAAGAATGAGCTTAGAAAATGAAAACCATTACGATTTCTATTCAGGCTATAAATACGAACTCTTCTTTTGGATTTATCGGCCACATTATCCCTTAAGTCGATATGTAAGTATTTTTTAAAGCTTTTCGTATCTAAAATATTCTTCTATAATTAAGCCACGTCTTTAATTCTTTTTTACAGTACGTAGTCAATTTGTTTGATGATCATGGAGCTCACGATGTGAAATGTGTGACAATGACACAGTGGAAATCTGATTCCAAGACTTTAATCGTTCATGGCTCTAGTGAAATTGATGAGCTGCCGTCTTTCTTGACAATAGTGAAAGTTCCAAAACTCGGTTGTCTTGCTTGTAAACAACTTCGTGAAACAAGTGAAACTCCTTTTCAAAGTTTGGAATTATGCATACAATGTAATTTAACTATTCATACGAAATATCATTACGATGATCCAACACAGTTCGATCCAAAAATTAACATGAACGCTCCTGATTACATTATCATGTGTGAAAATAGTTTCATTCATACCATCAACGTGAAACTTGATATGCAAAAATCGAGAGTCATTGGATGCGGATTTTTAAATTCTCGGTACTTAAACAGACCATTGGAGAAAGATGAGAACGAAATAATTGCGCAAGGTCGGGATCAAAACAATGTGGTGAATAACAAAAACTCACCACCCGATATGCCGACGACACAAAAAGTTTCAATCGTTGAGCAAATTCTTGCAGATTTTTCTGAGTATGACATTGAATGTCCATCGTTGTTCTCAACAAATTCCAAAACACTAGTCACGGATGTCGTCAATAATGGTTGTGAGAAAATTAAAACGCTTATTTCATCGAAATCATCGATTATTAAACCACCTCGAAAAGTGAGAGAAATTGGAGAATCCTCAACGAAAGTTAATTCTCAATTAAAACCGTCATCACCACAATCACCAGAATTGCTTGAGGCAGCTGAGAAGACTTATGAATTTTCCGAAGAAAATGAAAAATGTGAAAAGATTTCCATCTTTAGAAAGCGACGTTTGGCTGATAAAAAATACGAATTTAGTGAAGAAAACACTGAGAATATCATTCCATTTAATAGAACCAGAAGCTTGCGACGACCAATTTATCAATTGAGAACGTCACCACATCCAAGCTTTAGATCACCTTGTGGATCACCTGTGGCAAATCGTTGCATCATGTCACCACCACCTGGTTTTATGTCACCAAGTTACAACAACAACAACAACCCTTATCGTTCATCACCGACACATCATTTGCTTTATTCACCGCCATCAAAGACTGTGAGAATTCATGGCAATATGTCACCAGCTGGATCTGTTGATGACGTTCAAAAATACTTTTCTGATATTATGAATCGATTGAAGGATAATCGTGTGGAGTCAGGAAATGAGTCAAGTCATGATGACATTATTAAGCCGAATTGCAAAGACTTTCCAACCTTCTCAAAAAAGCTTGTGAATTATTATGTTGAAGAAGATGATGCAATATCTGTCATAACATGCGATGAAGATGATTGCATCTCGCCCGGATATCATTTGTCACTGCCGATGGAAGTTCATGGATCTTGTTACACAAAAATGCAAATTGTTTCGAAAGCGTCGCTTAGCAGACTTAAGGGAGTTCCGCGCGCGATTGTAACACAAAATTCATTCGACATTGAAACATTTTCAATTCATGTTGCTAATAAATTGTGCAAGGAGAATAACAAGAAGTACAAATTTATTCTTGATATCATTTTCGAGATTGTTCACGTAAGTTATTGAAATTTATTTCTCATTTCCATATCTCACCTTTTTAATGGTTGAATTCTACTCACAGGTTTGTCCGTTGTCTCATGAAGCTCTTTGCATGCTTCATTTGAAATTTGCTGCCAATAATTGCGATCATTTATCGAAATGCTTAAACTGTGCAAACGATTCTGAATGCTTCACCCACAGAGAATTCTTAGAATCGACGATTCTATTCACATGGAAGATTAGTGGGAATGATTGGAGAATTCTCGATTATGGACAGTTGAAGAAGCTTGGCACGTTTAAGCGCGGCTCACATCCCGGCAACAGCAGACAAAAGAAACTTCACAGTTTTGGTAACAAAATGTTTGGAAGAAATCTGTGTCATTCTGGCAATTCTGATCATTTGAGAATCCTCGACAGCAACGAAGACAAAAGCAAAGAGTCTTTGGTGGATCTAAGAAACGGAATTGAATTCTTCAGACGTCAACCATTTAATTCACCATCAAGTGTCTCAATGCTTTCGTCAAACTCATCAGCTTCAGGTAGCTCCGATTCGGAATCATGTGATGAGCTTCAGCAATAAAACTGCCTGTTGTATGCATTTGCTTTGAAGACATTTCTTTTTTGTGTTCTTTCATGATATTTTAATGCTAAGAAATTTCTTTTACGATGAAATTGAAAATAAAAAATGAATTTGACAACAGCTTTGAATTATTAAAAATGAAAAATGTTTTCTTGTTCTTACTCAGAGTCAATCATGAAAATTGAAAAATAAAACAAAAATTTTCGATAATAAATAAAAAATTTATTTCAAATCACGTCAAATTCCTGGAATTCAACTTTTATTTGAAGCTTTTCTTCTTAAAATTGGTCGTGGAAGTTCTCTGGCAATATTGCCGTCTTGTTTTAGTGTCGGAACTTCCGGAAGTTTAAGGTTTGTGTCATTGTCAGTTACTTCAGTCGTCACCCAATTGTCAGGTCTTTCAATTTTCGTCAGAACTTTAAAAGGTACTAAAAAAATATTTTCTTTCCCTTGTCTTAATTTTGTTTGTCGGTCAATTGTTTCATTACTTTTCTTATTATTGTCATTTGAGTCAGCGTGTGTCAACGTTCTGGTCATTGCAGCCAAACCATCCAACCTGTCACTGCTTAAATGTTTGTCGTAATTCTCAGCGTAACGCTTTGTCTGTTGTTGGTCATAAAGTCCACTCTCATCAGATTTACCCTCAAATTGTTCGTGTAAAACATTATGAACATAAAAATATTTCACTTTATTGGCAGTCGAAGTTTCTTGTTTGTCATTGTACTGTGAATAGTCGTTATAAGAAGAAGTTTTATGTTTCTTAGTCAAAGCGTCATCATTCAGGTCATGAGGTCGTGAAATTTTATTTAATTCTGATTCAGAAGAATCGTAAGAAAAGACAGAAAAAGTTTTAGTATCAGAAGAGAAAGGATTGTTAAGCTTATCACGAGAAAGTGAAGGAAGTTTAATTGAAATCTTGTTAAACTTAGATGGTGAAATGAAATGTGAGTTGTTAATAGAATAATCGTCAGAAGTGTCAGAAGAATCAAGAGAAGAATGATAAGAATACGAAGGAGATCTAGAAGAAGCAGAAAGACTTAAAGGAAATTTAGTCGTACGTCGTCCGTTAAAGTTTGGTCTCGTCGTTTCAATGAATAAAAACGTCGACAAGTCAGCACGTCGTGTTGGTGAATAGGTCGGTCGTTTGTATCCACTTTGATATGTTGGACGATTTGGTCTGTTTGGTGACACATAAAGTGGAATCACCATATTGTCGTAATTAATTTGTGGCGAACCTGAATTTGAATTTACATCTTCAAGTTGTGGAATGTCGTACGTATCGTAGCTGAAAGGTGTCGAATGTTTATTTGAGATCGGCGAGTGTGTCGGTCGTGGAAGTTGATGAACATTTGAATAGTCATTGCCTTCATAACTTGGACGATTATTTTGATAAGCGAGCGGTCGTTTGCTTACCACAACTGGTGGATATAATGAAAAGTAAGTGTTTGGTCTTGAACTGTAGTCATAAGTCGGACGTTGAGGTTTGTCGCCATAGTCAAAGTCATTGTCATAGTACTGTTTGAAATTCACGTCATCGTAACTTAATCGACTTTCAGCTTTCGAAGCTTCAACTTCAATTCGTGGAGATTTGGACATCGGTTTATTGTTCAGGTATCGTGTAGCGTTGTCAAGATTTTTAAAATTATTCTTCAATTCGTTAACAGTCAAAATGTCACTTCTTCTTACAATAAAATCTTCAAGTCTTTTAAGTTGCACGTCTGTCGATCTTTTCACTTTAGTCGAGTTCGAAGAATTCTCGGAATCCTTTGTCAACTTACTGAAGGGACTTTCAGTTTTTTTGTTAGTGTCAAAGTCAAGTTTATTGTTTACAAATTTAGTTGTCGTTCGTCGTGTTGTTGTTGTTGTTGTGCGTTTTCTTCTTGGTCGTGTCGTTTTTGGCAAGTCAAGTTTGTTACTAACAGTCGTTGAAGTATGGTCAAAAGATGGTCGTTTTGTAGGAACTTTCGTTATAAAGTCAATGTTATTGGAAATGCTTGACGTTGTTTCAGGTCTTGATGAGAAAACTCCTGTTCCAACACTCATAAATATGTCATGATTGTTGGGAATGAGAGAAATCGTTGGAAAACCCCCTTCCTTGTTCAAATTGTCCCGTTCAGCCCAAGGAAAGAGGTCTATTGGTGCAAGTATTCCAGTGCCGCATCTTAATCGTTCATTCCTTGTGAAATCTGCTGGAATAAATGCGTGAGGTTGCATGAAGTTTGAACTGCCAAGACTTCGACAAAGAATCTGTTGTGAAACAAAATTTATTTATTTATTAAAATTGTTTAAATTATTGAATTTACTTGCGACAACGTCACTTGACGGATGGAAGAAAGTTGGGCCGGTGTGAAAGAAGATTCGAAGCCTGAATTTTCATACCAGAATCGATCACCACGTCTTAAGTTACTAAACTGTTGAGCGATAATGCATGCAAATGTCGGTCCCACTAATCCACCAACAACTGGTCTTTCACTTATTCCACCAACAAATAAATCAATGTCAGCGACATCGTCATAAGCTCTCCGCATTCTCTCAGCTGATTTTGGACCAGCAACAGTTTCTAAATCTTCCCACGACTTAATTTCTGTTAAACCGCATGGATGTCTCCATTCAACATAAGCTGGAAGTCCATGATCACGACCACGCTGAATGTTAATCGCAGCTAAATCCATTCCAAATGGAAATGAATCGGATTGAAAGAGATGATTTGTTAACTCGGGACTCATAAATTCATCACGCTTGAGTGTTCGTTGCGTTGCCATTCCTCGAATAATTCGATGAAGCGATCCAATCCCACCAATGTCACCACGTGAATTCTCATCGTGAAGGGTGACATTGTTGTCGATGAATCGATAACTTACGTCACTTCTCATGATTGATCCTTGAACGAGTGCGTGACCAAAACGAAAAGCAGCGGCTGAGAAAGCATTTGCCACAGTTGGATTCACTTTTGGATCGTATCCTTTATAATAACCGGAAGGTAACAATTCCAAATCAAACAACCGACAAACATCTTTACCAAGCACAAGTGGAAGAAATTCACGATATGTTATGTGTTGAAATATTGCGCCAATAATGCGTCGTGTCTCTTGATACAATTTCTCATCGCTCCAATGCGGATTTAGGTCAGATAATTCAAGACTTATTCGATTATGTTCGGCAACAAAAACAGTATGTAATGCGAGTAGGCCTGGTTGTTCTCCTGCTCTAGAATCGCCAGCTCTTATGCACTGATGTCCAAAGCCACCTCTCAAACAAGCGTCTTCCCTTTGTGGACCACGGCCAAGCAAAAGTAATCCATCACGTTGCATTCTTGAACTATCAGCTGTTCTTGGATTACTTGAATAAACTGCAGATCCATCAATATATGAAGTCACTTGATTGGTTTGTTCTCGCCATGATAAGAAGCAATTGCGTCTTTGAGCTGGTGCTGAACGCAGAAATTCCAAGCAACGAACACCTAACGATCCTAGGAAGGGATCGTCTCTCGGCACTTTAATTGGCATACAGGATGGATGAAGACTTGATGATTGACAACATCTTGGAATTGTTCCATTAATTGAGCGTGGTTGAAGTGTCGCAGTAATGTCATGATCGATAAGTTGACCCCATTGTGGAAGAAGCATTGTTATTGGCGCTTCTTCATCGCGATATCCATGAACAACAAGACTAACAAATCTTGCTGATGGCAGTGGAACGCCAGTCACTGAATTTCTGTGAAGGAAAAGAAAAGAAAAATTTTCTGGGCGAATTATTCAAAAATTTTTTTTTCTTACCTCACACTTTCCAATCCATCGGAATATTCTGGTGATATGAATCGATGGAAAGGCAACTGTGCGGATCCCCATCGTGATCTTCTGAAGTTGTTGCAAGTTCCATCATGCGTTCGATATCTTTGAGTTGCTGGAACACATTGTGGCGGTTCTCTTGGTGGACACAAACCTTCCAAGGTTGTTCTTCTCAATGAAATTTTCTTCTTCTTCGTTGCATCTCTGGATAATCCAGTAAAGTCCAAGTTGAAACTATAAAGCACATTTACATGATGATTTGATCATTTTCAACTCCAATTACGGAAACTAAACTTTCATTATCATTTATAGACGAAAAAGAAAAGCGAGAGTTTCACACAGCAAAGCATTCAATTAAGGTCACACTTTTACTATCGATTGGCATTGTCGATGACGATTATGTCGGAAACAAGTCTTTGCATATTTCTTATGTTTTCACTTTTATTTGTGCGTTTTCATTTTTCAACCATCCCATAATATGCCTGAATATGATTCACTTCTTTATTTAACTCTTTTTTTTTTGCTTTTTCATCGCATTTAATGTTTCAAATTCACTTTGATGATGTGAGAAGTCGGAGTTGTTCACTCGACTAAAGCTAACGTAAAAATGAATCGAAGATCATGAATGCCTTAAGTATTTAAGCGGTGAAAGTGGGAGGCTCTCAGCAGCGACCTCATTGTTCGTCGTTAATGCTCTTTTGTATGTTTTTGTGTTTTATTTTATTTTTTGTTTTGTTCACTACGCTTGCCTGCTTTAATAATGTTTGCATTTCGCGACTTTTGCCATTTGTTATGATCGCATTTTAATAATTTTTTTTTGAGGGAGGTTAAGGCACTTAAGAAACCGTGAAAAAAAAAGATATTAAAAGATGAATCTTAATCGCTTAATCACGCATGCTTTGAAGCCTTTTTCTTCTTTCTTTTAAAGAGAGAACGCCAAAAAGAAATGGAAAGTGATTTCGGATCTCTACATGCATGAAGTCGTCAACATTGTGTCGAAGCGTAAAGGGCAATCGTAAGCGATGAGATAAAGAGAAATGCTTGAGAAACTTTCTTTTTCATTCGAAACGGGAATTCACTTTCCACATGACTTCTTCGAGTCGTGTACCATCAGAATTTTGTTACTCGAAATTTTCCAATTTGTTTTTCATTTTGTTTCGTTTTGTTTCTATCGCGTATCGACAGATGTAGGAATAAATTTTTGTTTGATAGCAACAACAGAGAGAAAGCGAAATGAGATTACTCGTATCATGTCGATGTAAGTATGTATCTATCATTATTCTTCTCAGCATCAAATTGCGTTCGATCCATCACCTGTCAGTAAAGCTTCATTGAAGTTGAGTGAAAAGTTGAATAGATTAATTATAATTCTTTACCTCAATTGAAGCATGAAAATGGATGAAAGATAATCGAAGATTCAATCTCACCTTCTCAACTAAACAGTCAATTGGGTTAATAATGTTTTGCAACTAAAGTTTCAATTACCTATGAAGAAGAAATCTAGATCATTGCTAATCAAAAAAAAATATTTGAACTCTTTTCTTGCTTCTTAATGTTGCTGATGTTGCATGGTTTGTGGTTGTGACGAGATAGTCGATACGGAGAGATGAAAGTGAAATTTCATTTGAGAACGCTTGTATGGTCATTCAACTTATTGTCAGTTTTGTTTTACTTTATTTCTTCTTAAAGTTATTGACATGTGTATGAACTGGAAGAAATTGTAATTCAATTAAATTCCATATAAGTTGAATTAATTTGATTATAAATATTTTCTCAATTTCCCTCACATCGGGTATCGGATTCGACGTTGGAGAAAGTTTTCCTAGTTTTTTTGTCTTGATCTTTAAACATGCAATCTTGTTTTAACAACTTGGTTGTTTCTGAAGACTTCAACAATCCGCTTGATTTGCGTATCGCTTTAATTGTGTTTAAATGCGAATGGATAAAGTTATCCCGGAAGAAAGAAGACTTGATTCGCTTGTTATTATGAACAGAAGTAATGAGTTTGAAAAAACCAGATGATAGTCAAGAGTTTATGCAAGTAAATTAGAGAAATTTATCATTTGACTATCATGGATAAATAATTTCTGAAACATCTTATGAGTAAAAAATCAAAATGATTTTGCATAAAAGCTTCATTATGAAGGAAATTTTTTTTTTTGCCTTTAAAAAATAAAAAAAAAGTCGTGGAATTGGAGAAACTGCAAGTTAACTACAAATAGGATTCGAATTGATCTGAAGAAAATAGAAACTTTCACGGCCACTTGGGCGTATATCATCTATCTTAGAGGTGAACACGTTTTCATTTAGTAAAATATTTAATTTTCAACTGAACTCAAGTTGTTTACAGAAATTTCTTCTTGATTTCGGTTTCGTAAATCACAACATTTTGAATATTTTTGTAAAAATAATTAAAATTTAATTAAAACAACGCTGATCTATGACAAATGGAAGCGAAAATTAACAGCAAACTCATCACCATTCAACAATGTTTGATTGATTTGTTAGTTTGCCACAAGCGAGTGAATTTTTAACGTTTAATTAATTTAAGATTATGTTAGATCACTTAGAGCTTTCATGGATAATTTATGAAAGATTAAAAATAATTTTTACACTCTCCTTGAAACTTTGATGATGTATAAATGGAAACATTTACCATCTCGTGATATTTTATGTATTAATTGTTTCTAATTTCATCCCACGAAACTTCCACTGCAAATTCATATTTCATATGGAAATCTTAATTATTGCCAAGTCCCGAAATTTAAATATTCATTTGGAAAACTTTCGCGTGAATATTAATAAGATTTATTCAATCGCAAGAGTGCTTAGTCATAGAAAGTTTTAATTGAACAACACGTGTTTTCAATTGATGACCACAAACAATTGACGATGGACTTTGAATTGCAAGTAAGTAAAGTGAATTAAAATAATGAAAATTGAATTGAACAATCATTGAAAATAGTTTTTTCAACTGAAATCATTTGTAACAAATTTGGTAATCGCTTGGTCAGTCTTTCATGAAGTGAAATTAATGATTGAAAACGTTTTAATGTGCGAATCAATAAAGGAAAAATTATTTTCTAGAAATTACATGACACTAATGAAATGTGGCTGGTTTTCAGAGCGTTTTAAACGCATAGCAATATTTATTATGATGTTTATCATATTGAAACAAATGATTGTTGAAGTACTTACATTAGCAACTTAACAGTTAACTACATCCCGGTCAGTTTGTTACCCAAGAAAAGATTTGTTAGCAAATGAGGTGTTACATGTTCATCTAACAACGTTTGCTCAATCACATTATTTTCCTAACAATTATCGTCGCAGTGTCGACACTCAACTATGTTTATCTCCTTAATATCTCATCTCCATCGTCTTCGCTCAATCACTTTACTTCATTTAAATTATTCAAAAGTTCCAAACTTAAAATATCAGTGAAAGTTTTCTCGCTCTTATGTTACATGCTTCAAGCACACATAAATACGCGAGATAAAACATTGAATAATCAGTGATAAAAGTTCATTTTTTTTATAAGTCTGCTTAAACAAAATTTCCGAAAACAAAGAAGAAATGAGAAGAAATATTTCGAAAAAAGAAAATGAAGAAAAATGCGCTTTTGTCTACATTATGATGAACATTAAAATTAAATCATCGCAGAAAGAAAGCGAAATCATCCACTTCTGCCGTAAATAAATCATACTTGAGATTGAGTAATAATTTCCCATAATAACTTTAATTTCTTTAAATGTGGAAAACTTCCTCCATTGTTTGCTATCAGTATCATAATAAATAATAACAAGAAAAAAATACGCAACGTGCTTCCTTAGTGACAGTCATTTGTTGACGAAATTCGTTTCGCACGGATAAGCTTTTGGTGAAAAATTACCTCACATCAAATGATTTTAAATATTGAGTCGTCATCAAAATATATTTAAAATTGTAAGAAAAGAAAAATGTTTGTTGTTGATTTCGTACACAAAATACCGCAAAGATGTTAGCCGAGTTAATTTAAGATAAAGGCAGAAAATAATTAGACGAGTCAAATTATTATGACAGCATTACGCATGAAACCAATTTGTAAAGCGAAATTTCCCACTCAACAAAAGTGTTTAAAATCTCATTAATTTCGCGCTTACTTATAATTTGCTTTTATTATTCGTTTTAATGGTCGCAAACTCACTCCCCTAAAAAATGCTAATTAAGAATCTGAACAATGAGTTAACATTACTACTCAGTTGCAACATAAGTTTTTGTTGCAATGCCAATCCTGTTTTTATTAAGATCTTCAGAATGACAACGTAAAGTTGATTAAAAGAGTTAAGCAAATGTTGATGAAATGAATGAATCGAAGTAATTTAATTTTGAACATTAATGAAGCGAAAGAACAACTAAAAATTCTTTTCAAAGCCTTTTAACCAACACACATCGTGAACTTTGTGTAATGATTTTAACTCCAATAAGTTCGATGGTTCATGTTGTTGTTGTTACATTGTGAAAGATGCATTTTCATGCGATATTATGAAGTAGTTTGTACATGCAAGTAGCATACCATAGATTTTGTTTTTTTGAAAAAAGCTGCATTTTCATGTTAACATTTGTAAAAGAAGCCGCATTTTCATGCAGTAATCTGAAAGTTGGCATTTTCATGCTTAATCAAAGAAAGAGAAAGATAAAAGTTAGCATTTTCATGTAAATATTTGTTAAACAAGTCGCATTTTCATGCAAGTATTTTGAAAAGCAAGCATTGTCATGCAAATGTTTTGAAGAAGTTGCATTTTCATGCCGAACATTTTGAAATGTAACATTGTGTTTTCAAGTTCTTCTTATCGAAAGTCAGCATCCTCATGCAAATAATTGAAGAGGTCGCATTTTCATGCAGTAAGTCAGCATATTCATGCGAATGTTCGGGAAGTTGCATTGTCATGCAGAACGTCTTAATATGTATTTGTTTTTCACGAGTTAGCATCCTCATGCATTAAAGAAGTGGCATTTTCATGCAGCATGTTTAGAAAGTTTGCATTCTCATGCCATAAACTTAAAAAAAGAAGCTCCCCGCGAGAATGATATTTGAATCTTGTAGTTTTTAGAGTTGGCATTCTCATGCAGTACATTTTGAAAAATAGTATGTTCATACGAACGTCTTTGATAAGATAATTTTCAATGTTAAGCTTTGTAAGTCTGTATTTTTTTTTCTACCAATATAAATTCTGATTAACACCAGTTCGGAAGATACAAATGAAAAAAAGAGAGGGAAANCCGGACCGAAGCTCTGCAAAATACCGCAAAGATGTTAGCCGAGTTAATTTAAGATAAAGGCAGAAAATAATTAGACGAGTCAAATTATTATGACAGCATTACGCATGAAACCAATTTGTAAAGCGAAATTTCCCACTCAACAAAAGTGTTTAAAATCTCATTAATTTCGCGCTTACTTATAATTTGCTTTTATTATTCGTTTTAATGGTCGCAAACTCACTCCCCTAAAAAATGCTAATTAAGAATCTGAACAATGAGTTAACATTACTACTCAGTTGCAACATAAGTCATTGTGCAGTTGATGTTTTGTATTCAACTCACTGAAAAGTTCTCATGTGCTCATTGAATTTGCGATTTTATCGCGACTAAAAGATGAAAAATCATGACGAACTTTTTGTAAGTGACAAAAACTAAAAGCTTTGAATGTACATTCAACAATGCGGGTAATTCAATGAGAAGAACATGCAATGGGCAAGTGAACTGGTTCACTTGCTACACTTTGTTTATAAACAACAAACTATGTAGATATTTCAGAAAAAGTGGCATGTTGAGAGTACCTGAATGATAATTAAACATGATAGCTAAGTGTGTGGTTAGCGGAGAAAGTTGTTTTGCATCATTTTCTTTTTAATTTGTTATGTTGATAACATTTCAATCGTAATAAAAGTAAACATGGTTTAACCATATACGCATTGTCACGAGTCGTGAACTTCCGATTTCATAAACATGCATGTTTAAGTTGCTCTGATTATTCAACTGATTAGGTGGATGAAATGTCTGTCTTGTAATACATCAAGGAAATGATATTTTTGATCCAATTTAAAATCGAATTATTTAAACAATAAACTTTTAATTATTTCATTCAAGTCAAGGGCGAAATCAGGTGGAATTTGAATGAATTACTAATCAGAATAAAGGTTATTCCAATGCTATAAAACTACAAAAGTCTTCATCTTATTAATGTCTTAAATACTAAAAATCAATCCGATTGAACTAAATGCTAATGATACTCTTGCGAAAAAAGAACAATACGCTTGAACGATGACTTGTTCCCTTCATATGCTAATATTAAATCATTTAAGCTGATGTAATGTTAACACTTCTGTTAACACTAATAAATAAGCTTCAATGCATCATAATTATTTATGGTTGAACACAAAAATAATGAATGACTTGAAGTTTTTTTTTATAATTCATTTCCTTCTTTCCCTAAAGCTTCTTAATGAAGCTTTCACTTTTATTATTCTCTTAATCTCTTCTTATTAATTATTTTCCAATCTCTCGCAGTATTTTACCATATGAGATAAAAAATTTCTTTAATTTTATTGAAAGATATTCGAAGTGTGAAATTTCATGTCGCTTTAATAAACTTCTTTTTTCAATAAAAAGAAAAAATATTTTGCATCATAAAATGAATTTTAAACCATCTCTTAACACGATCATTATTCAATTGAATTCCAATTACTAAATTATTGTGTTAATGGTCTATTGAATCATCTTTAATATTTTTTTGCGTCGCCATAAATGAGCTTTGTTAATTCGATTAGTTAGTAATCTTACCTTTCCTGCAATTTTTTCGCAGTATAAAGACTCGCGTATGCTCCTTTGACCTCCAAGTCAGAGTCATTTGTCATTGGGGCGCTGAAAAGACTTAATTTTGTTGCTGGATGGTTCATGTCAAGAAATTCTCCTGAAATGGATGTAATTTTTTTTCTTACTTTTCAGAATGAGACGTTAATTAAATTGGCTGACCTTTTCTTAGGATTTCAGGTTCCTTTCGCTCGTATAGATCGATCATTGCATTGAAACCTTGAAGTGAAGCAATTCGAATTGCTTCATTGAACGACGAATTCTTTCGCTTTTTATTCTTAAGTTTTGAAGCTGTCACATTAGACGCTGAGACATTCTTTCGACTTGATCTGGCTTCCTGATCATCAACTACACTGATGTAGTAAATATTTGAGTCTATTAGTGGTTTTGGCACGTCAGTGGTTTCAATTCCTTTTGTATCTTCACTTAAACTCACAGCACGCGTTGATATTGCAATCAGTAATACAAAACATTTGTACACAACTGTCAACATTTTCTTTTTTCTAATAAGAAATGATCAAAATGATGCAAGAAAATATTTTCATTATTATTGTTAGTTAAGATAAAATGTTTAAAGAAGTCATGTCATTTGGCTTATTGTGTTTGTCTTCTTCGTGCGACACATTGCTCAACAACATTGAAAGTCTTTTGTGAACCTCAACACACAATTTTTGCACAATTTAATTGGTGGAACGAGAAGCTCGATCGAAAAACAATATGACGAACATGAATTTCAAATGGATTATAATTTTAATGTCCATTACGTCGCTTAATATTGCTTCATAATTCATGATGGAATTTTTATTGGTTTATTTTGTGTCATTATTTATTGAGCTCAATTTGATGAGACTTGAAATGATTCACATTCAAGAGATATTTTTTTATTTTACTTCGATCTGTAGTGTATCTTTTGAATGACGATTGAAATTGAGAAATCTATAGCAATTATTATTAAGAGATGTGTTAAAGTGTGTTGAAATTGAACATGACTGACTCTGAAGTGATTTGAAGTGTTTTATAATGTTTTTATGTTTCTTTCGGGCAAATTGTAATTAATATGAAGTAGGTTTCTAGTTGAAAGTATATGTTCTTAGAAATAGATTGTTCAACTTTTGCATCGATGGATTGCACATCGTTCATCATTAAAGGATAGAAATTTTAAAAGTTCAATTTATTTTGCCGTCAATCTAAAAATCATTCAAACATTTAAAACTCATTTATCAAGTTCACTTGAATCATCCAAATATTATTCATATTTATTTTCGAAAACAAGTTTAACCGAGAAAAATTTCTAACATAATGATTCGACAATTAATCATTTAGTTCAAGACATAAATATTTCTTTAATTCCACTTACAATTATTTTTACTGACCGTTAAATTAAATTTTAAGTTCTTCTTATTTATTATCAAGTTTCTTATTTTTAATCACTGCATGTTATTCTCCTTTTTTAATTTAAAAGCTATGCAGACATATGCTGAATTAAAATGATTGATGTTCATGTGTCGCGTGTTGGCATATTTTAAGATAACATGAAAATATTCTTGAAAACTTCTTACCATGACATCGGTAAAACATAAAAAATAAATAAAATTTTTATCATGTCGAAAATGAACTGAAATCATTGTCGTTCAACTAGTTTCATATGAAGTTTCCTTACGTTGGATTTAAAAAATGCTATTATGAGGTTAATGCCTTCACTAAAAAGCTTTTCAGAGCTTTTTAAAAGCTCACATTGAATTTTAAATTAAAAATTGCAAAACCAGCTTCTATCAAGTGTCAGCTTAAAAACTTGAAAAGAATATAATTTTAAGAAAATATTTAAACCTCTCAGTCGAGACGCTTCATGCTGCGATTCCAGAGAAATAAAAAGTTGAATTATTAATTAACATCAAATTACATTTTGAAGAAAAAGTTTCCGCTTATTTAATCGAGAAAGAATTTCGCGAGGTTTATAAAAATTATTGAAGAATCAAAAGAAGTTGAATAACATTTTTGAACACTACCTTAAGAAGCAACAAGTATTTGTGCACTATATTGGAATTGGTCGCTTGCATAACATAACATAAAAGAAGCAATCAATGAGAGCACTAAAAGAAATTTAATTAAGCTTCTCGCGCCTTTTCAAATTATGAAAATCAACGATTCGTTTCGGCGCCGTCTAATGATTTATGTATTAAAAAAATGCATCACTGACCTAACTAATTAATTAAATTAAAAGCATTTGTCTTAATTCTGACTTTTCTTTTTTTGTCCTTTTATCGATCAATCAATATTTAAGCATGTGATTAATTAAAATTCAGATTTTGCACACACATCAATGGATATTTATTTCTTCCTTCTTCGACATTTAACCTCGACACAGTTCTTGAAATCTTTCAATGCGATTGGAATTAAAAGAATTAATCGATCTTACTCACTGCGATCTTGAGCTCATCAGAAAGCTAACTGAAGGCTATAAGAGATCAACATCGACAATAATCTTCTTGAAATTTCTTTCACATTTCACTTCGTTGGAAGAGAAAGAATTCAACTTCCAGAGATTCCAAATTAAGTTGATGACGCGTGTAACCATGAGAAAAGAAATGTTAATAAAGTTTTAAACTTGTTAGAGCGCAAAAATAAAAACTTATGAAAGAGAAAAACGGGATAAAGCAAGAGAGTGAAATGATCGACAAAAAAAAAGCTTTGCATATCTAATGAATCTGAATTCTTAAAGCAACGGTAGCGTGTGTAGCCGGCGACTGCTTGACATTTCAAATTTTTTTTGTTGCTTTGATCTATGTTCTCTGACTAAAAGATTTATTACGAATTTTGTTAGTACAAGTTTCTAATTTGTCAATTCTAATATCAATCAAGAGATTTCTACGTTTATAAGTTCAAAACCTACGAAGTTGTTTGTGGAAGTAAAAAAGTAATTTTCTTAACAATTTAATTAAACTTTAAACATACTATGGAGGGTTTATGAATATTGTTTGAGTCACTGTTTAAAGATATTTGAAACGAAGATTTTAATGTACAATTATTTATCTAAAACATTAAATATCCCACAACATATCCTACGATAATCAAATTTAAACGTCAGAATCAAACAAATCTCTGCCTGTAGACATTTCATTTCATTTCATTCAACCCATCAAACTATCGATGTTTACAAAACCAATCCCAACATTTCATCTCTAACATTTCAACAAATGTTGTTTTGATATGTAAATGAAAAGCCTTCATCGGTGAAAGAAATTGACATCAAGAATCTGAAGCTAAAAGCTCATGGAGGTCAAAGTTACGGAGAAACCAACAAAACGTTCTGTTCATTGTAAAACTTTTTTCGGCTTAAACGCATTAAAAAGTTGATAGCCTTGCAGCGCTTCGATTTGAAAATTAGCATCTGAAAGGAATCGATAAATTAATGCGCAATAAAAAACAAAAAAAGTTAATAAATTAATATTCTTTTTATTTAAATTGTCTTCAAAAAAATACATTTGTTAAATTATCTTTCACTAAATATATTTAATACCAACAATACTTTCATGAATATAAGAATTGTAAAAGTTAATCTGTGGTTATTATTTTATAAAAAAAAATATCGTGAACTACATATTTACGTAGTGTTAAGTGTGAAAGTTAAAAAAAGCTTTCATGAAAGCTTAGCGCTAGCATTTATAACGAATGTGAGTCAAAGAGTCTCTAGGTCATTATCATTGTAGTTTCTCTCTTTCTCTTTCGTGTGTACATAAACGAACTTACATACTTTCAATGCCTGACGGTTATTATTTCTTTTCATATTATGGTTAAGAAGTTAAAAAATTTATTAATATCTTCATATTGCAATCTGTGATTCTTTTACAAACGAAAACAAATTTTAATTTCAGCAAAACAAAAATTTGAATTTCGAGAAAAAAACTTCTTCAAAAAGCAATCTACGAGAGGTTCATCGAATGTCTTGCCGCCCCAATATCGCATTGTGCAATTTACATGTTTTTTTTTCTAACTTGTAGTGGGCTTCATTCATTTGAGGAGAAAATAAATATTTCACAGCATGCAGTAAATATTTCAATAATGAGCTCAGTGATTTCATCATTCAATTTATTGGAAACTGATGATTCATGGTAAAAGTTCTCTTTTGAATCCTTGACTTGAAATTGCAGGAAACCAATCTGCACAGTCAATTCATTGTGTTTATTTTTTTTTTCTTCTCTCTTATTAAAACATTAATCATGATGATTCAAATAACAAAAAAAGATTAAAAACAAATAATTTTCATCGAAACACGAGATAAACTCGCAAAATTTAAATGCACTCTGTCTTCATATGAAATTCTTTCCGAGAAACGAGAAAGAACAAAATAAAATAAAAGAGAAAAACTTTTTTTTTCATGTATAAAAATTAATTTGTCCACTTATAAAGTTCACGACGTTTATGATGGACGGTCCCAAGAATATATGCGATTATAATTGATTAATAATTAAATGCTAAAGGTGTAATCGTTACAGCCAAAACACACACATACACGCGCAGAATCACATTTCATTTATGGAATTTGTGACACTTTCCATTATATTTTCTCTAAAAATTCATTTAAATGTGACGTTGACCTGACGAGCGAAGCTTCAAGCTTATCTTCATTGTCGTCGTCCTGCTTGTGTTGATCGAGCTTTTTCAGCATGCTCCTTCTCACGTAATTCTTTGATCGCCCCGACACTTCCGAACATTATTTTCGCCTTTATTTGGGTGCTTTGAGCTACACTGCTGGCACTATTATTGGTCATTGCACTAGTTGTATTCCGGCTACTGTTGTTATTGTTGGTATTATTTGGAGTTGTCAAATATCCACTAGGATAACCAACAAAATTATTATTCAAATCGCGATCGCGATCACAATTCTTGCACTGATTCGACATGATATTCGATTCCTCGAACTCTCAACGTGCGACTGTGTTTCGGGTTTCCTCAACGAGCGAAACGAAAAGAAGTTGATTTGGCCTATTGATTTCGCGCTCTCAGGGAACTCTCAGACAGAAATGAAGAAAGAAACACCGACCCCGAAAAATAATAATAAAATAAGAGTTTTGTTTTGAGCTGCTTATTTTTCTTTATTTTATTTTTTATTTTTTTGTGTTTCGGTACGATGAGAAACTTGTCTACGACTGAGAATTGCAACAAGCAAGTTGATTTTATTCTCTCGCAGAACAATGTTTCACTTTGAAAAATGAAATTCACTTAATTATAATTTCATTTATTCTGAAAGACGTCAGACAAAGCACTAAAACTAATTCTCATCTCCTAAGCTGCTGAGGCACACTGCCGCTATTATTGTGCCACAACTTCACCTTTCGCGTTGAAATGTGCTCTTGCGATGAAGTTTAAACGCGAGAGCGCTCAATTATACGCCGACCCGACGATACATATAAACGGAGCGAGAGAAAAAGTGTTTACAATAAGCACAAGTTTTTTTTCTTAAAAGATGAATGAAGTTTGAAGATGAAGAAAAAAATATCAACGACGACATCGTAATTGTTAGCGTTTGTGAGCGAAGTAATAAACACACACTTGACGCTTCTACTTACTTGCACTACACGAAGATGCTGTGGGAAAAGAAAAAGTTGTAAGCAATTTCAAATATCAGGTGCTTTTAATGTGTTTTAAAACACGATTCCTTGTGGGAATGAGATCACCCTGAAGGAATTTACGAAGTGTAATTAATTGACATGTTCAAGGAAAAGCACGAAAAAAAAGTTGAAATTCTACTCTGTTGATTGACATTTCCATCAAAATAAAATCATTTTTAAACAACAACAACAGTTTGAGGCGAATTTTAAAAAGATTTTAACATCTCTAGATAAGGAATTCCAACATAGATTCAATTTTAATTGCTTTAATGTTTATTCATCATAAGTTTACTCAAAAGCTGAAGGCAAAACATGTAGTGGTGAGCTGACACCAACGAAATAAAAATATGTGAAACAATCTCGAATGAATTTCTTTTGCGGGAAAGAGCAAGCAAAAAAAAAGTGAAGAACAAAAGAGAGACCTACTTCTGGCTGATTCAACGAAGACACACAAGCAGCAACAAGTGTGTCACTAGTTTCATGCTTCGAAAAACTTTTTTTTATTTCTCTCTTCTCTCTTTTCAGATCGCAAAATATTATTTATAATAACACAAAACAAGATATCGTGTTGGTTGCAAAGATTCAACGTTCTTAACGCATTTTGTGGAGTTTTTTTATTCACATTTCATAAATTATGTCATGTATTAAATTATCAAGCTAATGATTAACTGTGGGTTTCCGAGAAATTAACACAATGTTGTAGGCAAACCTGACACCACATGCTCAGTGTACATATTCAATATGGATTACAAAATGCGCTTGAAATTTATTTTAATGTAACAACAACTCCCAACATAACTCAAACTTCAAAAAGTTGGAAAGAATCCCGTTTTATTTCATAAGCATTTGAACTTTTATCGCTCTACATTTAATACTCTTCACGGTCCTTGAGATTTGACAAACAATTTTCTACATCTACATAGATGAATAATGTTTTTCATTAGCTAAAAGCACAATCTCTTGATGCATGTTTGTTTCATAAATTTATGCAACTTTCATGTATCACACCTTACATGAGAAAATGTACAAGAAATTTCTTATAGAAATTAATTTTTCAATGCTTTATGTTATATTTAGAGCTTTTAAAAGTTTAGTTAGCTTTAAAGTGTGCTGCTGGTTAATATTCAACCGAAGACACAAACAAAAAAGTTTTTCGATTTCTCATTTTATTTGTGGTTTGGATATTTGAGAGAGATTTTTAATTAAAAAGATAAAAATGATAGAAAGGTGAGAATATTAGATTTAATTAGATGTAATAAGAACATCAAATTTGAATAATTTTTAAGTGGAAAACTTTACAGATTAATTGCATGCATAAACTTAAACTAAAGTGTCACTTTCAAACCATATTGCAATGGTTTTTGTTGCTATTTGTGATTAATAACTTTTCAAGTTGCAATTTGTATGTTTCTGCCATGCTAAACCCTGTTGATGCTGTTCATTTTAATATTATTAATGAACATGACAAGAGAATTAACGTGTGAAAGTGTATCAGAAGGAAGGAGCTTTGAATTCAAAGACCTTATTATCTGAAAGCATAGTCTTAGCTTTTAATGGCCATTAATCTTTTTCAATCGCTTACATTGTTAGTTGGCGTTTATGAATTCACATTGACCTTTATTTATCATTTTGAATGATTGATGTGGACAAATGATGGCAATCAATAATGTTAATCAGTAGTAAAATATTAATAGTTTTACTTGTTATCAGTTTGTAATGTTACGTTGATTTACACTTATCGCCATTATACTTAAATTCATTCATGATTATTGAGTGAAGATTTTATCGTCACGTACTCATGTAATGATGATGAAATTATCAATTAAATGAAAGATATTTGAGAAATTGAGTACAAAGTACAAAATTCTAATAAATATTGAATTTTATTTATCTTTTTAAAAAATAAAATCATTAAATGTCCATTCATACTTGACTCGAATAGGCGAATGTTTTTTCAAAAATACCCTTCAAGATTCCATTTCATGTCTTGTGTCGAAATATGAGAATTTCAAAGAAATCTTTTTTCATAACTTTCTGTCATAACGAATCAAGGTGACGAACCATTGAAAATTGAATTTTCTAAATTGTACGTGAAGAAATTTACGAAACAGATTTGTCACTTACGAGGTGATGAGCTTGTTGATTACCTTGAAATATAAATTCGGATTTGATTGATTGTGATTACCAGCAGGAAGACTTTTCAGCAGAATATTTATTTCCAATAAAAATATAAAAATTCTTTTCGCGATTTGATAAGGAAATTGGATTTGTGAAACGACATGATAATTTCAATAATTATTTTTCAAGGGTCAATGTGCATGTCTTCAATCTAAACTTGATCGATATTATGACTTAGATAAGAATAAGAAACAAGTCAATATTGATGAAAATAAAAATTTCAAGATGTTTATCGATTATGAAAAACAAATTTTTATTTATTCCGCCTACGAAATTTTCAAGAGATTCTTCGTGACATAATAAAATGAAGTTAATTTCTGCTTTTTTTCTCTGTCACCCACGCATGTTGTCGATTAGAATTGATATAGTATATTTTCAAGCTATCAGTAAAGGATTTATTACAGTAATATTAACTAGATGGTTGTTATGATAAAAACATAAAACTTTGATAATAAAAATGTAATGAATATTTGCTGAGCTTTTGTTGTCAGCTCAGAGATATAACTTTACTATGATACTGTTTTGAAGAATTTTTCATCTTATTTAATCAGTTTTATTTGAAAAGGGAAATACAAACATCTGAATGCATATTTATAAAAACATAATTCAATGATCTTGAATCTTTTACATTCTCGTTTGTTTAAGAATGAGAAGTTGAAACAAGAGACTTTTGAGTGTTATCAAGTTGAACCTTTTTCTCTATTAAAACGTCGAGAATTGTGATTAAAACTTTAAATATTTTCTTAAGAAAGGTTGAAGAGGAAAATATTGTCTACCAAACCATAAAGAAATATTTTTTCTGTTGTATCCTTAGCTTTATCTTCTACTTACTTTTGTAAACCGACAAGTGAATGAAATTAGTGGGTCAAGATATCATTACTGTTGTCAACAACATTGAGTATTAAGATCAACTTAAAGGCACAAGTTGTAATTTTTATAAATCCATGATTAATATGACATAGTAACAATAACTAAATATGAACAATATCGAATGGAATGTTAAGGCGACAAGTTTCTGTAGGAAAAACACAGAAAAATTATTTTTATGGCATCAGAAAAAGTTGCAATATTTATTTGTTTTAATCTTTTAATTACAGCACATCATGGAAAACATAATTACTCGTAATTATTAATTTAAAGTGTCAATAAAATAGATTAATTTTATTGCGGATAATGTTAACATTATCCATTAATTCCCTTATTAGTTTGGAAGAATTTTTTTAAATATTTTATGAAGTTTTTGTAATATACTTTAATGAAATATAATTTGTCATCACCAACTGATTAATTTCGAAATCTCATATCTGAAGCACATCGAGCGATTGTTTTGAATAAACAACGTTCTAGATCGACATCGAAATGATGTAAATGTTGACATTGTTGGATACTTCGATTGCCATTATTACAATGGATAAACCAATTACAATTAGTTGGGTGGGGAAGTTGTCGAGTTACTCCAGGTGGGCAGTTGGGAAGTTGATCAGGTGGTGGACCAGCGTTAGGCTAGGCAATGGCAAACAATTAAAAACTAATCTTCAAATTTAATTTTTCAGATCAACTCACATCGCATCCCGCTCTTGATGGATCATCGCAGGAATTTTGTTCAATATTCCAATGCAGACCAGGTGCACATTGAAGAGGAATTGGCTCACCATTTATACAAATGTAAAATTCGTCACAAAAATCAGATGGTAAGAATCTGACTTCATCACTACCCGGCGGAGGGCAACCATTATCGGGAGTTCCGGGTGGTGGCATATTTTCCGCATCCAACCAACAAACTGCTCGATCAGGAGTGTCGCATACCAGATCCATGAAATCAAATATCATGCCAGGAGGACAATCCAATTCAATAAGTTCACCACCCCAACACATTAAGAATCCTTCACATCTTTCTGGATTTACGAATGTATCCTGATCTACCCAATCGTCACAAAAATCTGGATCCCATGTGTACGGTTTATGTACGAAAGTTGTAGAATTAAATTTTGTTATATCAAATTTTGGTCTTGTAGCTGCTGCTAATCCAATTAATGTAAGAACACACAAACATTTTGTTAAAACTGAATTCATTTCTTTTTATGATTTTCACTGTTTCACTTAAAACTGATAAAGAAACTGAAAAGTTTCATTCAATTTCACTGCTTAAATACTTTTTTCGTCTGAACTTTACTTTGTGATAATTTTTTTTCTTTCGATTAATTAATAATCATTAACATGAACTTTTGACAAAGCAAAAGACAATCAATCGCAAGTTTCATTTTTTTCTTATCAGAAATCATCGAATTAGCTGAAACTTTGAAAATGATGGGAAAAAAATTAAAATTACGTAAACAAAGAGATATCTATCTAATTCTATTATTTATCGAGCCAACTACTCAATCATCATTTGGGATTCCACTGAAGGGTGATTTTCAAGTTTATTTTCAAGAATGATTCACGAAATTTCGTCTTTATACGTTTCGAAATTATTTCACTTTTCATTTTGTAATGTCAAAAGAAATTGTGAGAGTTAAATTTATAAATAAAAGTTTAAAGAAACTTCATGTTAAAAGATCTTGATTGATTTATTATTCTCAGCATTTCAACAATGTCAAGAATCGAATAATCAACAAAGAAATTCTGGTTAAAAGAAAAATAAAAATTCGTTGTGACGTCTTTCAAGTGACGTCATCTGCAAAAAATTTCCACTTCAACTTCTTTCCTTGCACGATTCAACCAATCACTGTGCGAGAACGTCTTTGATATCAAAAATTATTCAAAGGTATCTTAATAGCATTAAAAGGCTTTAATCTTTCCCTTTCTAAGAACATCAAGTGATGAGTTTTAAGTAGCATCGCATTATCATATCTTGTGTGCATATTTATCGCTCAAGGAAACTTACATTCTTCTTCTTATTCAGCATAGCTTCTTATCTATTCTAAAATGAAATAACTTTTAAACAGTTAAGCTAAAATGTTGATACTTGTTAAAACTAGCAAACTGTTGCGTGCTAAAAACACGAAGTCTCATCTTCGGGAAAATTTCTTGTGCATTGTTTTATCTGCGCACACTCATTGAGTGGAAAAGTTTCAACAAGTTGTCGAAACATGCATCTGAAGAACGTCGGAAAATTCAACGACGGCAACATCCAATATAAATTCAAGAGTTGTTTAGAAAATCTTTCAGTTGTTGTCGGATATCCATGAAATGAGCATAAAACAAAAGTGAATAAACATTAAGAACAACAAAAAGTTATTTTTTGGTGTTCAAGTGCTGGATTTTTAACATAAAAAACTTTGCTTGAACTAATATTTTATTTCTGGAAACGCTTTCTAAAGTAGTTGTTTCAACTGTTGCCAAAAATTTGATTTGAAAAAATTATTCCAAAAAGAAGTAAGTAATTAAATATATTTAAGTCGAATGAAAATATTATCAGCCAAATGTTTAAAATCTCATGGAACAATTAAACAAATAATCTGATATTTAAATTAATTTTGATAAAGAATTAGTAAGAATGAAACAATTTCCATTATGTTGTTTTCGAGTTAATGAAATTTCTTAAGAATTTCTGCAACAAAGTAATTTAACCAATTTAAACAAATTGGAATTGCAAAAATTCGATGAAATTGTGAACGATCATGAAAATTCCTAAAAAAGTCATTTTCGTTTTGTATTCTTTCGATATTTCTCCTATAAATCAACCATTAATCTTATTACGATATCATGAGCGAGGATTAAAAGTTCAAGTTGTTTTATGTGACTTTGAGGCTTCATAACATATCATGAACCTGTCATATTTCACAAGAATGATGAGCGAACAGATGGTTTTGGCGATTAATCGTTTTTAATCTTATGTCATGGATTTGTTCTTATAAGACCACATGAAACATTGAAAGCTTTCTCGCTTTTCTCCTTAAATGTTAACATCATAGACAAGACAAGAAAACGTGAATGAAGATTAACGAAGAATTCTTGAAATTCCTTTCCATATAAATTCCTTTTATTAAAGTCAATCAAGTGGGAGAAATGACAAGCACAACTCTTTAAGAACCGTTTAGAATCGAATTTATTTGGAAACCATGAAAAACTGTAAATTTAATTTGAAAGTTCATCTACTTGAACTGCATAAGAAATGCAATTTCAATGGAAAAGTTTCTTCATCAAAATTAATCTTTTAATTGATTCCACGTTTCCAAGTCGTAATTACTCAAGTTCCATTACTATGAATACAAATTAAATATAATTTGTAATTTAAATTGGTCAAATGTTAATTAAATAATGCAATTTGTAAACCACAACCAGTAATGAATCACACCTAATTAAAGTGTAAATTCCTTCAAAGTCTTGTATGTATATCTTCATCTTTTATTTTATTGGCTTTATGTCACTTAAGGCCAAAACATTTAAACTTTAAATCTTGCTCATCAATCTTAATAAGAGTTTCTCCAAGGTTTTTGTTCTTTGTATTGTTTATGTAAATACATGAAAGAAATTCTTCAACAGAAAATTGGAAAACTCTAATTAGAATTGCAGATCTCAAAACCTTTGAAAGATTCTTTGATGGATATTTGGGGAAATGAAGAAATTTTTTTCCGATTTAAACCTCAAAAACTCAAAGTCAATAAATTATGAAAGATTTGAAATTTAGATAAAGGCTAGAATTCCAGAATATCCTAAAATATGCTTTCTAAACCTTTTAAGAATTATTCCATTGTTCATCAACTTTTGAATTAATTTTTACAGAAAATTAGAACCACGAGTGGTTTTTTTTCTCGTAAAATTTTTAGTATTCAATTCACGTCGATTTTAATTTTACTCACCTATTTTGATTAATGTTCAATTGTTCAGCAACCTTTCATGAAAAGCTTTTCCTATTTCTTCTCAATCTTCATCAAATAAAAACTATTTTTTTTGATTAACTTTTAAGCCACCCCAACAATTATCTTGCTTTAAAGATTCCGACAGATTAAAAATAAGAACGAACTGCTTGTACATTTCAAGAGAAATTCTTTTGTTTTCTTGCACATTTACTTCATAAAATATTGATTTAAAAGATTTGCAGACTTTAATGAAGAAATAACGAAAGAAAAACAAATAAAGAAAATTGGGGAAAGTTTAGTGAGTTGAGAGGAATGGAATGAATTTTATTTTACTTTTAAATTGTTATTCAAATCACGTATTTGTCAGTGAAAATGAAAAATTGATTAGAGTCAGTGTCTTAAAAAAATTAATAAAATAAAATTTAATTTTGCGTTGGATTTTAAACAAAAATTCAAAACATAAAAAAAATGTTAAGCGTTGAAAGAAAAGAATTTTTTCAGCTAAGCTTAAACCTCATGATTTATTTCGTTGGGTGATGTAAATCGTTGCTGTTTGTTGTACCGGTTTATGTTTTGAAATCGTAAACATAATAATAATAATTTCATGTTTTGACTTCATACATAAATTATTTCACAGCCATAACGAAAACGACCATCCGAGGGAGAAAATCGTGACTTCTGTGAACTTTCCAATGTTTTCTTTGGATATTTAACTTTAAGACTTCAACTTTGAATTGAAATCGAAAGTCTCATAATAAATTCAAGTTTGTGGAAATCATTGCGTCAATCTTTTCTTACTTCCAATATTTCTCAACATTGTGTTGATTCATATCTGAGGTCACAGGAAAATATCACAGAATTTCCTTAAGGAGAAAAAAAAATTGTTAACAAATGTGTCGTAAGATAAACAAAACAGAAAAAATGAGAGAAACTCAATCAGGATTTCATGTCACAATCCTGTCAGCACAGAACTTCGATCTTATCATAATCAATGTCGTGTAATATTTCATGTATAAGCATTATTTGAAAAAGATAAAATAAGACGTAATAATATTCAGAAGCGTCACCGTTCTCACCTCATACATAAGTTCTTTGGTTGGCTGCTTCACTATATGTGACAACACGTTTCCCATCAAATGCGTGTCAGAAAAGTTTGACAACTTCGCACGTTAAAGCATTCGATATTCGTTACTCATCCTTTTGAATATTTAATCAAAAGCTTCAAATCAAATCACATTCTTATTGACTTACTTCAGGTAATAATATTTGAGATTCTTTTACCAATTCTTTCAGTTCTTATCTTTCCGTCTACTTAGAACTACGACTTTTTGAATCAATTTAACAATTTTCTCTATTGCGAAGTAATAAATAACGACACGATTTCTTTATGGAGAAACTTTTATCATCATTTCAGTTTGAAGCATCTTCTTAACATCGGAAATAAATCAATTGCCTTGGTGAAAGCAAAACTTGATTCTTTCCATCTAATTAAACACAATTTCTTTCCAATTTCACCTCAATAAAACTTTCAAAGCTTCAATGAAACCTTCTAAAGAAATATGATTCCTCTTAACAAACGTCACAACTTTTTCATCTATTTATAATTCGTGGGCGAAGCTAATAATTGAATAATCGTCAAAGACGTGACAGAGACACTTTTCTCAAGGGTTAAAAACTTTTATTTAAGAACGGATGAACTCTCGATAAGATTATAGTGTCGACTATTATGTCAATAGCCAATAAATCATGAGGTTTCTTTGTGATGAGACAAATTTTATGGAATCGTTATTGGCTTCAACATTTTCATATTAGAATTCTGTGTATGAAGGCGAAAAAGTAAATAAATGCTGTCAGACTTTTAAACAGGCCATGAAATGAAAGTTGAAAATCTTTCATAACATTTAATAAAAAAGATTTTTAAGCGTTCGCTTAGTGTGAAGAATAGAATAAAGAAACATCAAACATATTGAATTCGTAATCTCTAAAAGCTTCACAACTTTTTGAATTCATTAGAACGATTCCTTCTCATTATAAAAGACGAGTTAATTAAACTAAATCTTTCAGCTCTTTACTTTCGCTTAACAAATCCACTCCGATTTTCCAAGTGGCTGCTTTCCTTAACATTATTTACCGAAAGTGATTTTGTGGCTTAAGTTAACACAAATCTGAATCTTCCTGCTTAGTTAATTAAAATGTCGTTTCACGAATTATGTCTGACATAAATTTACATTCCCTTAAATTAGTTTTATGTTTCATTTCACATTCATTCTTCTATAAGTTGTGGGAGTTTCAAGTTAACAATTTATTTACGGTTTCCTCTGATTACATATGCTTTGGAGTATGGTTAAAGAAAACGTAAATTGCAACTTCAAAATATGTTAAATACAAAAGATTATAAACATAAATCGAAAGATGAAACTGGGAAAATTTTTAAGACGTTAATTAGAATTTTTCAACTCAAATATCTTTTACCCTACTTAAATTCCAAATAGATTTCTCTGGTGAACATTTAAAGCAGCGTAGTTTACATTGTGCTGACGGTTGCTTAGCTTTTTAACTTTTGTGGACTCTTTCATAAGAGACCGTAAACTTTTTAATTAGTTAACTTTTGATGATAGCTTAACTTCTATGACACCCATCAAAGATATATTTTTTGACTCACCAAACAAAAATCAGAAAAAAAATCGAAAGATGAGGAAAAATATTTAAACGAGTATTCTTACCTTTCTTGAGGAAAAGTCTCTCGTTCGACTGAGAAGTTGATTTGTAGGGAGATTTATTTGTATCTTAAATCTGACAGGGATTAAACAGATTTTAGAGTTTTGACCTTATCTTCCTCAATCTTCACCCACTCAATACGTATCCAAACATTGAAAATTCTCCGACAATGAAAATTTTTCTTTTCCCAAATCTTCAAAATATTTTTGCAATATTTACTCATCTAAAAATACTTTTATTAGCTTCGTTACATTAAGTATCTGTAAACGAATATTCAAATTGGCCATCTCTGCAGTGCAGAGAACGACCGTAAATCATAAATAAACGTGGAACGAACAATATCACCTGTTGAGTTTTGGGTCACGTTTATGTAAATTATCGCGCTTATTTTCGCCAACGTTTTGGCTTGTTCATTGACTAACGACCACATAAAGCAATGAAAGCGTCATAAGATTCAAATTACGATAAATATCTGATATGGAAGAAGAAAATTTCAAAAAACTGATACAAATAAAAAGGAAGCAATAACAAACCATTGCGAATCATTTATGTGGGTGTACTCATATTACTTTCGGAACTGTAAGCATAGATGTTTTGTTCTGTTTTTTAACTTCCAAAACAAGATAAAAAAGGTAATCGAATCACAACAAAAATTAATTAAATTTTGATATCTACAACATCGCAAAACACTTTTTTATCTGGTTGCGTACCAAAAATCCATTGAGAGATTGAAAGTAAATATTGAATGCGATTCAAAATCAATCGAATGTATTGGGTTCATGATGCAAAAAGGTTATTCAGGTGATGCTTTTTTACGATCTTTTACATCTTGCAACAATTTTCTCGCATAAAAATGCAAATTTTCATTATTTTCTAAGCAGTAGCATCAGAAAACAAAATTAATCCCAAAAGTTTACGTTGCCACAATTCTAACTCTGAATATTTATCATTTTAAGATAATAAACGTAATCAAGCCTTTAATGAGCATCTGAAATGGAAATTTATGTTCAACATTCGGTGAACGACCAGATTAAGAAGAAAAAATGTAAGGAAACGGAAAAATTACATTGAAAATGGAAAACGGCGCATTTTCCTTTATTTTTCTCATTTCATTTTCATTCTTTTATCTTTTTTTGTAGCTTTAAGGAAGTTTGAATTTTATTTACTTGGATTCCATTCGTTTAAATACTTGATGGCAATGCTTTCAAGACTGCTGCAATGAAATGTTTTATTTTACGACTAAGATGCGACAGGTAGATATGAAGATGTTGATGTTTACTTGACAGATTTATTGTCATTTCTGACTTGACTGTGGGAAGATTTCGTCCCCATCAAATATATTGCAACATTCATAGAACTTATCCTCGATTTTTTAATTAAAAAGGGGAAAGAACAACATAAGTTATTTAAAAGAGAATTGTTGAAAGTTAAGACAAAAGGATTTTATCAAATGTAAATATTTAAACAATTTCCTGTCCATTGGATACTTCCAAACAATCAAAACGAAATTCCCTAAAAGGGATCTTTTCACTGACGTTCAAGATTTATTCAAATTCATCTGCAGATGTTGTTTGTTTGTTTGTTTATTTATTTCTTCATTTGTAAACATTTAAGAGCATGCTCTTTTTAAGATTTTCTAAGAAAATCTTCTCATGATTACAGCTTGTCTTATGAAATTTTATTCTTGAAACAAGACAAATTAAAACTATGACATGATTGATAAAAATCATACAATCTCAATGAAGTAAAATATTATCACTTCATATCTCAGCACTAGATAACATTCATTCAACATAGGCTAGTAATGATTCAGTGGATGTTTTGGGATGGGAAAGGGGAGGGTTGAGCATTCATTCTTGTAATCTCTGCAAGTTAAAGTAAGACAAGCATTTCGTTTTGAAAACCGAAGTCGAATTTGCCATTCTTATATCCGATTTAATGCTATTCCATATTTGAATCCCAAGAACAAAAAATGAATTTGAAAATTGTGATCTGAGGTGTGAAGGTGTTTGTAAAACTCGATTACGCGACGATTTGGTAAAGATTATCTTTTCATATAAGTATTCAGGTTGTTTGTAGCGTAATAAATTATAAATAAAAAGACACGCTCTATATTTCAATAAATTCTCAATCGAACTACCAACAACATGAGATTTGTACCGAGACACAGATTCATATCGTTTTTTATCAAATATATATCTGACACATGAATTATACGCTGATTCAATTTCTTTCCAATCAGCCCTTGATGCACCTAAATAGATATTGCTACAGTAATCAAACCTAGGAATTAAGAGCGACTTAACCAAACCAAGCTTTGTTTCACGAGGTGTGAAATGCTTTGTTTGGCTTAGCATTCCGATTCCCGCTTTGACATCGCAACATATTTTATGAATATGATCATTCCACGTTAATTTTTGATTGATAATAACTCCCAAACTTTTAACTTTACTTGAGTATTCGATTATGTCACTTCCCAATTTTAACGCAGGTATGTTATTGACAGGTTTTCTTGCAATAACAATAGCATTCGATTTCGCTGGATTGATTAAAACCTTATTATCATTAGCCCAGTCCGCAATATTAGTGAGACATTCATTCATATCATCAATGCATTGAGTGATGCTTGAGTGATGTTGCGACGTATAAAGCTGTGTGTCATCAGCATATAAATGGATCTTAATGCGTCCGTTGGATTTATTCTCAACATTATTCACTAAGTCATTTATGTAGAGACAGAAAAGAAGAGATGAAATGCAGCCACCTTGTGGCGTTCCANTATAATTTGTAGAAGATCCTGATGATGGTGACATTTTGCCACCGAAACTAGTCGATGAGATAAATCTGAGAATAAAATCTTCTTATTGTCTGAAAACCGTATTTCGTTTTACATCAACATCAACTATTTTGTAAGAAGAATTTCAATCAGTTTTATTTTGTAGTTTGTTTGTATGTTTATTTATTTCTTCATTTGGAAACATTTAAGAGCATGCTCTTTTTAAGATTTTCTAAGAAAATCTTCTAATGATTACAGCTTGTCTTATGAAATTTTATTCTTGAAACAAGACAAATTAAAACTATGACATGATTGATAAAAATCATACAATCTCAATGAAGTAAAATATTATCACTTCATATCTCAGCACCAAATAAATTTCAGCCATCATGGCTAGCAATGATTCATTGTGTGTTTTAAGGATGGGAAAGGGGAAGGTTGAGCATTAACTTCTATAAATACTGTGATCTTAGGTGTGAAGGTATTTGTAAAACTCGATTCCGCAACGATTTCGTAAAAATTATTTTCTCATAAAGATATTCGGGCTGTTTGTAACGTAGCAAGTTGTAGATGAAAAGGCACGCCCTATATTTTAAGAAATTCTCTATCGAGCTACCAACGACATTAGATTTGTATTGAGATACTGATTCGTAACGTCTTCTGTCAAAAATGTATCTGATACATGAATTATACGCTAATTCAATCTCTTTCCAAGCTGCCCTCGAAGCACCTAAATAAATATTGCTACAGTAATCAAGCTTAGGAATTAAGAGCGACTTGACTAAACCGAGTTTTGTTTCACGAGGTGTAAAATGCTTTGTTTGGCTTAACATTCTAATTCCCATATTGATATCGCAACATACTTTATGAATGTGATCATTCCATGTAAGATTTTGATTTATGATAACTCACAAACTTTTTACCTTACTTGAATATTCAATTTTATCATTTCCCAATTTCAATGCAGGTAAGTTATTTACTGGTTTTCTTGCAATAACAATTGCATTCGATTTCGTAGGATTAATTACAACCTTATTATCATTCGCCCATTATTTGAGCCAGACTGTTTGTAAAGAGAGTTTCTACACAAGTTTTAGCACGATCAGATAATTTCTGTTTCATAATCGTAGATCGAGTAAAAAATAATAATTTGAAACTTGTAACTTCATTAATCATTTTAATGAAAGAAATCTGTGAGAATTAAATGAAGAACTTTGTTACTTTTTAATTTCAGGTTTACAGANCTATATTTTAAGAATTTTTTTTTTTTTTTTTCGAAAGTCTAAAGTCATTCCATCAAACGCATGCTAGTTGTGAAATATTCTTGAATTCATTTCTTTCTTTACAAGTGATGAGAAAATCTCATGAAATGCCACGTCTTAAAGTAAAGTGGAATATCTGGTTGTTGAATGAATATCACGTTTACACACATTTCTAAAGAGTCACATTCGTATTGTGCAAATAGAACCAAATTTGTTTAGTCAGATTGAGTACCTTATTTGTGTTACTTAGCCAATGAATGAATTTTACTACCAAGAAGTGAGACCACAAATTTGAGAAGTCGTTTACAAATTATGTTTGCTTATACTTTAATTTATCTTGTGAAATGATCAAAGAACTTTGCAACATTCCTTTACTCATCTTAACACTTCGAGCGTGAACACCCACGCAAAATCTTTTCTCTTTTGATCTCTTTTTGCATGCACTTCCACGTGTTTAATTGAATTTCACTTTATGCTTCGTCAATTAAATGGAATCCAAAAGTAATGCGTTTAATATAGTAAATAAGCTCTTTTTATATTCTTAAACGGAGAAAAATTTAATGATGTGATAGTAGGATCAAAGCAGATTAGGAAATTCAAATAAAATGATTCACGATTGAAGGAAAGAGTGAACGACTGTTTTATTATTATATGAAATATTAACGATATCTACAATTCACATCATATCAAATTGCTTTCTCGTTTCTCCTCCTAAGGAAATGCTCAAAGGCAGAGAGTTATTGAAATTTATGATAAGTATCTAACATGATTTGTATCGATTGTTCACTGTTGTTGAGTGAAATATCAACCCGTATGAATTTATGTTACATTCATTGTAGAATTTAATTAGCCGATCCCCATTTACTACCTGTTTGAAAGCTGCAACCTCAATTAAAAAATTTAATAGAACACTCATCATTGCTTAAGTGTCAGAAACACTTCGCAACGATTAATCTTTCACTCTTCTTGCGTAGGTAACATCTGAGAGCGCTTCTTTTTATTTTATCTCATTTTGTAGCTAATATTCTTTCGTTCAATATGAAGACAATGAATGATTTATGATGTAGACTGCTGTCTATAAATTGTAAACAAGAAAGACAGAAAGTTGTGGAAAGAATTTGAATTTCCCCACAGCTATAAACTTAACACCAAAAAAAAGGCAGCAAAACTCTTACGATTGTGGTTATAATGCGATTGAAAATCAATATCTAACCGCGTAAGATGTCAAGCACAAGAAATATTTCCCATAAAATATTGCGCATACTAGAATTGTATCGACTTTTCCTCTGATGAATATAATAAAAGAAATTTCGATAGGTCATGAATTAGATTTGCGTGGGTGTGAGAGAAAGCAAGCAGAAAATCACTTTGTCAACAACACACGCGAGAATCTGAAGATATTTCGTTTCGACATCTATTTTTATTTGAAACATTTTTTTAAGATTAAATGTTCGACATTTTTAGTGGTTGCGGATAACGTTCAGCAATGAATATTAAATGGAATTCGCTACTAGCGAGATAAGATATGCTATTGTGAAGAATTCTATTAAGAATAAATCTCCTCAACTTACAAATCGTTTGGAATGTTAAGTTTTGTAAGTCATGACCTTATGTTACATTCAATTCATCATTGTTGATTAAATTTTATTTTATATTAACAAGCATTGAGATCAATTTTCTTTCAAGATGAATTCAACTTTAAGTCTTTAACATATTTTTGTAGCATTATTGTGTGACATGCAAATTAATAAAAATAATCTTTGACTTTTTACCTCTCGTGTTAAGAAAATTAAATGTAAACGCTGTGAGTGTGAATGCAGCCACGTGTAATAAAAAACACCTGTTGATTATATTTTCTTTTCAAAATTGAATCATCAATCAACCCTTCTAGATAAAATATCTTATAGCCGCTTGTTTGAAAAACATCGTTTCCGGCTTTTAATGGATTCTTAAGTCACTTTTCCGTGAATAATTTTCTTGTTGTCTTGTCGACAAAGAATTATAAATTAAGTAAAGTTTTCTAACCCTTTTCCTTACTTATCCTTTGCGTCAAGGAAATCAATTAAAAGTCAGCGACATGAAAAATCGCTTGAGAATTTTATTTCCTGTACTTTCTCTTGCGATTAGTTTTTAAATAACCTCTAGGGTAACAAATTAGTTCAGAACATCAGTGAAGAAAGTTAAAACTTATTCGTGACGTTGATGTATCCATAACGTTGGATGGTCGAATGCTTTTAAATTTTATGATAATCTGTGCAAGGGTCCAGGAACATTTTACTTTGCATAAGAAGAACATTTTATGTTAAAATGTTTTCACTTCGTGAATTAGAGTTTTCACTTTAATGCTTTGGTAATCTTCATCAAAACTCTTCTGACTTGTAAACATTTTGCTGTGCAAGTAAACAAACTTTAACATTTTCATGAATGCCAGACCCACACTTTAATGGTTTTTTTTTCGTAGGATATTTTACACACTTCGTAAATATGTCGTGGCTTTAGAGAACTTACAAATTGAGCTTCTGGGTGATTATAAAATTACCACAACGACTCCATTCAGCCAACGTTAATTTCTCCAATGTTTATCAAGACATTAGCAATAATAAAAAATATTCTACGATGTGAACCATGAAAGTTGACAGAAAGTTTGGGACTTACAATGTCAACAGTTCCAAATTAAGCGACAAACACAACGGTTTAACATTAAGTCTTCTTCGTATTCGTTTTGGGATATCATGAAATGAAAATAAGCAAGCATTGCATTTAAACAATTAACCAGATGAACCAGATGTTCTGTTACTTACTTAATTAGAATCAAGCGTAAACTTTCTCTTTTAATGACAGTTTATTAAGGATGAAGAAACTTTTGTTTGATAATTCAAAAAAGTGTTCAATTGACACCTCCAACTGTTGGTTTAATAAAAAAATCTTTTCCATGACCTTTTCCCAGCTTGAATGATTCAACAAGTAAATGCTTCCTGTTATTGTCGTGTAAACTCTTGTCAAAAGTGGACATTGAAGAAAATTGAACTTTTTTCTTTTAAATCGTTTTATCAAAAGTGATGTGATGAAATTTTATCATGTGAAACGAAATCTGCAAGAGTAATTTTTTTTATCTCCTTAGAAATAAGCTTAACATTTTAATTAAAGAACTTTTTCTCTATTAAACAATAGAAAGAATCATTGAATGAAGAAGTCATTCTGCTATTGTTACTGACGTTAACAATGAATGAGAAAAAACATGAAATTAAGTCATAATTCATAAAAACTTGAACAATAAATCACAATCGATAAATACAAACACGAACAGTAAGAGAAATTATTGTCGTCACATATGAAAATGTTTATCCAAAGAAACTTTATGACATAATGTGTAAGTTTTCGAATAAATTGAAACTTTTTCGTTCGTCATGAAATTTGACTTCTCTTTGGAAATTCAATCATAAAAATTCATGGAATTTCAAAATCTAATCATCCAAAAATGACACAAAGGCATGCGTAGAAATCCTAGAAAAGTTGTAAACGTGAGATAAAGAAATAAATAGAAATAACTTTTGCGTAATCATCTCGTAGAAATGTCAATAATGATGTTGTTGCTACGAAGAATCATTAAGAGAAATTATTAAAATAACAATCAATATTAATTAAGCATAAAAAATTTACGTAACGTTAAAAGTGTTTATGGATTCTTATTTAGCTTCTTAATTTATCAAGAAATTATTATTTCACTTCCAGATCACCATCACAGTCTAAATGATTTGTCTAGATAGCAAGATGAAAGTTCAGTGTTATGCAATCATTTTAACGATGGCATATGTTGCATCTACAACACTTGCTGATACTTCGTCTTCAAATGCATCACCTGAGAAAGCAACAGGAAGTTTGTCAGCTGGTATTGTTGATGCACAGCGAGTGGAACGCTCACCGAAATACGATTTCGGATTGGGGAAGAGAAGGTACATAATAACGACGGGTGGTCCTGGGAAAAAGCGGTTACCACACTACAATTTCGGCCTTGGCAAGAGATCAAAGTAATTATCAGATGACCGACTTTGATAAACGTCTTAAAAGATGATCTCATGATATGTCATTTTGCACTCTTTCAGTCCCTACGCCTACAACTTTGGTTTGGGAAAACGTGCCGATATTGACGATCCTTCAAATTACGATGACGACACAGAATTCTACTCTGACTCGAATAATTACGATAAAGCAGGCTTGAACTTGGAGAATTGGCAGAACGGTGGATTGATGGACAATAAGAATGATATCGACGTTATTGATTATGACTTGGGATATCCTAGGGGTAAGTTGGGTGAAGCGAAACATAAATCTTAGACAAATCTTTCAAAGATTACTTTTCTCTTTCAGAATATAAACGTTCACCGAGACCGTATAGCTTTGGGCTTGGAAAGCGACGACAGTACGATTTTGGCTTAGGAAAGAGAAAATACAGCAATGACGAATATGACACCAATAAGAGACTTCCAAACCGATACAACTTTGGCTTAGGCAAACGTTAAAAGATGCTTCAAGCAGCCAAATGATGTAGATGACTAAAGCTCATGCTCAATCGCCAACTCTTTTCTTGAAAGATCGTCAAAAAATTTCTACATAAAAATGTTTTAGAAGAAATATCCCTGAAGATTTGTTTCTCCCATAAAATCTAGAATGGTTTTGTATTGTGACTTTGTTCAGTATTTGATAACCTGCCGTAGTATTTCTCACCCACTACTCATCATGTTGTTATGTAAATAATCAACAAACATCAGTAAATGTTGGATTCACAGCCAACAAAAGATGGAATAAAAAGAATGGAAAGTTTTGCGTTTTTTGTTCTTTCTCAGTTTCATGTCTTTTGAAAACTATAAAGTCGCATACAAAATGAAGCTTCCATCAAAGAATATCATGTAACAAAAGAAAAATTTAATATCTATTACAAACAAAAGATTAAAAAACATATTTTTGTGCATATATGATTGTGAAAAATTGTTGAGAGATAAATATGAGAAAATCATAAAAATTATAATCATTCATTGAAGGAAAATGATTAAATTTTAAGGAAATTTTGAGAATATTTAACAAAGTTAAGCTTTCGTGTCGTTTTTCCATCGTCAAATCAATTATAAAGGGTTAAGGTGATCTACAAATCTTAAAATACAACATAAAACCACAATCTTTAACATGCAGGGGGATCTTGATGGAAAAACTTCACGAAAGCAAAGAAAACTTAAACAGCCCAAAACAAAAGTCTTGTAAATTTAACTGAAACGCCATGTCACAGAGAAAGAAGATTAAAGATGCCAATTATTCAAAAAAAAGGAGATACATTGAAACAAATGAGAATAATTTTAAAACTTTTAAAATGTCTAAATATTTATCGACTTACCAAATCATTATATTTGCATACACAAGATGAAAAAGCAAGATTTGTTGTCTATTTAATAAAACAAAGAAAGAAGAAAATTTTAATATAAATAAATAAGAAGACAAGCACAATTTTCATTAATATTTCCGTTTCGGTTTATTGGCATAAGAAAGTTGTTTTCACCATCATAAAAAAGACAAAAAAAATAAGATAATGACAACAACAGAAAAGGAAATCGAATAATAATCTGAATAATTAATAATTGTTAGAAGATAAATAAAATTTAAGATAATCTGCTAAGAATGCTGAAGAGTTTTTATGCATGTCTTATGTTGAGCGTTTTCAGAACGTTGTCGAATGCAAAAACCGAGGAATAAAAGATGTAAGGAGTCTTCTTGACGACACCGTAATCAGGTTGAAGTGATGGAATTTCGTGACATTGTCGAAGCATCTCCGGTGTGATAAATCCTGAACTGTAAGCTGACTTCTCATGGTGATATCTCAACTGCATCAAATAATCTTTCTTGTACTTAACCAACGACATTGACTGAAAGCCAATTGGACGTCGTGAATTCTTTCGCATATTTTCCTTACGCAGAACATTTTGTTTAATTTGTGATAAAATGAATTCCCCATCGACCATCATAAATCTTCGAATAATCTAAAGGAAGAATTGAAATAAATCTTTCATTATCATAATAAACAATTCACTCACTTCTTTCTTTCGATCGCAATGACCAAACACCCAAACAAGTGTACAAAGTGTGTTGAAGATTCCACAATCTTTGTCACACCAACGAAGCAACATCTGTGCAATGGTCTTGAAACGATATTCCTGTAAAGGACAGAGAAAAAAGATAAATAGAGAGAGGGGGAAAGAAAATGATAAAACTTACTTGAAAAGCAATTTCCCTTGTATCTTTATATCGACTAAGATTCAGGATGATGCAACTGCACAACTCGATAATCTGTTTGTCCATTTCAGAACGAATTGCTTGTGCCATAATTCCATAACAATAAACAGAAATAAATTCAGCATCATCGACGAGAATCCATGGAACAATTCTTGACATGTATTCAAGTTTAGCAAAAAGAGAAATTGCAAGATTTGAGTCATAGCTTCGAAGGGATTCGAGAGACGTTTTCAATTTAGCTGCCAAAGTTTGTGCTGGATCGACATTATTACGTGCTATAATTAAACGACTGACAATCTTCTTGAAGCAATTATTACACTCCTTTCGTCTCACGTAATATCCACGCCATGACGCTTGAATTAATCGTGCAGCTTTGTGTCGTTTTCTTAATTCAAGATTTTCAGGCGTTTTTAACTCTTCGAAACGTTGACGAGCTTGATAGCCGCGAATTCTTGATTGGAAGTGAACGACAGTGACTCGAATTGTTGTAAAAGTTTGATGTTCATGTCTTGCTAACAACTTCATTCGAAATCTTCGTTGAATAAAGATCACAATTTGTCGCAATTCCAAGAACTTTTCTCGTTGAACTTTCATAAGTTTTCTTGCTAAAAATCGATCCCCAAGTTTCATCACAATTTGTTTCTTCATTAACGTGTCAGCTGCTTTCATTTCTGCCAGTAATTTTTGAGCTTTTCTCATTGCTAAGACAGCACGATAACGTTCTTGAATACAAAGTGTCGCTAATTTCATTTGAAGGAACTCACAACGAGCTTTTCTTGCTTGAAGAGTTGCGCGGAGCTTCCGTTGGATCGTCACTGAACTTCTCTTCAAATCCAAAAACTTTTTTCGTTCAATTTTCATTTTCATAGTGGCACGAAAACGAATTTGAATTGTTATGACAGATAATCTGATGTTAAGATATTCAGATTCTTGTTTCTTCATTAAACTTGTTGCTCGATAAATTCTTTGCATTGTAATTGTGGCCGATTTCAGTTTTTGATATTCATTTCGTTGCTTCTTCATCATTAAATTACCACGAAATTGGCGTTGAATTTTTATTATAAATTCTCGTTGCTTGATGAACTCATTTCGTTCAACTCTCATCTTTAACACTCCACGATACCATTTTTGAATTTTAATTGCATTTAATTTCATGAGTAAGAAGTTTTCTTGTTGTTTTCTCGCTTCGCAATTATTTCGCCACCATTTCTGGATTTTTATAATTGAATGTTTAATTTTAAGGTATTGCGATTGTTGTTGATTCATTCTGACAATTGATTGAATCTTTGTTGCTGCTAAATTCATTCCGTGAACTTTTTTCATTACTTGGAAACGTTGACGAGCGTGACGACCGCGAATAATTGATTGCATTTTAATGACAGTGACTCGAAGTGTTTGATAACTTTGACGTTCCTTTCTTGCTAACAATTTTAATCGGAATTTCCGTTGAATGATAATCACAGTTTGTCGAAGTTCAACAAATTTCTCTCGTTCAACTTTCATGTGTTTGTTTGCAAGAATTCGATTTTCAAGTTTCATTACAATTTGTTTCTTCATTAAAGTGTCAGCTGCTTTCATTTCTGCGAATAATTTTTGTGCTTTACGCATTGCTAGAATCGCACGATAATGTTGTTGAATAGAAATCGTAGCAAGACGCAATTCAAAGTAATCAAAGCGAACTTTTCTTGCCAAAAGAGTTGCACGAAGTTTTCTTTGAATTTTTATCGAACTTTCCTTCATCATGACGAAAGATTTTCGATCAATTTTCATCTTTAATGTTGCACGATATCGATTTTGAATGGAAGTGACACATGATTTGAGTGTCAGGAAGTCATTTCTTTGTTTTCTCATTGCAAACATCGCTCTCAACTTCTGTTGGATGACAAGGGCAGAAGATTTCATCGCAAGAAATTCTTCTCGCTGTTTCTTCATCAATAAATTAGCGCGGAAACGACGTTGAACTGCAATGATTAAAATTCTTTCTTTGCGATATTTTTCTTGTTGCTTTCTCATCGTTAACACTCCACGATACCATTGCTGGATTTTCATTGTCTTTTCTTTAAGTTTCAAGAAGTTTTCATGTTGTTTTCTTCCTTCACATTTAAATCGCCACCAACGTTGAATTGTTATCGTCATTTCCTTAACGAATAAAAATTGTCTTCGTTCTCTTTTCATTCTCATCATTGATTGAATCTTTGTAGCTGCAGAATTTTCTTGTTGAACTCTTTGATTTCCTGCAACAATTCCCTCGATAATCGCATGAAATTTCTTATGAATAAAGAAAGATTTTATTGATCTTTGGATGACAACTGCAGACTGATGACAAACCAATGCTTGATGTTGAATTTCTTTTATGACGACACTTGATGCGATGATTTGTCTCGCTAACTTCTGTCGTCGCCACCATTTCTGAATGACAACAGCTGAACGTCGTTTTAAAACAAAACGTTTTCTCAACTTAAACATTACTCGAAGTCGACGATACCATCGTTGCATTGCGACAATCTTTTGAATTTGTTGTTTGATTCGTTGACGGGCTAGAAATCCGCGAACAGTTTTTTGAATGACAATCGTTGCATGTTTCACTCTTTCAATGTGAGCTTTGAACAATCGTCGAACTCTCCATGCACGGAAATGCTGGAAATAAACAAAAAATTAATAAATTTAAATAAAATTAAAAAAATTTTCTTACTTTTTGAATTGTTAACGCTGCATTGTGATATCGTTGCTGCTTCTTTTCTTCAATTCTTTGATTTATTACAATTTCAAGATATTTTGCTTTCCAAAACTTCTGAATTGTCTTCGCAGCAGCATTAAATCGTGGAGCACGGAATTTGTAAATAATTTGCCACAAAAGCGACAAAGTCTTCTCACGATGTCCGTCAGCAATATCCTTCGATGTTATATTGCCAAGAATCTTATAATCAGCCGCTTCAAGCGCTTTCAAAGCCAAATCCACATTGTAAACTTTTTGTAATCGCGAAATTGCTGTGAAAATTGAAATTTTTATCAAATTATTTTTAATTAACTAATTAATTAAGTTACCTGGAACGCGAACTTTTTGAACCAAATCATCTCGCATGAGAATAATTTCCATGACTTTTGTCAATCGAACGCCATCACGTAGATCCACAGCAAGATTCTTAAATGCATAATCAAACTCATCAATAACTGTCTGCTTGTGAGTGACAACATAATCAAATCTTTTTAACATTCTTATGATGTCGCCATAGTTTGACAGCACAAGTGAAGCGAATTTCTTGAGAATCTCTGAAGATTCTTTATACTCTGCTCTTTTAACAAACAAACAAGGATTCTTCTTAATTAAACGATGCTCTTTTGCGCGATCAAGAAAGAAAATAATAAACAAGAAACTCTTAACTGTGTGTTTACGAAGTTTCTCAAGATACTCCGATTGTTGACTAAACTTTGAATACTTTTCAGCAAGATAAGACGATTTGAACATGTTTGTGATGATAAACCGACTCATTCCATAAATATCTTGATTTGAATTGAGATTAAGTTGGACATTGAAGACAACTTCAAGACCAATTCGAAGCCAAAGTGGATTGTAACAAAGCAGCAACTCCAGTAAAGATCTTTGAAGCACCAAATCAAGATGAATGCAACGTTCTGTTCTTATTCCCAACTTCTTCGGATCATTCATCATAACAAAAACTTTATTTAATGGTCCAGCAATGGTGTCACTATGAAAGAACTTCACAGCTACTGAACGCAATGAATCCAATCGCGATGTGTAATAACGAGAACAAACCATCTCTTTAGTTGGAGCAAACGTCAATTCTTTCTTTTGCGCATCAGTGAAAAGCTTTCCAAGATCAATTTTCTCAGCACTTGAATCAAGATCTGGAGGAATCGTCACAAGTGCATTCAACCACTTCATGTAAGTTTTCTCAATTCGATCCAATGTTTGCTCTTCCAAATACATTGTTGATGACAGAAATGGATCGATTGTTGTTGTTGCTGAGAATGGATCGTTGTTGTTGTATGCATTTACATGATTTTCATTGTACAAACGACCAGAAGTTAAGTTTGCTGGCATTGAGCATGTCGAGGTGACTGATGCGACACTTAACGATGATAATGAATGAAGTGACTGTGAGATAAGCGATGACGATGGTCGAAGATTCAAAGTCTTTGGTGTCTTAGGTGCTGCAAAGACTTGTTGCGCTTGCTTTTGCTTCCATGTCGTAGCTCGAATCATTCGTCCTCGAGATTCAATATCAAAAGTCTCACGACGCATAATGTCGTTGATATTTGTTGACAAATTATTTCTTGGTGGTGAGAAAATCATTCGCATGACTTTCAAAGGACTTTTGAATTCCGAGTCTTGTTTCATGACACGTTTAACGGTTGGAGATGAAATTTCTTTGACATATTTTCGTGGTGACTTTTCAACTTTCGATTCTTTAATTGGTGTTGGGGCGACAGCATTTAAATCAGAATCATCTAAGTTCAGACGTGATGATTGTGCACAAATTTCAATCTCACGAAAATCTGCATGACTGACAGTGCTTTCAATCGATAAATTCTGTTGAAATTGTTGAGATTCTGGTTGACGGAAATATCGATTATCTTCAATGCACGTAAGAACAGAATTCATTTCATTTAAATTTGGCATCGATCCTTGATTTGTACGTAATTGTCGAGTCACATCGTCACTATTTGTCTCACGCATCGATTCCGACATGCGATCTTCTGATTTCTTATCTGAATCATCAACAAGAAGCAACAAAGATTCCGATTTATTGACTTTAAAAGTTTCTTGAAAATTTCGATCTGTTGTTAAAAGTTCGTCTTCATCGATGGCACATAATGTGGAAATTGTTTGAGTTTTCCCTAAAATGTTTTGATTTTCTTTAAATATTATTTCGATTTCATTGATTTCATCAGTGGCTTCGATTTGAATTTCTTTCGCTCCTTCAATTCGTATGTCTGGCAAGAACGTCTTCGATGGATCAGCGAGATTTTCGTCGTTTATAAGAGCACGACGAGATAACATTCTGCTTACAATGATATCTTCTCTGGTGGTTCCAACAGGTGTTGGTAATAAATGCAAAGGTTTGTTTGCTTCCGGAGTTGGATTGAGATGAAGATTTCTTATAAGCTCCAAAGTGTTTGGTGTCTTAACTGGCGAAGCGTTTTCTTTATCACCTGCTTTTACTTTGTATGAAATGTTGATCTGATTAAAGTTTTCTTCATTTTCTTGATTTTTATGCACTGTGATTGTGTATTGTAAGGAAGAGAGCGGCAAAGGCATACTTTGTGGTGTTTCTGAAAACTCAGTAGTACTATGTGTGTTGCCGGATTTCGGTTGCAAAAAATGTCGTGGTGGTGAAGGAGTTTTAAGTTTAAGTTTCTTTTGATATCCCATCGGTGCAATTTTTCGTGTCATTGTTTTCTTCAACTCAAATGATTTTAAAATGAATGAAACATCTTTTTTATTACCATGGATATCGCTTATTTGAAGAACTTCACGACAACTAACAACTTTCAAAGGAGTCCAGGAAACATCTAAATTTACTTGTGATTGAGGAGCGATCGTGTTTGAAGTCCATTCAAGAGAAACGTTAAATTCAGGTTTGAGACATTTTGTCACCATCACTTTAACAGCTTCATCGAAATAATTGGAAATAATCATGGTTCGATGAGCTGTTTTAGACACAGGAACGCCATCGAAAGTTACAATTGATTTTCCAGTGAACGGACGAAGATCAATCAAAGTTGGCTCCTTATCCTCATTCCGAATTCTCTCCTTTTGTTGTCTTGTTGGTGTTAATTTGAACTTTAATGAAATTAAAAAACAGAGAACAATTTAAGCACATTTTAATGGTAAAACAGAATAAACTGTGCGTATTTAATTCTTTTATGAATAGAAGAATGCATTTAATCCTAATTATCGGCACAATTATCTCGTCAAAACAAAATTGTTAGCTTGCAAAAAACACTTTTCATAATCTTACCTCAAAAGCACTCATATTTGAAGCTTATTTTAACATTTAACAATCCTTTAGCACTTTAATTGTAAAATCGACCAACAGTTATGCTATTTCACTCTTTAATTAATTGAAATTCGATATTTATTGTGTTTAAAGATTTTCAGGTTTTCAAATTCCCTCAACCGACCGTTACTTAAATCTGGAACGATTTGGTAATGAAACACATTTGAAAAATAAAAACTCGTTATTTTTTCATTATTGCTCAATATTGAGCAATCAGAACACATAAAAGTAAAAATACCAAAAAGAAATAAGAAATCTGAAAAATACATCATTAATTTGTTAATTCACCATATTTATTACTTTAAAATTCTGAAACTCTTTTTCTTGAACAAAGACGACAGTTTTTGGTTTAATGATATGGCACGTTAAGAATCATTAAAATCTTGAAAAGTTTTGAAAGAAAAACATGCAAGGAGATCAAAACATAGTGACAGCTAGGTATGTACTTAAGTTTTAAAAGATTTATTTTCAAAGATATGGTTCAAGTTCTTCATGTAGAGAAGATAAAGTAAATTTAATCAACATCATCTTCCTTTTTCTTGTTGTTGCCAATGATGATCGTATTTTCTTTGATGATTCTGTGTGAGTTGTAAATGTAATTATCCTCGTTGTCTGTTACTAAGTCTAAATCTTCATCAAGATCTTCATTTTCTTCTGGCTTCCTCATACTTCTGTTATATTCCTCTTCTTCCTCCTCTTCTTCATCTTCATCGTCATCATCTTCAGGCTTTCTCATTGAAAATCTTGAATGACCACCAGGCAAATATCCTGGAAAAGGTGTTGCAATCTCTGCACTTTCTTCTTCAAAGTTTGCAGAATTCTCATCGAAATCATCAAGAGGATCAACAGCAACGTAAGAAAGTGCAAAACCTTTGAATCCCATAGAATCATCCGAGTGAAAACGAATCATAAATTCTTCATGTTCGGAAATTAAATCATGCGGGATCTGAAAAATTTAATCAATTAATTTCTAAACTTATTTAAATGATAAATAAAAAATCTTACAGCATTTCCGCAATAACGACCATGAAGTCGACCACTTGAATCGTCAACTCCACTGTAAACCTCAACGTAATCATATGAACACGCTTTCTCTTCTTCAATTTCAAATGCCATAAATGTTAACTGAATATTTCTTCCCCTTGTTGTTTCAATCACCCACTCGCAATCTGAATGAGCTTCATAAGTTTCATCACCATAGCGTGAATGAGAATAAATATTCTTCAATTTATTCGTTGCTTGTAAATGTCCTCCACAAACTGTCGAATGAGTTGCAAAGAATCCTTTTCGATGAACGCTTGCATCAGAATTAAACAACATAAACATTGAGTTTGATGTTGATGAGATTGGATGTGGCAGTTTCGAACCACAGAATCGTCCAAGACTATGACTATCAGCTGAGTTACCATCAAATAATGCAATATGATCATAAGCACATTCCTGATGTGGTTCAATCTCAAATATGTTAAAGACAAGTCTTATTCGATGTCCAGGCGTTGTTGTAAAGTGCCAAATGCAATCTTTCTGTGCTGGATATAAATCAGGATAGTTTGGTGATGAAATATGACCAGATGGCGAAGTTATTTCGAATTTGCATCCACCTTCCTTGCAATCATGTCCATTCTCATGAAGAGTGAATCCATTATGACATGAACATTCATACGATCCAAGAAGATTTCGGCATTCATGTTGACAACCTCCGTTATTCTCAGCACATTCATCAACATCGGTCAAATAAATTGCTGCAAATCCAGTTTTTTGAATTGTTTTGTCAGATTTAAATTCTAATCTTAAAATATTTCCATCGCTGGTAACAGCATTTGGAATTTTGGTTCCACAATACACTCCGTGCTTCTTCAATGAGTCATCAGACATTTTGGAGTAAACTGTCAATGCGTCGTACTCGCATGTTGCTGGTTGATAGAAAACATTTCCCTCCAAATCAAAATGTGTGAAGTTCAAAGTAATTTTATGATTTTCTGGTGCAATTATTTCCCAAATACATTCTTTATTTGTCGGATATTCTTTGGGAAACGATGGCGACCAAATCGTTCCATTTGGTGTGTCAAGAATACCACCACAAGCCGTCTCACATGCTTTTCTATTGCTATGCAACTCATAGCCAAGATGACATGAACATCTGTGGATAATAAAGAAATCATTTTTAAAATTCTAATTTGATTTTGATTGAAAGAAAATTCACTCACTCGTAACCGCCCAGTGTGTTTATGCATTCGTGTTCGCAACCATGTTCGTTCATTTCTGTGAATAAATATAAAAATATTTCCGTTGAAAAGATTTCCATGAAAGCATAAAAGAATTTAAAACTCACCGCATTCATCAACCTCCTTCATAAATGTTGCTGAGAAACCAGCTTTTTGTACTGAACCATCAGAAACGAATTTAACAAAAAGTTTATTCGATGACGACCTCATATCGGGTGGAATTTTGTATCCACAAAAAACGCCGATAAGTCTTGAATCGGGAGTGTCACCATCTCTTACTTCAACATAATCGTATACGCAATTATCGTGATTTTCAACTTCAAACGATTGAAAATGTAAAGCGACTTGAAATTCTTTCGGGACGGTAATTTTCCAAACGCATTCTTTACTTGGAAGATAGTCGAGTGGATAATTCGGTGACTCGAGTCTACCGCCAGTTTCGAGATTCATTTCTCCCCCGCAAATTGCTAGAAATCACCAACTAATGTAAGTGATAAACATGAAAAATTAAAGCAACTTAAAATTTACCTTCAAAACTTGCAGCAAAACCTCGCAAGCTTGGTTGTTGTAAAGTATTGACAAATGTCAGCAACATTCTTGAACCTGTTGTTGTTATAAGTTCATTCACTTTTCCACTTCCACAGAAGCGTCCAAGAGCTGGTGACTTATGCCAATAACCATCACGAATCTCTAAATAATCTGATTTGCAATTATCTGATTTGAAAATGTCCTAAGAATTGAAAGAAAATTTTAAAACTTTTTTTCTCCCTTTTTTTAATGTTCATCTTACTAGATCAGTGATGTTCAAGACAATTCGTTCACCATGAGTTGCTGTTATTCTCCATTCACACTTCTCAGGTTCATTTGTTGATATGTAATAGCTTGGTGATGTGAACGATCCACTATTGTCTTGAAAAGTTCGTCCACATTCTATACAAAAATTATTCAATCAATGAGTGGAATTTAAGAATAAAAAACTCTTCAACTTACTTGGACATTTATAGAGAAGATTGGCTTGAGCGATATCCCCTTCACTTAATCTTATTCTCTGACCTATTTCTGGTCTCTTTCTTCCGGGAATATCAACCGGAAAGATTGTTTCAAGATATGTTCCCTTCGAAAAAGTATTCTTAGCATAATGCATGATGGAATCGTAGTCTGTCAAGATAAAAGATTTGATTAATGATTGGGATGTTTAGGAGATTAAAACTCTTACCATAAGCTTGACCCAAAGAATTGACATCATCTTCAGTGAGTTTATTAAAATTATACTCTTGACCATTCATGATATTAGCCTTGTTAATTACAACATGATTCTCACGATCGGGTCGCTTTTTCAAGGAAGGAATATTTATTAATTAACTTTCGATGCATCTATAATAAATAACTCACCGTATGTTCATGCCAAAAGCCAACAACATGCCCCAATTCATGAACAACAATTCCAAATTTATCGCAATTTTTTCCGATGGAGATAGCTTGAGGTCCTTGACCGCGTTTACCAACAAATGAACAGCATCCTGAATGAAGAATATAATGCGGATAAAGTAAAAATAAATCATAAAGTTTAATATTTATTAGAATTTACCGCAAGGACGTTCAGTAAACACAATATAATTCGGATGATCTAGAGGATTGCGTTCGACGAACTTGATACAAGTGAAATTCTCCCAATGCTTCATTGCTTGTTTAAAGAGAGCTTTATGTGCACCGCTAAAATTCCCATCAATCTCATATGGAATAACTCCGTAATCCCATATGCGATCTTTTTTCGCAGTAGCAGCACGAGTGACACGATGATGAGTGTTTTGAGAGACGTCAACAGTATCTATTGAGATTTTATGGTCGATTGGTAACGGTGCAATGAAAGATTTAATTTCTGTGCTATGATTTTTGTTGTTCCTACGTTTATAAGGCTTTGATTTTATATGCGGTTCTGGTGGTGACTCGGAAGCTCTCATCAATTCATGACGAAGACGTGCAACACGAGCTTGAAAGTGTTCCTTGTTATTGGTGTCTGTTATCTTTCGATTTCTTCCTTGTCGTCGATTACGATGACGTTTCTTGACACTTCCATCACTATTTAGAATTTGAACATCATCAAGACTGCCGCCATTTCCTCCAGAATTACTGAAAATATTTGGCAATGTTGAACGAGTAATTGGTGGAGTTGTCACAGCCACAACTCGACGATTATTTGTCACAATGTTATCGCTACTCTCAGAAATATCTTTCGTGTTTGACTGAATCTTATTCGTGTCGATATTGCGTAAAGCAATCATTTCCGAACTCGATTTGTTGGCCTTTCCATTTATATATTCCATCTTTGATGACGCCAGCACATGATCATTATGATCTGTTAAATTAAGAATGATGTTCTCATTGTTTTCAATTATAGTTGCATTGATTTCCGGCTCAGCTTCATTTGCCGGTGCTGGCGACATTGTTGGTAGCACTTGAGCAATAAATGGAAATTGATTCACTGATGTTTGTGCTTCTTCGTTCTTTGATTCCTTTGATAAATGCAGAAATTATATTTATTTATAATGAAACAATTTTTAATCTCATGAATTGAATGTAAAATTTCCTACTTCAATATTGTTATTTGAACATGAACTTACAACAATCGCTTCATTGAGAAGTTTGTCATTATTCTTCAACAAATCATCTTGAAGTGGTGCTTGCTTGATTTTCTTTCTCAGAATATCGGTCAGACCTTCTTCCTCCACTTGCAGTCCATCAAGATAAACTTCCTTCTTAAGCTTCTCAATTTCTTCCTGCTGTGCTGATTTATTGCTCTTTAAACCGTAGTCGCTCTGATAATTCACATCTGGCAAGGCAATGTCTCCCATGAACGAGCCTTCAATGAAAATAAAATATAAAAACGGGGAAATACATTGTCGTTAGAAATGATGATTCATCGATTGCGGTTCATTAAACCATGATTTATTGTCCCTTTTCCAACCTTTCAACCCCTCTTTGAGCATCATAGAGACAACCATTGACAAAGAAATTCGTCCAACTGATACCAAGCCAAATCATACTAATAAATTCAAATTGAATTTCACAATTTTGGTTTTTTGAATATCTCCTAAATTTTATTTGAAACTTTTTGCTTTGAATCGTTCAACCATAAAATATCTAAATATTGCTTTCGAATTTAATTTCACTCAGAATGATTTAAATTTCCATTTAAAGTTTAAATAGACAAACATTAATTTGAAATAAACTTTAAAGTGAACAATGAGTTGAGTTCGAGCGAAATAATTAATGCGCGAACATAGATTTTGATGTTATGATAACTGATAACATGATATCTTCCATCCTACTCATTTCATATTTATTTATTTATGTTTTTCATAAAAAACTTTGTTCGCGAATTAAAATGAATAAATCAATCCTTAAATAATGTTTTGAGAGATTCATGAGTTTACAGATAAAAATATGATTATAAGCCTCGTTCAAATTTCAGTCATTAGATACTTCGACGAAGTCTGTAAATTCTGTAACCAAAGCCTAACAAGACTTGCTGCGGAAGTTTATAAATATTTTTTCCGCGATGTTTTGTTCTTCATGTTGTTTCGGAAAACATTCAATTTAAAAGCTTGTTAGCAAACCTCGTTCAATTGAATCGAAAAAAGAAGCTAATTTATTTAAAAGCTCACCAATTTAAAACAACATTATCAGTTCGAAACATGGATTAGCACCAGGTGCAAGCTTAATCAATAAACATTAAATGTAAATTAATTTCATTTATCAGAATGAATAAATTAGTTGCAGCTGATGTCTTTTTATTTTGACAAGTCCCTTACACGTTCTACAATTAATTTACAGACCTAGCTAGTGTCAACCTCATGCTAAATGTCAGAGATAAAGAGGAAATCTAACAGGATTTGTAATTAAAAGCAAGAAAGAATTTCAATCATTAATGAATCTGAATCAAGTTCAAGTTGAGCCACATTAAAATTATGTATGCTATAATTAAAGGAAATCAAAACAAGGAATTCTAGTCTGCCATGAAAATTAAATTGAAATAATTGACATTCGATTTAATTTTCATAAATTGAAAATTCTTGCATTGTTTTCTCACAAACAATACGAGACAAACTTTAAATCAATATTTTTTAATGAAAAAACTGTTCCTATCAATAATTTTTAATTATTTTATTAAATTTATTAAATGTTCTCATTTGAAAGTCAACAAAAGCGTTCTGGGGAAAGGTCACGTTTGTTTACAAAACAAGTAATTGTTGATAACGATGGCTCGTCATTTTACAAGTACTTAGTTTGAATTTTCAAAAGGTTAAATTAAGTAAAATTTGAATAATTATTTTTTGAGGCTTTGTTCGTTAAGAAAGTTTGCATAATTTTGCTCTTCAGATTACATTTTGTGTACATACATTGAATCAACCTTGTTGGAAAAGTTTCCAAAGAATTTACGTAAATCAAATTGCGGGAAAAGTTTGAAATCCTTTTCTTTATACTTCTCAAGAATGTCAAGGAAATCTTTAAACGTGATTGTTCAACATGGGAATAATATTTAAGGCATATTACACAAATATTTAATAACTTTATAATTAAAATTACGACAATGACAGCATATTTCTTGAGTAAAATATCTCGTGATTCATGTTTCATCTTCATCCATTAAAATTCTTAACTTTAGTGTAAAATGCGGCGAGATGCGAGAAACAAGAAGATTAAAAATTAAAAGAATGGTTTCGCACTCAAGGGTAAGAAATAAGACGAGGGATGGGATGGGATGGGAAATTAAAACAAGTTCAGAAACACCTGCGAATGTAAATATTTGTGAATATCATTTATACATTTTCTTTGTAAATAAAAGATGAAACTATGAAGAAAAGCAGATCCAAAGTAGATCTTTCCTTTATTTTCAACATGGGAATTGTTGAGAAAATTGCAATATTTACATTAACTAAGATTTCCTTAGGATATTTTCACTTCACTCAACTCGAAAGTATTCAATTTGATTTGATTGCAAATGAATTCAAATGCCTATTGGTTAGAAGAACTTTGAAGTTGAAATTGTGTCAAAGATATTTCAAGCTGCAAATTTAAATAAATAGCTCAAGGACATAAGATTGATTATCGCATTAAAATGTGGGATCCGATAAGAAAATTTTCATTTTCTTATATCCTATTTAGTCATTAACCATGACAACGTCAAAGAATATTCATTTTGATAGCGTTTGAAAGGGTTTTATAGCATTCTTGAATCACGAAAGATAGCAAAATGTAAAATGAGCGATTAAAATAAATTGAGAAGAAAGTGAAAGACGGAACACTTGTTAATAAATTTTCATAATTAAAATTAAACTTCTATCATATGATTTTCGAGTAACGAAAGGAAAACCATCTGCTTTGTGTCCTTGATGCATCTTTCAGAAGTTTTTATTATAAATGGAAAATCTTTTCAACACTTTAGGTAAGCAATAATTCACTCGAATTTACCTGCTTTGCATGGATCCATATCCAACTGATAATCTGATCTTGGATCTGAATAAGGAAAAGTTGTTGACAAAAGTTCATTAATCGTAAACTTTTGTGTCTGCTTCTGTTGATAACCATTGTTGTTTGTGTTTGCATGTGCATCACATAACGACATTGACACAATCAATGCATAAAAGGAAATCAAAATTAATTTCCACATCTTCGTATTTGAATCAATCTCCAATTAAATTTCAACTGAACTTTGATGTTCTCAAATATTTGAAAAGCAATAAAATATTTGGCAATGACTGATAGCATAAAATGTAAGAGACAATTTGTTGTCTGCTGTAAAATCTCAAAAATCTCTTCACTTATTATCACTTGTGGTTTTCAAATTTGAATCTCATAAGAAACTCATTCTTTTGTTTGTTCTGTCGTTTCACTCAACAGTTCTACAGATCTTTTAAAATAAATTCTAAAAGATTTCTTTCTCGTTTCGCGTCTGATTTCCAGATGATAAATTTAAGTTTATAGTTGCACAATGAACCCGCAGATTTACACACAAAATAAATCTGTTTTCAACTTTGATGGAAAAGATTTTTGATAGAACTTCTGTGATGCTTCTTCCTTCAATTTTTTTTTTTTATTTGAAATTGTTTGCTTTTAATTTAAACATTTAAGTCTTGAATATTTTTTAATCACAACTTTTCTTTTCATCTATTAAATAACTTTTTTAATTTCAATAGAACACTTTTAAATTCTTTTAAACATTTATGTTTCTTTTATGTTCTTTCATCCTTCTGTCCCGACGCTCAACATAAGACTGCGAAAAGTGAGAAAATAAAATCAGAAATGAGTCAGTGAATTGCCATCTTCACATCGCTCATGATCATTATAATGAGAAGAGAGAAATTTTCTCATCCTCTTTCAACTTGTTGGTTCCTTTTCGCTCAAACAATCAGCACACCATGTGTTGTTTGAGTTTTCAAACATCCATCGGCTTAACTTAAAAGTATGTTGAAAGAGAAACGATTGTTTTGATAACTTTCATTCCCATCATTTCTCTCAATTTTAAATCTAAAACATCCTCTTCTCCCTTAATTAAAAATGATATTAAACAACTCTTAGTAGCTTTCTTTGCCAATAAAAAGTGTGAGATTAAACACGTTGCTTATAATTTTTTAACTAAGAAAGTAAAGAAAAAAATTTAATTTGCAAGCTTTTGATGTAGATATTTAAAACAAAACATTTTCATCTAATTGCATGATGATAAATTGATGAAAATTTTCTTTAAAATCTTCTGAAAACTCCATGAATAAGTAATTAAAGAAGAAGTTTAATCATCTCCGTCAAAAGCCAAAAGGTTGTGTTTATTTTAATCGAAAGGTGTTTAAATAAATTGAGAAAAGCAAGATGATTGATGTTATCGATATCTGCCGATGATGCTTGCTCAAATATCAGCAAAAAACCTTTTCACATGAATGCATTTAGGCTTTAGAAAATCTTAAATATGATATTTATGGTAGCACGACATAATCTATGCTTGATATTGATAAAAGTATCAAAATGGATATTAATAATGTGAACTTCAAAACTTCAAGTTTGCAGAATCATATTTAAAAGAGAAAACATCCAAATGGGTTCCAAACTTACTTCAAGAAATCCTAAAAAAGCATTAAGAACCCCATAAGCTTCCATAAAAAATGAATTAAGAATAAATTAAGTTCGTGAGTGAAAGCACCTGTGTTGCTTTAATGCTTGAGGTTTTTAAAACATTTTTTGATAATAAATCTGGTACTGAAATGTTGATTCAATGCTTGTTACAAAACTAAGACTCTGGGGACATATTTAATTAACAAAATTATATATTAGATATTATATGTGACATTTATTAATATTAGAATTTAGTCAGTGGATGTAAACTTCCTTCTTAATTATTTTAATCCATTTCATTTCGAGTTCCTGACGAATATTAATTGGGGAAATGTAAAATCTTTCCGTAATTATTCCTATTAAACACAGGAAAGTGAAATCATGTGCAATTTTTACAACATTTCTAATCATGGATTTAATCGTTGTCATAACTTTACTAAACACATTTTTGGATGGAAGGGAAAATAAAGTTTGTAAACATAATGAGAACAAGCAGATAAAGGTTTAAGAATTTGTGACATAAACAGATTTAGTTTTGTCAGCTTTAAAAATTCCTTTCGGTTTATTTTTAGAAAGTTGGATAAAGTTTTGAATTTTTAAAAACCAATTGTTGTTACCTGCTTTACATGGATCCATGTGCAATTGGTTATCTAATCTTGGATCAGAATATGGAAACGTTGTCGACAAAAGTTGCTCGATAGAATATTTTTGTGAGTGAAACTTTTCATTATTTTCCTTTGTTGCTGAAGCATTTCCGACCATTGCTGATACAATCACAGCAGCAATAAAAAATTGAAAATCAAATTTCCACATGATTTCCATTTATAAATCACTATTCACGAAAGTTAAAATTCATTCACTTTCATCGGATGCTCCAAGAGCTTCCCGTTTGATAACGAAAAACTACGTCAGCTGAAAATTTCTCTCTGAAGTGTATTCACTTGAAAACAGTATTTTACTTTCCTATCGTTTTTATGACATCGCCGTCATTTAGAGCTGAAAAAATATTCACGCATTTAAATTTAATGCCACACTGATAATGGTGAAAAAATTATTGAACTTTGTCGGGCAAATTATAATTGTATGTCGCTTATCACTCTGATGTTTTTATTTAATTCTATTAAACGACTTATTAATAAAAAGTATTATAAGATGAAAAGAGTTTTTCATGATTCATCACATTCAGTGTTTTATAATCACACAAGTCTATCTTTGTTGAAGGAAACTTTCAACCTTTTCTTTTTTTCAATACCAAGTTCCTTTATTTTAATCTGAATGACTCGAAAGAAGAGAAATTTAAACTTCCACCCGCTTCTATCGAAGCTCGTCACGATACTGAAAATATTTTTGAAACAAAAGCCGAGAACTTTACAGATGATCAACAAAAAAGGAGAATGAGAGACAAATTCTCATCAGCATCTTCAACTTGTTGTTTCCTTTTATTTTTCCTCTCAAACAATCATCGCCATGTGCTACTGTCGGCAATCAAATTCGCTCCCGTTTTCTTCACAACACACAATAAAATTCTATGAACAGCATGAAAAGTAATTTTAATTTTCTTTATTTTGATTTTTCTTACAAATGTTTATTTCTCCACCATTGAGCTCGTAAGTTTTGTTTTAAACAAAAAAATATATTCAAGACAAAAAAATCCACAATTTTCTTTTTAAAATAAACTTCTTCACAATTAAATTAAATGCTATCTTAAATTATCGAACAAAAAAGGTGATTTTCAACACTTAGAAGTGTTTAAATAAAAATTAAAATAAAAATCATAACAATAAAGAATAAAATAAATAAATCGATAATTTTTCTTTCTCTCAAAAATAATTTAACTAGATTTCAATTTAAAAGCAAGTTTAAGATGTTTAAGATTAGACTAAAAAAATATATATTAAAAAGTTCATTTTTTTTCTCTATGCACAATTCATCAATGTTATTATTGCAGCGTTTATTTGTAATTCAATTTGTGTTTGCTTCCTTAAGAAGATTAAAAAATAGTGACATTGCGCTAAGCATTGAAATTGTTATGAATACAAAGCACATGTCGATTGCACGCTCAAAAGTTTCTTTTGAAGTAAAAGCGACCTTGCACGGGGATAATTTCTCGAATCATTCGTGATTCCTTAAAAGCTCTTCACGTCATAAGCGCTTGTTGGGAAAGATATTATCAAAGCTTTCGCGTTTTGGTCGTCTTCAAAATCATTTAGATAGTTAATTTAACTTTATATTTTATTATGTTTTTAAGACATTCAATAATTTAACTAATTTATTAAATTTTATAAAGGATTAGTACGTAAGTTTCGACCATCGAGTTTAAATTAATTTTCAATAATGTTAGTTTTTCTGAGACACGAAAATTGTAAAGGAAACAGAATTAAAACAAGATAATCAGATAAAATGCATACAAAATGATTAAGTTAATTTTGCTTATTTTCTTTGTTATATGAGAACGTTAATAGTCTACAAAGTTTACTACATACGTGATGGTTCCATCCTGATAATCATCTTTATTGAGAACACTCGACAACCGATTTCTATCGATTTCAGTTCCATCGTAAAGCGTGTAAGCTGGATCCTGATTGATTTCTTGGTAAGGTACAGTTGATAAAGTTGTCAGTGTCTCATATGTTGACGGTTGAAAGTTCAAAGCAGTGGCAATTGCTGGCTGAATGGGAGTTGCGGTGTGATACGTAAAATTAGGTTCGCCCATTTTTCCTTCGTCTTGATTCGCAGGCAAATCATGACCATTGTTGTTTGTAATGATAGTATTATTGTTATTATTGTTCATAACAACATTACTCATAATTATTGGTGTACTTGTTATGACACCATTTGTTGTACTTGAATCCGACTGATCCAACGAAATAAATGACGATGACGTGTTCTCAGGCGAGTCTGGTCTCTCAGTGTAAGGTTGATCGGTGATTTCTGGCGGAAGGTTTTCAGTAGGAACTGCAGATGGTCGAAGCATAAGCTTCTTTTGCATCTGATGTCTCGGAAAAAAATCCGATGGCTTAAAATGTTTACTGCAGATGCGGTAATGCCGGGGAACGTCACGTTCAACTTTTAGCACCTTTATCCATTGCTTTCTGTGAATAGTAAACATAACGCATAAATAAACACGCGCGCATAGATATTTGTATCAGTTATTAAACTTCTGATCCATCACATTCTAAAAATAGATTCTCAAATTTTTTATTTTTAAACTACCAGAACTCATCCGGAGGTTCTATAAAATGGTGGAACCAGAACTGGTAATAGACAAAGACACATTTATTTCATTCACATATTTACCTTCGAGGGTCCCTGAAAGAAGATAAACAACAATATATTGTTATTAATCAGATGTTGTTGAAATAAAAAATAAATGAAAATTCATATTTGCGCAATTAATGAAAAATCTTACCTTTCATTAGGGAAAACGTGTAAACTACAATTTTCAGATATAACTTGTTTACATTTTGGTATAGAACAAACCGCTAAATGCTTTTTACTAATTTTTGAAGTCATTTGTTATTAGTTTTATTGAAAATATCCTCGAAGACTAAACTTATAGGAGACTTCAGCACCGCTGAGTTTTGCTTTTTGCTAAATTGATGAAAAGTTTTATTGCCCAATTTGAAATATTTTTCCGTTACAAAATTTTGTTTCTTAGTTTTCTTTTTATTCATTCTTAAATAATTTTTCTATCTAGAAATCATTTTTTACTAGATTAGCTTTCTCTCTAAGAATAACTTGTCGCTCTAAATCTTGCTGAGCTTTCATCTTTTCGCTTTTTGAGCGTTTTCCTATTCCTAGTTTTGGTAAACTTCTGTTCAGACCTTCAAGCAACACGCAAGCTTTACATGGTTGACACGAAGATACAAAACCACAATTCGAACATATTCCTCTAATTGGTTTCTTTACAGATTCTCGAATTTGAAGTTGTTCTCCTGAATGAATGATATCCATAATGACAGAAGGTCGAATCTTTTCTAAATCTTTTAAAAATGCTCGTGCATGACCGCGATAGGCATTTGGTGCAAATATGCATTCAGTTGAAAAGTAAACTAACTTCTTGAAATGTGCATACATAACAATTTCCTTCTCATAAGTATATTTCAATGGTTTTACCCTTGGAATTGAATTCTCAGCACCTCCAGTCTTGATGTCAGTGCATCGACGTAAGCGAGCGGTGTCACCACGAAGAATATTCATCAAAACTGTTTCAGCAATATCATCAGCATTATGTCCTGTTGCCACACAATCAACTTTAAGTAATTGAGCTCCTCGATCGAGTGCTTGTCTTCGAAACACTCCACAAAATGTGCAATTATTTGTTCTGCCAATTTTCTCAACAATTCGATCCATTGTCCATCCATAAAGTTCTTCGTATGAAAGAATTTTAAGTTCCATTTCATAATCATCTCTATTTTGCTTAACTGTCTCTAAACTATCGTCTCTGTATCCTGTGATTCCTTCGTCAATTGAAAGCAACACAAGTTTCAATCCGTAATTGAATTTTTCATTTAATAATTTCATGACGTGAGCAAGAACAGTTGAATCTTTGCCACCACTGGCAGCAATCGCCACACGTTGTCCTGGTTTAAATAAATGTGATCTTGTGATAGTTTCATGTATTTCCAACTCAAATGCGTTGAAAAAACAATTTTTACAAAGTGCATCTGCAGTTTTTGGGCGCTAAAATGAAAAAGTTGAATTTTTCTTTTATCATTAAGTTATAGAATTACCTTCAAAGTAGCTTTATTCCCACACTCAGCTTTACAAAGAATCGGCATTGTGTGAATAATAAGATTATTTCTTTGTATTTCGTAATTTAATTAAATATTTTAAATTTCTGCTCTCATGTGGTTTTGTTTACAAAAACTTGAGTCAACTCTCCATCAAATCTCTACAAATTCTGATGACTCAAATATTTCTACAAACCAAAACACTGTATTAGAAATTGTCATTTTGACATAAGTTTTCGTTGTTACATTGATCTGTTGCTTTTGTAAGATTAATTTTTAGTTCGATTATCAATTTAAAGATTTCATTCATTTAAATAAGAAGGGTCTAAAATAATTCAATGTGATTAAATAAAAAAGCGCTTTTTGCAAAGTGTTATGAAAGTTTTTCTAACTTGAGTTCTTTGGAAATCATATTATTGGAGCAAATTAAAGCTAAAATTGCATCAGACAAATTAATCTTAAAATCTGTATAAAATAAAAGTCGATTGCTTGTTATTACATCATTTTTAAGTGAAGCTATCTCAAGATGAGCGACGAAAAGCCAGTGATAACTGACAACAATTCGGGTGATCAACCTGTAGTGAAAACAGCAAAACAGCTAGAAAAAGAAGCAGCAAAAGCTGCCAAGTTGGCAAAATTGCAACAGAAACAAGCCGCACAAGCAGCACAACAATCAGCAGCTCCAAAGGAAAAAGCTGAAGTAATTTTTGCAATTCTTTGGTTAACAAAGTTTATAATGATTCACACGTTGCACGACGAAACTTTTCTTTTTCTTCGCAGAAAAAAGCGAAAGTCTCAAAAGAGATTATTTATGAAGGAAAGACAGCTGATGGAGAGAAAAAAGATATTTCAGGTCCAATGCCTGAAGCTTATAGTCCCCAATATGTTGAAGCTGCCTGGTATTCTTGGTGGGAGAAGGAAGGTTTCTTCAAGCCGGAATATTTCGTAAGTTTTATAATATTTCTCATTGGTAAAGAAATTTCCATCAATTTTCTTATTTCAGATGAAAGACGGACAGTTATCATCGAAAGGTAATTTCGTGATGGTGATTCCACCACCAAATGTCACAGGATCACTTCATCTTGGTCACGCTCTTACCAATGCCATTGAAGATGCAATCACTCGCTGGCATAGAATGAAAGGAAGATCAGCTTTATGGGTGCCTGGATGCGATCATGCAGGAATAGCAACACAGGTCGTTGTCGAGAAGAAACTTTGGCGTGAAGAAAAATTAAGTCGACATGATTTAGGTCGTGAAAAATTCATCGAGAAGATTTGGGAATGGCGCAAAAGCAAAGGCGGAAGAATTTATCACCAACTTAAAAAGTTGGGATCATCTTACGATTGGGATCGTGTGGCATTTACAATGGATCCAAAACTTTGTAAAGCTGTGACTGAAGCTTTTAATCAACTTCATGAGAAAGGTTTAATTTATAGAAACCGTCGGTTAGTGAACTGGTCATGCTCATTGAAATCAGCAATCTCTGACATTGAAGTGGATAAAATTGAAGTTCCCGGAAGAACATTCATGAGAATTCCTGGATATGAAGACGCGATTGAATTCGGTGTGCTTGTGTCGTTCGCGTATAAAATTGAAGACACAAATGATGAGATTGTCGTTGCTACAACGCGTATTGAAACGATGCTTGGTGACACTGCTGTGGCAGTTCATCCCAATGACAAACGCTACTCGCACTTACATGGAAAGTTTGTAAAACACCCATTCGTCAATCGACGTTTGCCGATAGTTTTAGATGAGTTTGTTGATATGAATTTCGGAACTGGCGCTGTTAAGATTACACCAGCACATGATCCCAATGATTATGATGTTGGTAAACGATATGACCTTCCATTCATTACAATATTCAGTGACGACGGATTTATAATTGGCGACTATGGAAAGTTCACTGGAATGAAGCGTTTTGATGCGAGAAAAGCTGTGTTAGCTTCATTAAAGGAATTGGGATTGTACAAGGAGACTGTCAACAATCCTATGGTTGTTCCAATTTGCAGTCGATCAAAAGATGTCGTTGAGCCTTTAATCAAACCTCAATGGTATGTAAAATGTGATGAAATGGCAGCAAAAGCAACTGAAGCGGTGAAAAGCGGAGAACTTAAAATCATCCCAGAAAATCACACCAAAACTTGGTACCATTGGATGGATGGAATACGCGATTGGTGCATATCACGACAACTTTGGTGGGGACATCGAATTCCAGCATATTTTGTGAGATTTAATGATGTTTCAAAGACGCCGATGGATTTGCAAGAAGAAGATTTTTGGATTGTTGCACGTAATTTAGACGAAGCAATTGAGAAGGCAACGAAGAAGTTTAATGTCACTAAAGATTCCATAACATTGCATCAAGATGAAGATGTGCTTGATACTTGGTTTAGTTCGGGACTTTTCCCTTTTTCTGTCTTCGGATGGCCTGACAACACTCAGGATATGAATCTTTTTTATCCAACGTCGTTATTAGAGACTGGACACGATATTTTATTCTTTTGGGTCGCTCGAATGGTTTTCTTCGGTCAAACATTGTTAGGAAAACTTCCGTTTAAAGAAGTTTTCCTTCATCCTATGGTTCGTGATGCGCATGGAAGGAAAATGTCGAAATCATTGGGAAATGTCATTGATCCAATGGACGTCATTAATGGAATTTCACTTGAAGGTTTACATCTACAACTTCTCGATTCTAATTTAGATCCGAAGGAAATTGATAAAGCGAAAGCTGGTCAAAAGCAAGATTATCCTGAAGGAATTCCGCAATGCGGAACCGATGCAATGAGATTTGCACTTTGTTCGTATATGACACAAGCGAGAGACATTAATTTAGACATTCTTCGTGTTCAAGGCTATCGATTCTTCTGCAACAAACTTTGGAATGCAACAAAGTTCGCTTTGATGTATTTTAAGAGTGGTGAAAAATATGATGTTATTAAAAAGATTTCTTCACGTGAAAGCAAAGCTGATTTGTGGATTCTTTCAAGACTTTCTCAAGCTATCAGCATTTGCGATAAATCTTTTGTGAATTATGAGTTTGCTCAAGCAACACAAGCTGCTTATAGTTTCTGGCTTTATGACCTTTGCGATAATTATTTGGAATGTTTGAAGCCAATTTTTGCATCAGAAGATGAAGAGAGAAAGTCAACAGCTCGAAATGTTTTGTACACTTGTCTTGATTTGGGATTGAGAATTCTTTCACCGTTCATGCCATTCATCACTGAAGAATTGTTCCAAAGGTTGCCAAGAAGTAACTTAGAAATTCCAAGCATTTCCGTTGCTTCATTTCCAGGTGAGTTTTCTTTAATTCTTATTTAATTCCTTAATTAACTTTTCTGAAATATTTTAATTAGAAATCGAACAATTCAATTTTCTCGATGAGTCTCTTGAGAAAGATTTTGAGTTTGTTCAAAAAGTAGCAAAAGAAATAAGATCAGCAAGAAGCGATTACAACATCCCAGCAAAGATCAAAACGGAAGCATTTATCGTCAGTTCCGATGAGAAGTTGACGGAAATTGTAAACAATTTCAAAATTGAAGTTCAAACTTTATCTTATTGTTCATCATGTGATGTTGTCTCGAAACCTCCCACTGGTTGCGCAATCTTAACTGTAAATGCTCAATGTGAAGTTCATTTAATGCTGAAAGGAATCATTGAAGTAGAAAAGGAAATTGGAAAGATGGAGAAGAAACGTGAACAACTTCAAACCTCCATCAATAAACTCAAGCAAAAGATGAGCATTGAAGATTATGAGAAGAAAGTTCCTTTTAATGTTCAACAAGACAACACCGAGAACTTAAAGCAATCAGAGATTGAAGTTGAAAGAATTGGCGCTGCAATGGAAGCTTTGAAACTTATGTAATGAAATGCATTAGATTTAAATTAATTTTTTATCTTTTTTCATTAAATTTTATGCTTTGATATTTACATCTGATGCTAATTTATTATCAACAGAATAAAAGAAAATGATTGAAAATTAAGCCTAAAGTTTTTTAATCAAGGAACATTTTATGAAATTAATGAAATTAATGACAATGTTTCTTATCAAATGTTTTACAAGATTGATACTGATTTTCAGGTGATTCCCTATTGGCTAACTACACTACTTGTTTATTCTAGAATATTAAACACTTTTATGATGGCAAATATTTCTTCTTATATTTTTAATCGTCGAAATTCTGAAAAATGATAACAAAACCTCGGATAAAAAATTTCCTAATAAATTTCTTTATTTCAGTCTTTCTTCACTCACAAGAAAATTGTCGACGTAATTCTGAAATTTCGTTCATTAACTGAAATATTTGCTGGTCTTTCTTCTCAAGTTCGTCATCTTTCTCAACGATGACTTTACGTAATCGATCAACTTCGTTCACTGGCGATTGCAGCCTCAGTTCTATTATTTGTTTGAGCTCAACAATCTTGGCACGTCTATCTGAACGATGGTTTAACAATTTCTTAATTAAGTCACAAGATTCCAAATCAATATCGGAAACATTTTCTCCTTTTCTCATTTTTTCGACTTTTTTAAAACATTCCATGACTGTGATACATTTTGACAGTAACTCAATCAGCACAACACCCAAACTGTAAATGTCTGACATTTTACAACATTTTCCTTCCAACTGTTCAGGCGCTGCATAAAGTCTCGTCCCAAAACCATTGTGACGAACTTCAGCTTTGTCTTCATTCTCCAACGGGCAAGCAAGTCCAAAATCACCGAGTTGCAGAGTGAGAACGTCACCATCTTCATTTGAAATGAATATATTCGAGGGTTTAATGTCATGATGAACGATTCCTTTATTGTGAATATATTCTAATCCATTACAGATCTGATGAAACATTCCCAGTGAGATCAGTTGATGATTCCTTTCTTCATCGCTTTTGGAAACTGATAATTTCTTATAAAACTCATGAAACTCTTCATGTTCATTTCTTTCATCAAGGAAATTACGTAAAGTCTTTTGACAAAGCTTCATTTGGATGTAAAGAACCGCCCAAGTAAGTTTAATGTGTGGAGTATTGGCACCATTTGCTTTTTTAAGTTGTCGAATCTTTTCCATTTTTGACATACTTTCAACAGTTGAAATTGAACTTTCTTGAAAATTTTGTTCTTGACTGTGTTGAAACTCAATCGTGAAACTGTCACTTTTTAATCTTAAAGAGTCTGTCTTAAGGAAACTTCTGGTATTATTGCTTTCTTCAGCAAATGAACTTTCATCTGTTGATGATGATGATGGCGGAGCTTCAATCGCATTATCGTCGTATTGATAAGAAATCAGCGGTTCAAACCAACAAGATTTGTATGGAACGATGTTGACATGATTCAACGATGCAAATGTCTTAACTTCTCCCAAATGATTCAGAATATTTTTCACTGATTTTGCCTTCACACGAATCTTTTTAACGGCGTATTCAATGCAATCAAGTTTATGTTTTGATTTCCAAACATCGCCAAATCCTCCTTCACCAATCTTTGCGATTTCTTGAAAATCTCGATGGTAACGACTCCACTCTAATGCTGTTTGTGGGTTGTCATAAGTAAGTGGCCAGATTTCAAGTTCCTTTAGATTTAAAGTGTTTCCTCGTGTTGCTTCAACTAACTGCTTCAAGGCCAGTTCGTATGACATTCGAATGTTCTCGAATTCTGATCTTTCGTAGCTTTGGTCAATGAAGTTCATCTTGTAAAGTTTCTCGCAGATTTTGTTATAAAGTTGTTTGGACTTACTATCATCTGTTTCAATGAACTGGCATAGTTGCTTAATTAACGATTGTACAAGTAAAGAGTAAGGCGCAGCTTGAAAACTTAATCTACTGACTGACGAAATATTCGCACTGAACCCATTGATTTCTTTTGTAGTTTTCTTAGACATTCTCGGTAGAAGCCATTTATTACTTGTTTCTGAATTATCACCTATAGATTAGAATTGTTTAATTAAAATTAAAAAAAATTATTCGACTTTAGTTCTTACGATCGTCAAAGTTTTTATTGGTTTCCAATTTACTCCATACATTTAAGGCTTCGTCACTCTCACTTGACGATGTCATGATAGGAAAATAGAAAAATGTTGAAAAATATTTCAAAATAAAGTGAAAGGTTGGCTGAGAAGAAAACGTAAACAATTTTTTTTTATCTTGAAAGTAGTAAAACTATGTAGACAAAAAAAGTGTCTTGGCTTATTTTGCGATTTCAATCTTATGTTGATTTGGTGTCCTGGGCCCAAGCAACATAAATCAAGGGGAATGTAAAGTTTCATTCAAAAATGTTGAATTTTCTCATTTAATCTGTAATGTTGAACGTAATATCTTCTCATAAATCATTTATAAATAATTTTCCACTGAACTTTAACCTATTTAACATTTCGATGCTCAAAGAACACTTTTATTTTCCACCCGCTAAAAGTTGTCAACGGATCTTGAGAAGAGTTTTAAAAAAAATAAGTTAGCAGTTAAAAACAAAATGATTTTGATTAGATTTATAATGTCTGATGTCACGAAAGTTTCATTTCGAATCCTTTGAAAACTTAACACTCACTTTGAAATTAATTTATTCATTGAATCTCTGATATTAATATATAATAACACGTCTTAAGTGATGATCATTTACAAAAATGCAACAAATAATCGATTGTTATTGAAAACTGGAAAGCGTTTTTGTTTATAAACTTGTAAATTTTCTCAACTAGTAGTTTCTTTTAAAAATTTGTTAAGACGACAGAAATAATGTCAAACAACAGAAACACAATAAAAAATACATTAAATTTATATTTAAAACAGAAAAACTATCCGGTAAGCATCATGTGCTATTGAAATATCGATCATTACCATAGAAAATTTCGTCAAAATACAACAAAATTTCTCTACTTAACCTGTAAAAGAATCAATTAAAAGCAAAACAAAATTAATTTTTTAAAGTGTTTGAAACAATACAACAATCTTCTAAAATTTAATTAATTGTAGATAAATGATCGATTTCGAAAGAGTGACTTGGTGCTGACACAGTCAAAAGAGGAATTTCTGATGGACCTCAAATTACGAAATGAAATTTCGCGAACGAATTCGTTTACATTTTCAAACATATCCAGTCTCAATGGAAGTCAGAATCCCGTTGATCAACAGATGTCTAAATTAGTAAAATTTATTCAGTGCCAGAAAAGTAATATTGTTCGTAGAGAGCTTGAGACGCTCCTTCCCCCACTCGTTTGTCATTTGTTCATTGAAATGCTCAAGGGAAAAGAGTGGCGACCAGCTCATGAATTTTTGAGAAAATATGCATCACTTGTAGGGACAATACAAGATCCTCCTTTTCAAAAAGTCAATGGTAGTGATCCTAGCTCATTAGCGCCTCAACAAATTAACTTCACAACTCATCAATCACAACAACATTCGTTTCAAAGACTTCCAAGTACATCAAAGCAACCGCCAAAGCTAACTCAACTTAATATTGAGGAGCAGAAGCTTACTGTCTTCAGAGAACTCATCACAAATTTATCAACCGTGAAACGACTGGAAGATGTAAGGGAAAATAAAGTCCGATCGATAATAAACTTTCGTTCATGTAAATACAAGACCAAAATCGCTTTAAAAACTCTCACAACACTCAACAAATATCTCTCAAAACACGGTCATGTACTGATTATTCAAATTCTTCATGTTTGGTTCAATATGGATTTATATGAACTGCATGAAGAATCAAACGACGACAGTTCATCTTCCTCATCTGATTGTACAATCACAAATCACTTTGACTATTTGGATGTCGATCGACATAATAAAGTCGATCGTTTTAGTGATCCATCGCATTGTGATAATCCAAAAGATATTAAGTTTAGTTCTAAAACAAGGTTTCATCATAGTGATTATGATGCACCACCACCAATGACTGCTGCCAGCGATGATATTGATGACACAATGTTCGGTAGTAATAATAAAATTAAAAGACTGCGAGAATGCCTGCATCGTGTTGATAGTAAATATCATAAACCGATTAGAATTTTTAATATAAATTACACAGAAAATAGGTGAGTTGATCAACATCTTTAATTACTTAGTTGATTGTTATTTAATTAAATTCCTTTTTATATTTAGCTTATGCACAGCATCTGTGGATAGAAAATTATGTCATATGGCAGCCGGCTTTGAGGACTCGACAGTCCTACTCTGGTCACTTAATGGATATGAAAATTATGGACGTAAACCTTACCAATCATTTGATGATCGACTTTGTCAGTGGTCGATAAATAACTGCAATCGAATTCTAACAGATGATCTCAGCGATTATGAGTGCGATGATGATGTGATGACAAACTTAAGTGACACTTATCACCAGGACGAGACTGATCAAGACAAATGCTCAACAAGTAGTTCAACTAGAAATGTTCACAATCAATTAAGATTACCTCGAAGACAGAAAGTTGGAAACAAATACAGGAGAAGTGCAAGCATTCGTCAACAGTGGGAAGATTACTCAGCGAAAAGTTGTAGTGAAAATAATTTGTGAGTTGAGAAAAGAGTTTTGTTTGGTGACATTAATTAAATTATTTATTCACAGTTCCACTGATTCACAAAGCATTGTTCTTCGAGGTCATCGAAATGCTGTCACTGATGTTATGTTTGGTCGTAAAGATGACGTTCTGTTAAGTGTTTCAAGAGATAAAACACTTCGTCTTTGGAAAGCTGATGCTTATACTTGTGCATGTGTTTATCGGTATGTAGCATTGTTAAGTTAATTAAATATTTTGATCTTTTAATTGAAATGAGTTTCAGTGGTCACGAATATCCAATTTGGTGCATCGATGAAAATTCAAATGGCTGCTACGCAGCAACAGGTTCTCGTGATACAACTGCTCGTCTCTGGTCTTATGAAAGAAAATTTCCTGTTAAAGTTTATGCTGGTCATACTCAAGATGTCGATGTAAGATTAAATTTAATTATCCTTATTTCAATAATTAATTTTTTGTTTCCTTTAGTGCATCGCATTTCATCCAAACGGCAACTATTTTGCCACTGGATCAACTGACACGACAATACGAATGTGGTGCGTGACGACAGGAAAGCTTTTAAGAATTTTTACTGAATGTCATTTGCCTGTCAATTCAATCAGCTTTAGTCCTGATGGGAAACTTTTGGCAGCTGCTGGTAAGATTGAAGAAAAGAATTAAAATTTTTATTCTTGTTAAATTTGATTTCATTCAACAGGTGATGAGACAAAAATTCGAGTCTTTGATTTAGCAGCTGGTCAACAACTTATTGATCTTAAAAATCACACAGCCTCGGTTAAGTCACTCAGTTGGAGTTCAAATAGCAAAAAATTAATGTCAGGTTGTGCTGATGGATCTTTCTATATTTGGAATATTAATAATTTAGGATCGAGGTGAGAAAGCTTTTTAAATCTGTTAAAATTCGTTTTCATTTGGAAATTTTATGATCATGCAGTTCACTCAACTCGTCAAGTAGCAACACAAAGGATACAAAATCATCACCAGCTTTAGCTGGGCCATCAAACTCAAAATATTCAACAACAACCACCGGTGAATCATCAAAAACATCGTCAACTCCATCAAGTAGTAGTAATACTTCATCAATATCATCATCTCTTGTCCAATCAAACTCGACTGGCTGCAAACGAATCGTAAAAGTATTTTTCCATGGCCCCGATGAGCTCGTACATGCCATCGGAAACGACTGATAACACGTTGGATATCATTTTGATGCAAGAAGACGAGCCTAAGCAACAGCAAAAGTCATAAATTAACAAAAGAAAAAAAATATTACAGAAAAATGTTCAAGAAAATTTAAATGAAAAAATGTTTAAGTTAAAGTTTTCATGTTTTTTTTTCTTCTCATTGAATTTTGAGAAGGGAAAGTTTGACAGGAATAATATTTATTTTTAACTCGCCGATTATTTTTATTTGTTCGCATGAAAAAAAACCAAACAATACAATGTTGTAAATTTAATTAATTAACTTAAAAAAAGGAATAATAAGAGAAGAAGGAAAATAAAACCGATGAGATTTGTTAACAAAAAATGCTTGATTTTAATTAGCAGTTTTTTTATTCTTAATTTCGAACGAAATGAATTAGGTAGTTTTGAAAAAAAGGAAATGTTAAAATATTACACAAACTTCTAAAGAAAAAAATCAAAGAAATATGTTCGATATAAAAACAATTTTGTTGTGGAACAATCTTCTTTGAAAGAAATCGGAGAGAAATAAACAAAAACAAATCAGTGTGTCGATCTATTGAAAATTCGCATTATATCGCATTTATGCGAATTATTAAATACAGCTGCGTGACGGGACAGTATGTTTCATGAATATCAAAGAAATGCGTCACTAAATTAAAAATCTGCAATAGTCAATTGATAAAGGAGTCAAAAATAAATAAACTAGAAAAAATAAAAAGTTTTAAAAAATGTTTTATTAAGGAAATATTATGGAGGAAAAAGTTTTTCAGATTATTGTATACGTTAAGTACGTAACTTTACGTTGCAAGCAACGTACGTAAATTTTCTTAACTTTATTCTATGTCAATTTGTAGTTTACGTATGTACGTCCTACGTTAAAGGCTGAAGATATTCAACAGTCATGAATGTCAAAAATAAAGCAAATGATGGAGCATAATAGAATTCTGAAAAACAAAACCCACTGAAAACAATCTATTAAAAGAAAACGTTTTCGAATAAAGCTTTTTTGTTGACAGCATTTTATTTGATGTTTTCAAAACATTCTGAATCGTGGCTCTTGATTCCTCTTGACAGAAACGTTTGAAGATTCTTCAGATCTTAAAATAACAAAAAACAGGTTTGTACATGTAGAATTTGTAAATTTTTCCTACCACAATACTAAGCTTTTATTTAATCTTTTTTACGTTTTGCGACATAGAGATTTTCTATTCACTCAATACAATTTTGTTCACAAAAATTAATCACCAATGAAATGTTTTAAGAATAATTGTATCGATATTTAAAAATAAAATGTTTATTAAAAATACTTTCGTTTTATGATCAGCTGATTTAAGTAGCGTCAATTCATGATGTTTATGCCCTAAGCCTAATAAGACACTGAGATATTTAGGTATTTGTTGAATTAAATCGATAAGATTGTTCATAGGAATGCGAATTATTTATGTCATTCTTAAGGTGTCAAGCCAGATTTTACTGGCGTTTGAAATAATCGTACAGTGCTTGGAGGGAAGAAATCTGGACCCATAATTCCAGGGAAAACATGTACACAAATACCGAATGCCATTAAAGCTAAATAAATTGTGACTGCAATCCACCAAATAACTTTCTCGTGAGGTTGAACATTTAAGTTTCTTAACACCCCAATTCCGACTAAAAGTCCCGCGATAGCTCCACATAAATGTGCTGTGTAACCAACACGATCGAAAGGATCGTTGAGGTGTCGATAAATCGAAAATCCAATATCAGTTGTGCAAAATACAAGAAATACAAAAAGCTGAATAACTGCGTATTCCATGTCTTTCCAGTTCATGATTATTGTTGCAATGTGTGCAGTGATCAAAGCGTAAACACCTCCAGAAGCGCCAGCCAAATATATTCTCGGACTTGCAATTGATGTGCCCATTGAACCAGCAAGAACACCCGCCAAATAAACTAATGCCACACGCCACCAGCAATGTACAAGTTCAAGAGCAGTGCCAAGGAAAATCTGCACCAGTAGATTCATCATAATGTGCATGACTCCAACATGAACAAACATGTAAGTGACGAATCTCCAAGCTTCTTCACGACGTGATGGGTTGTAAATAAATAATGTCGCTGCCGGTCCCTTTACTGACGTTCCAATCGTTTTTACATCTCCATCTTTGTAATCTCTAACAAATTAACAACTTTTAATTGAATATTCAGAAACATACCGAAAATCAAGACAAACTTACTGCAAATGAATAATATCAACAATGAAGAATATAATTTCAACGATACTAAAGATGATCATTGTGAGTGGTGGAGGGAAAAACTTCATTTGACTTTCGTATGCTCCATCTAAAATAAATTCCTTTAAATTAACTTCAAATTCCTTGAAAATATTTCAAGATTTTACACATTTTCAAAAGAGAGAATTTAGTTTTGTTAGATAAGTGAAAGAAAACAAAATTAAATTATTAAATTAAAACTTCTTTGATTTCTCCTACAAATTTTCAATAAATAAAACAGAAAAAGATTAGATAAAATTAATAAAAATCTCAATAAAAGCAAAGCAAGCCAAATAAAAATAAAAAGGAAAAAATTTCAGTAATCATAAAAATAAGCGACAGACACAGAAACTTGCAACTAATTTCTCTAATTTGGCTCAAGCATTTCTCAGATTTTCACACACCTACTGAGTCATATGTTGAAGATGAAACTGAATACGATACCGTACCCGACACTGTAAATTGCATTTAAATGTGGAATACAAAAGTTATTGATTAGTTTGGTGACCATCTACATATAAAATCACCACGTGCTACTTATAAGTTTAAATTTAAAAATAGTTCAAGCTATGCATTAATAATTTTCATAATGTTTTACCAGTCTCATCAAAGACACTTCCATCTCTTCGTGGAACGACATATCTGCAATATTTCACGCACATATCACGTACAAGCCAATGATGTTCACGACTTAATTTATAGAATTCTTCAAAATCAAGATGACCACTAGCATCGTGGTCGTGAAGTTTGAGGATTGCTTTTGCCAGGCCCTTGGGTAAATCAGCACATTGTGAGGGCGCTTCTTTCACCAATCTTTTGAGCTCTTTCTTTTGTAAGAAGCCATCACGGTTGACATCATACTACGCAAATAATTTCAATTGGATATTTCATAATGTTATCGAAGTTTTCCTTTCAAAATTTGCAATCGTAAAATGCCTCACCTTGTCGAATATCTTTCTAACTCTTGCTCGTTCGTTGCGCTCCTCTCTAGAAGAATCAAGTTGAACTTGGGTTAATTGCTCTTGAACATGAGCATAAGGATTTTGCTTGTCAGACCTGCTGGTCATCCGATCCAATGCCACACGTCGTGGCGACTGCAAATGTTGCCGTCCATCGTCATCGTCATTGATATGCACAATCTGTTGTGGATTTTGGGTAAATTGAACCGACATTTTTTCGTTTTCAAAGAGTGTTGATCCGTTTTTAGGTCATTCAGTGATGAAAACTTTTTGTGTTCCAATTCCCTTGAAATTCAACCGAATAATGAGAGAGTAAAGCTCTAAATGACGATTTAGTATTGAATAATTGATAAGATAAAAAGTTTCTTGGGTTCGTTCTTATGAAATAAACGATTTGTTGTTATACAAGCCACGAAAATGTTCTACTTCTTATTCATCAAAGTTATCCGATTTTTTAACTTCTTATCATAAAACGAAATCGCAAAAGAAACGATTCTTTTAATCGAAATATTATTTTATAACAAATTTGTCACCTTTTTTATTAATTTTTTATTGAAAATATAAATGAAAACAAACGAAAGGAAGTAACAATGAACTTCACTCGCGAAAAAAAGAATGTGCAATGAGTCACTTATGCTCACAAACAATGATTAAACCGACAGCTTTAAAGCAATGCTTGTGAGTTGATGTCTTTTTCTTGATGAAAACAAGGAACACTCACATCAATGCAACACTTACAGGAGAAGGAAATTCCTGAGAAAATATTTCTTACGATTTTTTGAAAATTTTCTTCATCGAAAATTATTGAACAAAATTTTTGATTTTCTTGTTAGTCATCAAATGTCGCATTGTTTATTGAAATGTTTCCGAAATGTCACATAAATTAATATCACAATTATTGTGAATTGACATCTGTTTGAAAAACATAAGAAACTTTGGAAAAACCTTTCATAACATATTTTTAAGCTACACTTTTTGCATACATTTCGCCTTAAATTTGTTAAGAAAATGTTTTTTATGAACAATTCAATTGAAATTCTAAGTTAAATTTCTTTAGATTTTTCAAAGAATTGTTTTCTTATAAGTGGAAGTAATTTAGTTCTTAATCAACTCATGTAAACACATTCTTAGTGCCATGTAACGAATGTTGTCCACACCTGCTATCCATTAAATATCTCATGTTAGTGTTGGTGTACATAGTATGTCTCATACAATTCGAGATTGTACAGTCGTTCAATCAATGCAAAACCATTCATTGTGTACATAATAAAAAGAAAAATCATTGTGAGCCCAGATAGAACAGCCCCAAGAAAGAAAACAAAAAAAAACGGAGAATATTGAGCGCACATGGAAAAGATTTTAATTATATTTTATTTTTATCAATTTCAGATAGCATGAAGATGAAAACAATATCGACAAGAACGAAGCAATTGATATCGTGTGAATTTCCAAGAAGTAATTTCATTTCGAAGAAATAAATAAGTAGTTGAAGACTCCATGCTGGTTTCAATTTCAATTTATATAATGTAAAAGTTTTTGTCATACCCGCTTATGTACATCCGCAGCAACAAAAAAATCATTATGTTCATTGTTATTTTGTCTTTACACCTGTGAATTAATGACCTTTTGAATGTTATTCCAGCAACGCATATATTAATGTACATAAGCCTTTCTTCACCACAACAAAGTCGTCGTTGCTGAATCACTACTTATTAATGGCTTTCGTAAGTTGTGAAAATTTTTGAGGGTGATAAAATATTACATGTAGAATGAAATCGACAATAACGGGCTTAAATGCAACATTTGTGACATTTCCTTCCGCAATTTGTTCTCATTTTCAGACTCAGGTTCTTGTTAACTTTGCACATTACAGCGTGGAAAAATCATTGAAGCATTGTGAACATCCATAAAATGGCGCTCGGCAGAAACACAGTAAAAAAGAACTCTGTGTAAAGACATGAAACGAAACGGAAGACATAGAATGCTAAAAATACAAATTCACGCTGAAAGCACTTGTTTAAGAGTCGCTCAAGTTCTGCAATACCTTTCGACTGACTTTTGATGGATCCTGATGAGAAATGATTTAATAAAATTTATTATGCTTGGAGCACATGTGTACATCTCATGGAAGAAAAAGACGACGAATTGAAGGAGGGGTTCTGTTTCTCAAGATTTAGATTCAACCTTGATTTTTCTATTTCTCTCTTGTACTCACTTATTTCCCATAAGACTGACTTGAAGCTTCATAAGAAATGTAATAAAAATGGAAATGAATAATTTATGATTAATGATGGTGGCATTATAACAGACGCATTAAACGGAGAAATGGTTAAGCTGAAACACGAGACTTTCCTAGATGTGATGTAAAAATATCAGCTTTGTCGGCAGGGCAACGTTGTATTTATTTTATGTCTTTGAAAAAAGGTCAATTGGATTTATAAGAATCTCTTCTGTTTCGCAAAAAAATAAGAAGAGATGTTGTGGAATACTTTTTTGGTCTTTGGGCGCATCATTCAACCAACCATATTTGATTACTTATTCAGTAATGAATGTTCTCAATTGTATTTCAACACCTCGCTTTTTTTCAGATCGTTGAGCACAAGCAATGTGCTGTGTTGCCAAACTTTCGCAAAACAAAAAAATAAATTTTCAATGTGAGATGTTTTTACCATTGTTAATTGTAGCATTATTTTAGCATAATCATTTCTGAAATAAACATCTTTCATTCTCGTCTTGATGAACATTCAAGGGAAAAGTTTCATCAAGTCATGAAATAATCTTGTTTTACTTTCTCCCTAACACAACAACGTTGGATAAAACGCCTAAAAGCGATGACTCTTCGCGTGTGTGTTTGTTTAATTAGCATCGCAATTCTGAATTGCTGTGTTATTATTTCGTCATTAAGCTTATGTGTTTGACGTTCAACTTGAGTTTAAAATTATTCTGCACTTTTTTTGGATTTCAATTGTATGTAAGAACAAGGGAAAAGCCCAACTTTGAGAAACAAGCCGGAGGAATGAAAAAGAAGAAACATGGCAAATGGCTGATAAAAATGAGCAAACACAAATGTGTTTTTGACGCTGTTTCATGTATTTGCATTTGTACGCTTGGCGTTCGCTTGAGTGGCTTCAAAATCCGGGTGGTTTGCTATGCTATGGCTTGCTTTGCTTACCCTCAAAACTATTTTGCATTTGTTAAATGTAACGATCGATGACTTCCTTCAAAAAAAAAACGATGAGAATTAAATTCTATTTTAATTGAATCACATTCGAATATATGCAACGTTATCGAGGTTTAATTTCCTTAGAAATTGTATACGAAACATGAAAATTAATCTTTCGAAAAACGATAATAATGAACACATGAAATTGTCTAGCAAAGCGTTCTTCAATTAAGCCGACGGCAGAGAAATATGAAACGAACTTTTGGTTAAGTGTTGAAATTGTACATTTGATACAATTTTGGCTTTTTATTTGAATCGTTTCGTATAAGTAGAAGACTTTCAATCAAGTTTTTCCTCCACATTTCTTGTCATCGCAACAACGCTTTGATTTTTCTTCTTCGAAGAAAAACAAAATAAAAATTGATAAACAAGAAAGCAAAGAGGAGAAACAGAAAACTTCTTCACCAAAAATAAAAATTCCTTTTTGTCATTCAACCAAGACATGAAAAGCCAGAATTTCAAGTAGTCGAAGCAAATGAATGCCTTAACGAATGAAACACGAGGCGCAAAAGAACCCAACGAGAGTACAGTTAGAAATTTATGATAATTTGCTTTTTTTTATTCTTCTTTATGAAGCAAAAGGTGAGAGAAAAAGGGGGAGAGAAGACGTAGGAAAACTTGATATTAATGACATGAAATGCGACGTTGCCAATACCATCGAGTATTTTTATTACATTTAATACGCCAACCAGTGATTATTGATTTCTTTCATGAGCTTTTTTAAGCATTACTATTCCCATCAACCTTGCTTCATATTGATTTTGTCAATAATAATATATTAATGAGCCATTTATAACACGTAAACGTAAATATTCTTGCCATATCATACTTTTAATTGCACACTATTCATAAGATAATATTTGGTGAAGCAGAGTTGAGCAAACTAATAAAAATAATAGCATTAGATAAAAAGAGAACAAACATAACGAGTGAACATTATCTCATTTGTGAAAAGCCAATCACCTTCCCTGACTAAGTAAATAATTAAATATGTAAAACTGGCAACGAAAACCTCGCTAATTATTCGAATAAATCAAATTTCATTTATCAGCTATATTATAAGTAGGAATGTATATGAAGTTATGATATTTTAACGACGACATTGCTAATTTTGATCGTTTCATTTTATCCAATGACGCTTTCACCATTAAAGTTCGTTATCCCAAGTGAAATTTTTGCTCGACTTTTTACACAGCCATAAATCATTAGCGAGATATTTTGTTTTGTTTTTCATTCCTCGTATCTTGGCTCTTATTATCGATCGTTGCAAGTAGATACGTGATGAAATGTCGTACAGAGAGCTAACAATTTTCATTGCTTTCTCGCTTCATGTAAATTCACAACAACGAGGCTAGAACATGACAAGAGATTTGAGGTAACAAAGAAACTTCACATATTTATTTTATAATAATAATTTTCAGGTTTATTTTTCCATTCGGTTTTCTGACGAGGCACTTTTTTTCGTTTATGAGTCAAGTCGATTTATTTATTGTTTTTCTTTCTCTCTTTTGCCTGTTGTTATGTACACAAATCTGTGTACATAAAGTTATTTAAAGTGATTATGTACGTTCACTCTGACAATTTTTTTGACCTTGGAAACTTTGATGTCTATTCACATTTTGTGTCTTATTTTCGTCTTCTTTGTATTGTGTAATATAATAATGGAATCTAATGCATAATTATCTAATAATTTATGAGCGCTTGTAATAATTTTCCCTTCAACAGACAATTTTCTATGGATATACATTCAGAAAAGTAAAGTTGTTTAAGTTCTCATTCATGTGCGGGCCAGGCCATTGAGTGGTGATGAGAGAGTGACGTAAAATGTTATGTACTTTGTAAACGATAAGACCATTGTACTCTCGAGAAAAGCAAGCAACCCAAACCATCGAGAAATGTCATTAAAAATGTATTAGGAAGGAAGGGTCTGCTTGTGCTTAATGACGGAAACAAACTATTTGGGGCAGCTAAGGAAATGGCACATGAAGAGATATTAACTGCTTTCCTTCTTCCTTTCGGGCATCATCTTCTTGTCTTTAATATTAAGCTCTACAATGTTTCGAGTAAGGAAAATTATCAAGGCTTAAACTGGAGAAAGTTCGTTGAGTAAATGATTTGGAACAATAAATACATAATGCTTGGGAAAGCTTTTATTACATGTACATATTAGGATTTATTACGCATTGAAAGAAATTAGATTCCTTTGGTTCTGCATAAGACAAGAGAACAAAATCATGATGAAGGAAGGGAAAGAAAAACAGTTTTAATTTAATTTTAGAGCTTTATTTAGATGAGCAACGAGAAAGAAGTGTGTAATAAAAGAACTTACACAAATGCGATGCTGAACAGGAGTTTGCAACTTTATATAAAAATTATTTTCATTCTCTTACAATTTAACTGAAAAGAAACTTTCGACTTAATTCATTGATTGATGTAGATTTTAGTCAAAAATGTCCAAAAATAAAGCTCATAAATTATTAAGCATTCTTCTTTCCATCTTTTAGAATAAATTTAACGCCCAACATGTTCAACAACCCTGCAAGTCAAGAACGTTATGTACATTTATATAAGAATAAAAAAATATCCACACAGCAAAAAGGAAATAATGAGAAAAAGCAAAGAATAACAAATGGATTAGATCCAGACTTTGTGAGATTAGCTTGTCCTTTAAATGCTTTGTTGTTTCTTAACTGGAAAAAATATTCATGAGATTTTTTAAATTTACTTCGCATATTTAAATTTTATGAAAATTAGCAAAGTTAGGTTTGATAAAATGAACAAAAAACTAATTAGATAGTTAAATATTTTTTTCTTAATTCATCACTGGCTTTCTCATTATCAATTTATGTTGCATAATATTCAATTTTCTTTTTCTTTCTTTTTTTCTGTCATAAAAAAAATTCATTTGGGGACGAAATCAGCATAAATTTAAATATGTAACAGTACAACAACGACGAGAAAGAGCCATCAATTTGGATTGAAAATTTATGCGTATCTCCGATGCCCTTTTTGGAATTGTAAATATTTTTGCGCCGTCTTTTATAACACATAACGTCTGATATATAAAGCGAATCGAAGAAGTGATAAATATAAGTGAAGTTTATTGTTTCCATTCATGTACGACAGTACGTAAAAGCGGGACAAAAAAAAAGTTTTTTGATGAATTTCAGCATATGGTTTCTGCTTCGAAAAAGTTGTAGGCAGAACGTAGAAAACAGAAAAAAAAATCAATAACCATATAAATTTAGCTCCGAAAATTGCGACGTTGCCACGTCATGTGATTGCATATGGCGTGAAATAAATCATGTGTTTTAGTCAGCAGCTCGCCTTTTTTTTGCCTGGGCTCCACTTTTATCTTATCGGCTAGATTGTTTCCCTTTAAATACAACTTTGTTTTCTCCCCGAATTCCAGCTGAAGAGTACAATAAACTGTTCTGATTTGTTATCTATGTTCATGTAGACGGAAAAGAAAAATCTGCTTTTCCTTGCGTTTTCTTTCTAGAAAAGCTAACTGGATTGGGCCTTGAATACGAAGGCGATAATTTTCTAAATTTCGACTTCTTTTTCTCTCAACATTGATGTTTTTTGCGCTTCAAAGCAAAACTGAACAATAAAAAAAAGAGCGACAGCAACAAAGAAAAATGTCTCATTTTTTTCATTGCTTTCCGACGCCTTCCCCCCGCAAAAAAAAGAAAAAATTAAATGATTCTGCAAGCAACTTGTTATTTCATTTTTCATCGTACAAACTGCGTAATTTCAGACTTCTTCTTATCACACTCGAAATTGATGTTCGTCTTCTTTTTCACGTTTCTCTACTAAAGAATCATTACACAACAAACAATCACTGCGTAAATAAAGAATTTGCGTTGGGGTTCATTCCCATTTCACCGTGAACAAAATGAAATCTTCAATTTAAATAAATCTCGAAGCTGAGCTTCGGGGCGTATAAAGAAAAATCGATAAACCGGGGGAACGAGGAAAAATTCTCGCCAGATTACCTTACGTACGTCATAAGTTGTTCAGCTTCTCTTATATAAAAAATAATGCTTTTATGTGTGGTTCTTGAGATTTTATATCTACTCGAAAACTTTTCTTCTTTATTTTCTAAAAAGTTCTCATAAAAACATTTTCTATGACTTTCATTTTTAAAGTTCATAAAGTTTCGCACTACTCAACTAAAGTTTTATTTGCGGAAATTCTTTTGTGAATGAACATGTGCAAAGTTTCATAAATTAATGTTTCTAAGATATTTAAGACAATCTTGTAGAAGAACTTTTGATGTTATGTCAATACTTTCAACAAGAAGCAAGCTCAATGTCAAATAAATGTCAAGAAATGTTTATTTCATGCCTTAATTTCAACGATTTCTTCAATTCTTATCTGACGTGATTGACCATGGAAATTCTAGCTTAATCTTATCATTTTGATAGTTCAAAAGAACGCAGTATAAAAACATCACGGAAAGCCAGACTTTAAATTCAAAATGTTTTACAATGTATTCATTCATGAGTCATAAATGTCAATGGTCGCTAATTATCAGCTAAAATTAGCGAGTCTAAAAGTCTTACTCGAAATCAGAATCTGAATACATTCTCAACTTTATTATCGCTCGCCTTTCTTCAGAAAATGTAGTCAAAACTTGTTCATTTAAATGATGATGACGTGAATGTCATACGATAAAATTTAAAAACAAAAATTTCCAAATGAATCATGCAATCTCAATCTTAAAACCGGTAACGCATCTCTTTTCGCGTCTTAATGAGGCAATTAGTGAACATTAGCATTGTTTTCAGGCGCTGTTTAAAGAGAAAAACTTTCATTTAAAACTTTTGTAAAAAGAAGAAGTAAAAAAAATGCGAAACCTTTTTTTATTAAGAGCCTTCAATGCCAAATCATTAAAAGGAAAAGAAACTTTTCATCCCTCCCAGTACATAACAAAGGAAAGAGAAAGAGAGAAAGAAAGAAAAGTTTTCATGGGTTTGCTCGGGTACGAAATTCAGTCGTCGTTGCCGTTAAGAATAAATTTTCTGTCGAGGGAAAAATCGATGAAAATCCATAGCTAAATGTATAAATGGAAAAGGGGAGAGAAGGAAGATTATTTTGAACGAGAACCCCAGCAAAAACATGAAGGCTGAGAGCACTAGAGGTCGTAAAGGGATGAGAAGGAAGCCCGAGCACATTCATGCTTTTCACAAACAAAACCTTGTGCTTTCCCTCCGCAGTCTCAACGCTCTTGTCTCGCTCGCACTCACATTTTACAGCAAAAAGGAAACAAGTCACCCTATGGATTCGCCACTTTGACACAACTGAGACAGACGATGGGAAACAGTTTCGAATGAACTGGAAAAAGTTTATTAAATTTACGTGCCATCGGGCGACCAAACTTGTGTGTTCATTCTGTGCATGTGTGAGAACTAAATAAGCAGATTATTGAATGAAAATATGAAAATAGCAAAGAAAATTCATTTTGTTGTAGAAGGCAGCGCACTTTAATTTTACGTATCTTCGCATAGCGTGGGGCAATTTGTAGAAAATAAAACATAAAAAAAATACAACCGTTCCCATTGTGGTTCAACTTTTACGATCATCAGAAATAAAGTCTTTTTCATTGCATGAATTTAGATTCGAAGAGAATGAATTTATTGATGTAAGACGACAACGGAGACAACGTTTTCCCTGGTGAGGGAAGACAGAAGACACCTTCTTTAGTTACTTTTTCCCCATTCTCTCGTTTGTCTAACCAAGCGAACGAGTATCGCATGGATGCCCTTCAAAACGATGCCATTCGGTTGTACACTCCTCTGTCGCTCTCTCGATCTAATTTAAACGTTCTACTCACATTGCATAACGAATAATAAGAAAGAAAATTTTGCTTTCGCTTTATTTAGTTTTATATTTGAACACGGAAATCGAGACATTTTTCGCTTTCCTTATGTATTTTGTATATGATTGGGAGCAAAGAATGTGAAACTATTTTTATGCTAATTACGTAATGGCACTAGAGCACATATTTCTCTAGTTTTCCTCTTAGTTTCGTTTATCTTTAACTGCAGTTCTTTATTTTCAATTTGCTTTGCATTTTATGCCTGCGATGCTCAAACAGCAGAAAACTGAACACACATCTGCTGGGGCGTTGAAAGAAAACGTTTATTTCTGGTGCACAAAATCTACCTGCAACAGCATCTATTTTATGATTTAGATACATAATAATAAAACATAATAAGAAGAGAAAATGTTTTACCTCATTTAAATTTTGCATTTTAGGAGGCTTTAAAATCTTTAAAAATATTCATTAATAGAAAAAATTGACGCCGCAGTTCCGAAATAATGTTCAGTTGTCCGACAAGTTAGATTTAGCCTGATTTTAACATTGAGTGCGAACGAGTTTTACTCGACGATAGTCTTTTATTCATTAAACAGTTATGAACATTTTTTACTGCTGTTTTAAGTTGTTGTAAGATTTCTTCTCTACATCACATTTTGCCATGGCTTTGAAACAAGAAATATAAGAAAAAAAAGACCACTTAAGAATGAAATAAAATTTTATGTATAATTCTTTCGATTTCAGTCCGCATTCATTTGTGTACAAGATGATTTTTTAGGTCATTACTTCTCCGTTTCTCTGTGTATATATTTTCATAATTTTACGTCTGATGCCCCGATGATACGAGAAAAAAAAACAACATAGTGAGAGTAAATAGAAGTAAACTAGATAAATGCTTGTGGAATATTAGATTGAATAATGAATCCTAATGACTGCTATCATCTTAGCAACAAGAATGAATTTTCTTTTAAGTTCTTGTTTAAAGTTCAACAAAGCATTTCCATTTTACAACTACACTCAGAAAAGATTGAAAATTGTTTATAAAAAATATCAAACATAACTTTCTTCCATAATTCTTCCTAATTCTTTAGTCCTAACTTATTAAAGTAGGTAGAGAAGAGATTCGATTGTTGAAAATTAAAGAACCATTTTGCTTGCTTTCAAATCTCCTCAAAAACAATTGTATTGAGAAAGAGTTGGATACATTATAGTAACATAATTCTAATGGGAAGTTATTGCTTTTACCCTCCGGCTGGGATGTCTGGTTAAATTTTTCTTGTATAAATAGATACATGTAATCTCAATCGTTATATACTTAGCCTTAGCCGAAAACTTTATACATTAATCGTTTTATTTTTTTTAAATAAGATGAAAAAATATACATAATAAAAAGGTTATTTATTTATTAAAGAGAAGAGTAAAGTTGGCAGAGTGAAACTAAATGTATTTGTAAGTATTCAATTCAATCTTCCCAGCCGACTCTGCTAAAACTTTACGGTTGTGTGAAGTTTTCGTAATGGCCGTTTTTTGTTTCTTTCTTTCTGTTATTTATTGTGTGAATATTCTTTATTGTTTTGTTGCAGGGCGAAATAAAATATGTGCACACTCATACACATATGGATCATCATTTTTAGTTCATGTGATGTTAAGTGACACTCGAGCTCTATATACTTTCTCAATTAAAAATTAAAAGGCTCAATCAACGTGAAATATTTCTATTTATAAATAAACTTGTTATGTGTAACGTGACTACTGACTGAGAGATTGCAATCTATTGCCATTACTAAGAGAAGAGAAAATATTTTATTGGTTTAGTTGACAGTCTTCCTACATTTCTTTTTATTAGAATTAATAATTCAAACGATGACTTTTGCGAATGTCTAATATCACATACTGAGTCACAAACGATTGAAATAGCGTAGAATTCCTTATAAAACTGGTGAAGTTAGGTCAAAGAAGGTCAGGTGCTATGATTCATATAACAGCAATCCCGTAAATAAAATTCCGACAATAATAAAAAAAGAGGTAAAAATTAATGTAATGTATTGGTTTGTCAATGTAATCATATACATAGAAATATTTAAAGTTAATTTCATGCATTTCTGTATCATCTCTCATTGATGCTAATGCGACCTCTTATGGGTTTTGAATTAACTTTTTCGCTCTTAAATAGGGAGATTAGCATGGTTCTGTAACAAACCTTTTGACGTATGTGTAACGTTGAATAAAACCAGAAGCAAGCTACGTCATTCTTAAATACAACGGATTTTTAAAATTTCTCTCATTTTCTCTCTCGAATTCAAGCTCGAATTGTACAGCACAGTGTGGCACCAGGGGGCTGTTCATTGTTATGATTATGTCAGCTGTCTCTAAATGATGCTTATAAAAGCACTAGTGCTTTTCCAGAAATATGTCCATTTTCCAAGAATTTACTTAGTTTTTCTTGGAATTTGTCTAGTGCTTTTATTCGTAATGATGCTTTTCGCGAACAAATTTACTGATAAACAGCCCCTTGGCGTGGCACTGCGAATAAAGTAGAATGGGAGAATCAAGAGAAGAAAACAAACGGGAGATGAGTGGAGTGTTTTGTCAGTGTGTGTAAGACTCAGCTCTAGGGGTAACAAACACTAATAAATTTTTAGAAATGGCCGCAAAATTGAAACACGCGACGTTTCAGAGCTCTCGTTCTTAAACTAAAAAAATCGTAAAAACTGATTTAAAAGGATTTTAATAAGAAATTTATATAAAAAAGGATTTTTTACTTCAACTTGTAATTGAGGATAATAGTGTTGTTGTTTTGAAAACTGTAAATTTCGTGTAAATCTGGTATATTTCAGTGAAATCATTTTCCACCTCGCTCAATCAATGCTCATCGTCTTTCTTCTCTCGTTTGCCAACACTCGTTGTGCTTAGTTTCGTTCTTCTCCAAAACGGTGTCTTAAAGTTTTTCTGAAGTTCAAAGTGATGGAAGAATTCTATGAGCATCTCTGAATCGAGTGAGGTTGAAGCCTTAATTAAACATTTAAAGTGTCGCCCCCACAAGCTCTGTGCTAATAAAAGTCTGGATAACTTTAATCATTACAAAAAAATACGACAAAAAAATTATAAAAAATAGAATTCAGTGGAAAAGTGTAGTTAGAGAAGCTAATAGAAGAGCTTGCCTTCATTTGATATAAAAGAAAAATGCTGTGTTGCATAATTTATCTCAATGAGTGAAAAATGAATCCAAGGTATTGACCAAAATAATTTTCAAAAATGTTGCTAATCAGCATAATCAGAAAAAAGAAACATTCAAAATCAAATATAATGCTGTTTAAAATTTGTTTATTTAAGCAGAAATATTTTTCTGCCTTACGTGACTGAAATATTAGAGTCCCAAAAAAATAAAAAGGAAAGCAGTTGATTGTCCACCTTTCAGGAAGCTTTACATTATGTAATGTGATTAATTTTTTAAAGAAAAATAACAGAGAAAAATAGTTTTGATCACAAAAAAAAAGTTAAAGTAAAGTCAATTTTGATTCGGTGAATTCTAAAGCTAGTGGGTTTTAACTGCAATGTCAGCACCAGCAAATAAATGAATTTAAACTCGACATTTTATTTAAATATCAGTAATTTCTGAGTTTTGTTTCTTCTTTGCTCTTATGCCTCAGTCTCTCCCAGGGTGTGTCCTTCTGCTGTTGTTATAAAGTTTTGTGCACTTATTTTCCTTTGCCCACGAATAGAATAGAGATCATTTCAGTGTAAAACTCTATTATCTGTAAGTCTTCGTGGGTTTAATATTGCGTTCTTAGTTTAAAAGGCAAGGTAAAAATTGTGAAGAATAATAAAATTTGGCAACGTCGCGTTTTTTAAATATCTAAATAAAATCAAAGATTGAGATAATTCTACATAATTCAGTGATTAATGTGTTTAGAAATGTGAACTTAAATATTATGCAGTGATTTTTATTATGTAAAAGTATCCACAAGTGTGTAAAGAATTTTTCTTCACTCTTCAATGCTATGGTCGTGAATTTTCTAAAAGTGTGAAGAAGAAACTTTAATTCTTCTCTTCTTTTAAATCAATGCAAAAGAGACTTGAAAAAGAACTAAATTTGATTAGCAATAATTATACTTCATAAATGAGCTTAACAGAAAAGAATTGCCCATATTGGAAAATCCGGAATCGAATTTAGAACCATCGAGAAGCGGCAATCGAATTTTTAATTCGAAGTTAATTTTCTAAGAATTCCATGAAATTTCTTTTAATTAAAATCGAACAATAAGCGATATTAAAAATCAATTAAACCCTCTTGGTATTATTTCTCAGGTCGTGCAGCTTTAAGTTTTTCTTTTGTTTCCAGTTTTCAGGCAGCCACATGTCTACAGCTTTTATGCTGAGAAATGGAATAATTTTCCAACTTTTGCTGCAAACAATAATTAAACAGAAAAGTTGAAAAACTTTTCCACGGAAACTCGTAAAAAGTGTGGGGAATACAAAATACCGTCTTCAATAAAGGAAATTTCCTCAAAGTATATAAGCGAAAGACATAAAAAATTTATATAAGGTTTATGTACAAACGTTATGAGAGAGAAAAATACAAAATGGCCGACGTGTGATTTATTTTACACATTTCACAAGCAAAGTTATTTTTTTCTGGTTCGTTCATGTTGAAAATTCAGGGAAATATGTACGTTCAAGAGTAAATTTATGGTGTCGATGTATGGACTATTGGGTGGCTGTACGGTGGGCACTCATTAAGCTTGTCATCTTTATTGCGGGGGTTTTAAATGAAAAGAGGAAAAGGAAAACAAAAAATCGATGAAGCACTCACTTAAAAACGACGAAGTGAAAATTTATGAAACTTTAAAACGGATAGACGAAAGGAAATTGAAAATTCTCTTTCAGATATTTTTTTTTCTTCTCTTCTGCTGAATTTTATTAATTTTTTTGTCGTAAACGCACACAAGCTCGCAAAAAAAATTGTAAAAAGAAGCAAATTGGGCAACTCGACACTGAAATGTGATGACGTTTTATAAACCATAATTTGATGTGTTTTTTTTTTTTCTTTCTCTCATATATTTCCAGAATCCCTCAAAAGAAAGTTTAAACAAGTGAATGAATGTTTAATTTCTTTTGTAAATTTTCCGTGTAAAATTATAACAAGAAACCAGCTAATCTAAACAACGCAAGCAAAGACCACTGAACTGCAGTAACTTTGTGTGTAAATATATTAAAGAAAATATAAAATAAAAGAAAAATAATCATTGTGATATTAAAAATTAAAAAAAAGCTTGAAAAAAGAAAGAAAGGAAAAAAAGTTACTAGAAATATCTAAATAAGTGTACATAAGCGAAGTGAGAAGAAAATTGTCAACAAAAAATAATTATTAAAGGAAATAATAATAAAAATTTCTCAGCTATTCAGTGAATGTATGAAGATGTTTAAAATGTGTTGATTAAGGAGTTTAAAGCTGTTAATTTTCTGCGAAGTTGATTTTCTTATGATTTAACGCAACAAAGGAAAAAAGAAAAAAAACTCATTTTCTGCGTCGTAAATTATTTTTCGTTTGGTTCTTCATCATCAATTACAACAGCCGACTGCCAGCTAAAAAAAAGATTAAAAAAAATCAGTAGAAGTCATTCTCAGTGAAAATAAATCAATGTTCAGTAGAAGCTTGAAAGTGAAAAGAAAGTTTTTGTAATCGTGTTTCTTTGGGTGAATAAAAAAATCTTCTGACGAAATCATAAGAAATGATGACATCGTCGGAATGAAATGGAAGCAGCAATTCGGTCAGTTCAGGTTGGCTCCGGCCAACAGGCTTCCTCACAGCAGCCACAGTCCGAGATATCTGGTTCACGAGGCCAAGCAACAACTGGTCCACCCCATCCGCTACCACCACACTCAATGCCATACAATCAGCCACGTGGTGGCGCTGGTGGAATTAGCGAAGTTCATAGGTAAGTCTTCCCACTAATCTGCATACTTAAGTTGCTTTCTCTCCATCATTTAAATCTGTTTTCTTAAATTTTATCGAAACGCTGTCATTATTTTGAGCTACTTGAATTATTCACTTTAATTTTCGTGTTTTCCCGTCGAAAACCATTTGACCTTGAAACATCACTATGGACGATTATCCGTTATCGAGATATTCATAAAAAGCAATCTTCAACAAATGACTTTTGCGATCGTTCCGTTGAGATAAATGAAGTTCATTTTCTTCGCTCTCAAGTTTGAGTTTCACAATTTACTGGCGAAACGTTGACTAGATAAAAAAGAGAAGCTAAAACGTTCACATCGCCACCTTTATGCATTCATTCAATTGTTCAAAAACGTTTTCTTCAATGAACTACAAAAACAAGTAAGAAGAAAAAATATCTTTAGCGCAAATTAATTTTGCTCGATGTTCACACAGAGACACATTTAAGTCATGTCGTGAAAAAAATGACCTTCGAAGCTTGTTGTTGCTGTAATTCTTTTTTTGCGCTATGCATATTAAAAGCCCGAAAACAATCTATTAATAAATATTATAAGTTTCTTTTTTCTATTTCACATTCTGTTTCGTCGTTAAGTATCCGTTGACTTTCATGTGATTATGTGAGACGACATTAAAGTGATACTCAAATATAATAAAATTCTCAAATTACAAACAATGCGATGATGCTCGGTCATTAGATTAAGTGAAAGAAGAATTTCACGTGATTTTAAAATTGTTGACGTGATGATATTTCATCCGCTTGTCTCGTTGATTTCATGAATCTTCAAACATATCTTTGAACATTATTAGAATCACGTTCAACATGGTAACTTAATCTGATGACGCAATCATTGAACAATTGTTGAGTTTCCTCATTAAAAAAAACATGTCAGAAGATTTTCTCTGTAATTTATTTAATTCCCAAGAAGAAAAGGACAAAAAGTTTCATGAGATTTCCCAAATTTCGCTATCCTTAAAATGAAAGCTTTAATAAATGTTTTAAACTTTAATATTATTCAACCTTCTTTAGAAAGTTCTTCCTTTAAAATTGCAGAACTGAAACGAAAAGCAAAAAAAGAGAAATAAATGTTTAAACAGGTTTATGAAAAATCGATTGACGAGCGAGTTTGAATCTTTTACCCGCTGTTTCATATTATTTATTACGGCTTCCTTACCCAGTCATTTCAATGACTACAGCAAATGTTTCTACTTCACTTCAAGATACAATTTTGGCATTTACTTAAAAAAGCGTTCGTTTTTATCGAAACCAGGCTGCTTTAATATTCTGAAAGCCATTAGAATTTATGAATCATTTATTCTATTTACTCAACCCCTCATTTTCCTATTCTCCCAGAAAATCACTTCAACTTTTATATTTCATATAAAATTGTATAGTTGAAAACAAGCACAAAAATATGTAAATAATCAAGCAACTGAGTTCATAGTTGAAGGCTATTTAATGTTTGATGAATGAAGTAATTAAAAGTGCAAAACTCTTCCGGAGGTGGGCGTGCGAGCTATAAGAAAATCAATATTTTATAAGCTTATGTTTTCAAAAAGTTTCATTTTTGGGGATGGTGCTTGGGAGTGAGAGAAGAAGGAAAGGTCACGTACAGAGACAGAAGACAGAAGACATGCGCCTAATAATGTTATGAGACTCGATGAAAACTTTTTTTTTCTTGGAATCTCATGAACGAAACTTTTTTGTTATCTACATACGTTTAATGTTTCACAATCAATTCGTTTCGATTACATTGTGAGGCGTCTGCTGTTGTCATTACATGTACGTCGATTCTGAGGTGTCTCCGTCTCTCTTCTGTCGTTCAAAGCAGATGACACTGGCACTCATTCTTTTCTGTGTTTAACGAGGTATTTGTAAGTACAGAGAATTCTCCAAAAAAGAAATTTTAACTTATGCAAGATTAACGTTAATTATCTCAAACCATTGCGTTTTATAATAAAAATTTGACAACGTAAAAGTTTCTTTTCCGATAAGACCCATTGAAATATTTAATTTCTATCGAAAACAGTGAAAACAGTTTAGGAGAAAAATATTTTAATCGATCGATTAGTGAATGCGTTTCAAATTGATTATTTATTTTTTTTCCGAAATTCAAATTAATGTTGGCAATGTCAATGGCGTTTCTCATTTAATTTAAAATTTCACGGAACCGATTGACCTCTTTCCGTAGCGATGACATTAACGTGGTCTAGGCAATCACCAAAAATTATTTTTTTATTAAACAGTTTATTGATAAAAGTGGAAATAAAAACATTACGTAGTTTTTGGAATTTATTTATCAGCGCTTGAAATATTTTTTTTAAATGTGATGAATTGTTCTGTTATCTTATCAACAAATATCGTCTTATGTACAATCGTCAATGAACACTTAACTACAAAGTAGTTTAATGTGTCTGTGAACGGAGTCATCCAAACACCTCAGGCATCAATGACAACGTTTTTTAAAGAGCTCTTCCTATCATTTATCAACAACTTGCAACTTCAACCTTATATACGTCGCTTATATGCTCGATCGTTCTTCCATCAGATATTTTGAGCGACCTTAAACTGAATATAACTAGTTTGTTGTTTCTTTTTTTACAATTTTATTTTATTCGATGCCGTTCCACAGCAAAAATAATTTTAATAGCTTTTATATGAAACATTGTATGAACGAAAAATGTTGCCGCACTTCATTATGTTTAACAATCTACATTCACCTCATCGTGTTTTTGTGCGCAGCCTGTATTAAAATATAAACATTAAACATTCAATAATGATAGATTGACGTGGATGGTTGAGTTAATGTATGCATAGAAATAAACAAGTTTCTGCTCTATATTCAGCTTTATTGACCCAGCTGAACGAAAACATCCTTTCCCGTCAAGTGGAAGTAGATAGTTGTTGTGCTAGACGAGTTCTTCGAAGATATTTAAAAAAAATTCATCGGCAATCACACGCTCGATTCAGCAAAATTAAGCAAAAGAAGAAAGAAAAACTCGTTTTCGATGGAGTGAAAAGAAGCGGACATGAAAGTAAAATAACAACAAACCAAAAAGAGAAAAAAAAAAAAGAAAAAAACGCTTTTGAATAAATGGAACAAGTATTTTTCATTTCTGCTCTGTAATTTTTTATTCTTGCGCTAAGAATCTGACATCGTACTCCAGCATCGGTCGCTTACAACAACAATAACGAACAACAAAACCTGCTAGCGAATCGTTCACTAAGTATACACATTTTTACTCGTTTTCTCGTCAGCAAAAAAAAAGACCAAAGCTGAGGGAAAAATAAGATGAAAAAACTACCAAGAATTTATCAATTTCATTCAAAACCGGTTTGTTGTTTTTTTAACATCAACTTCTTCTTGTTTCTCTCTCTTCGTTATTCACTCACTCACTTCTACCTCGTTTCTTGACTAAAGTCAAAGTTGCGTGTATTTCTTCATATGGACGACGAGAAAAACAAATTATATTCAAACTTGATATGAAAAGCGTATATAATGTAATCGATCCATGATGTGATGAATATATAAAGAGTTTGATGTCGTTGTTGGATAGCATGAGCGGTGAAAAATGTTAAACACATTTCGTAAAGAAAAACAAAAAAAATGTCGATAAAAAAACTTGTTTTACTGATTCATTTAATTACTATCGTCGTTATGAGTTGTAATGTTAGTAATTAATGTATTTGACTTATTTTTTTGTTGTTTTTATATTTCTTTTCACTATTCATAGAATGGCATAGAATTTTTTCACGTAATGATAGCTTAAGCAAGTTCATTTAATCTATTTTTATGCAATGCTTATCGATTTTTTTTGTTTAGCAGAAGAAAAAAGGAAGCGAGAATGATGTAAACGGATGCGGATGAGTTAACGGTTATCATTTCCCTTCAGTTCGTTTTGTCGTTACTTTTCTCGATTTCAATGAATAGCCTGAGGTCAATTACTATGATTGCGCAAGATTATCTACTTTTAGATAAGCTTTTACATATTTACGTTCGAAACAGTATTTATTTACATTAATTCAATTGAACATAATCATAATGTTGTGCTGACAGCTTTAAGTTATGGTTTTGATTGGAAAATTACAAAATATTCGCACATCTAACGATTTAACCTTAAACCACTTTCGTCTTGATTTCCGCTCGTCAAAATCACGTTGATCAAGTGAAAATTTCGAAGCATGAGTAATAGACGAACCAGCCGAGCCACCTCACTCAACCAGAGAAAGAGAAACGTGGAACAACCGCACACCGTCTTTGAATCTATGAAATTGAAAAATACATAAATAACAAAAAAATGAAAAAAATGAATAGAAAATGAGAAGCGTCGGAAAAATGAAATAATAATGAAACATATAAGCACATAACAATAGCCTTGGCTGTATGCTGAATTATTATGTGGAATAAAATTATGTTACATAAAGAGATATTTAAGAAAGAATGAAATCGTTATTCATGATATTTTTTAACATACATAGACATCGTCGACGGGGAATAAATGAATTTATGTACATAGACTTGCTTATTGAATAAAAGCAAACCTAAAAAGCACCAAACAATAGAAAAATTCTCACAATAAAAAATGGTTTTGCGACTTTTTTTTTGAAATTCTTTCTTCTTGACTGCTTGAGTTACTTGAAATGAAACTCAGCATATTTTTATGCACAATTATCATCGTGGTTTGTAGCAACTTGAGCCATTTATAAATTTTTATTTCTTTCGTTTTGATTGATCGAAAATTTGCTTACACAAATGAGGTTTGCCTCAAACTGAACCAATTTCTAATAATAGTTGTTGAAATAAGGAAAATGTTTTCGCATTGAACAATAAAATCATTAAATCCGAAAGTGAAAACTCAGGAAAAAGGCAAAACAACATCTCCACATCATCAAATCTTTCTCAACAATTTACGAAAATAGAAAAATCAGCAAAAAGGAGAAGATGGAAGATTTTAAAGCTTCTGTTAAAGTTAACATGAGACAAACAAGTCCCATGGAATGGGCAAAATGAGAGACGGAGAGCAAAGAAGTCTTTCTAAATGTGCCATAAACACAGAAAATTGGATGATGTTTCCATCGTTTCCATAAATTTTTATTTTTTTGTACATAACATGCGGATGATATCAGAGAACGAAAAAGTTGAACAGTTGAACCCATGAGCTCTCTCTCTCTCTCCCTCTCTCTGTTTCCATCATCCATTTGTGTACATAAACCCATGCCCTGGTGCAAAGTATGAGGAGAAAAACCTCTCCAACAGCATCAGGGTAACATTCGCTTTCGGGGGAGTATGGCAACAACAAAAAAATGAGAAATTCTTGCTATAAAAAACGTTTGTCGTCGTAACTGTTGTTGTTGTTGCTGCTTCTGTTGTGTATGTTTAATGCCATCATCGTATTCGTATTGTGGGGGGTGGTGGAAAAGTGGCAACCTTCTGCTTGTGTATACGTCTGTATACATGAACCAGCATTCATTCTTCGAGATGATGAAAATGTTATTTTTCCGACCCAAACGAGAAGAGGAAAAAAAAAGTTTTTTTTCTTTCCTTTCGCCCGCCGCGCCACATCGCAATTTTCCCATTTCCCTAGTGAAATGTTGTTTTTATGCTCGAGCTATGTATTTATTTATGTTAGGTTTTTCCTCTTCTGTTGTTTGGGATTCCATTTAAATGCTTTGAATGAAGGCAGTAAAGAAAGAAAAACTTTGTTCTCGAACTTTTTTTTTACTAAGCGCTTGGATTTTATCGATTTTCACTGTCGTTTCGCTTTTCATGAAAAAAAAACTTGATATAGATTTTTGCGTGGGAGACTTTCGAATAACGGCATAACATGACAACTCTCGGGTTTGGTATTGTGTAAGAAATTTCAAGTTGCTTCATCAATTTTCTTCCCATCTTGGAAAGTTTTCAATTGCAAATTATTTGCTATAAGCAATGAAATTTTTTTCCTTCTTTGAAACGAAGTCGACGTTTCTCTGCCTTCCGCAAAAAAAGTGTAAATCGCTTTAACTTCATCTCACAATCATTCATTTATTTATATATTCATTCATATATAAAGCGGCAATAAAAGCCTAATGAATCATAGGGAAATTTGTTTTTGAAGTAAGCGAAAGGAAATTCAATTTGACATGACTTCGAAAGATTATTTTGAAAAGCAGGATCTATTATGTCAATGGGTTGGAATTTATTTTCGTATTTCATTAAATGAAATAGAAGGAAAAAAAATAACAACCATAAGTAGATCTAATAAAATGAAACACTAACATGAATTGGGCGGCATATAAAAATAAAAAAAAATCAAATCATAGAAGCGTATCAGAGTCTGAAAACGATTTGTCAACAAAGAAAATTTTTTTAACGAGAAGAAGAAGAATCACGGAATAAAAAAGAATTAGCGGATGTTAGATTAAACATGATTAAAAAATATTCTTTGAAAAGTATGTAGATAGCTAAATATTCGTCATTTTCATTTCTGACAAACGCTTTGTAAAAATTGCTACGTTGCCAATTTTCACCACAATCTTTATTTCATCGACTTAAACAAGAAGTGAATTTCGCTTTAATTCCATAATTTTTTATTGTCAGATTAATCGAGTGAACCGTTATCAGAACATGACACATGATGTCGCATGAACTCAATTTAAAATAAATGAAACAGAGAATTGTGCAATCGTTCGCAAATTTCAAGAGTTGTTTATTTATAAAATTCAAGGAAATATGTTGCTATGAAGCTCATTTTGAAGGCATAAGGTGAAATTTTATGTTCTTTTAATCATAAAAAAATGTGGGTTTGCTTCTTTAGATGTGAAGAATTCTTTATATATGTGAAACGATTATATAAGGCAAAGTTTGTGATTAAAAAAAGTCAATGAAAATGAATTTCAGGTAGCATTTCGCTGGTGCATTTTAAAATATTTTTATTGCTGTGTAAAATGAGCAGAATAGTTGTAACATTAACGTCCTTATTAATCTTTCTTCTCTTTCTTTTTTGTTTATGTTTATTTAGTGAATAAATATCAATAAAAACTGAAATATTTGGGCTAATTTACCGTTGGATTTTCTTGTTATTATTCGCTATTTTATGCGGGTCATTTACTTGCCGAGAGTAGGAAGAAAAGAAAAACATTCTTGCGGGAATAAGATTATATATAATTTAAAATGATCCAGCTATCTTTCTTGTATGGCTACAGCTGTTGATAACTGTCTTTAAATTTTGAATAGACAAAAAAAAATTCGTTCATTCAAAGAGTTAAATGATTTAAAAAATTGTTTGCTGTAACTAGGGTAAACAAGGTATTGTGAACACAATGTTTTTTGTAAGGTATTGTGAACACACCTAATTTCGAATGCGATTTTCTTCGCTATTTTGCATTCAAATGGATCAAAACTTTGTATAGAAGTAGAGTAGATAGTTCAAACTACTTCTATACAAAGTTTTGATCCATTTGAATGCAAAATAGCGAAGAAAATCGCATTCGAAATTAGGTGTGTTCACAATACCTTACAAAAAACATTGTGTTCACAATACCTTGTTTACCCTATTTAATCATAAAAGTTTGAGATTTATTGGAATATTTAATGATGGAGATTAATTATACTATTATTATTATCAATTATGATGTTTTGTGTTTCAAGAAAGCAAAATGAAAGTTTTTCAATTTAAATCTGCACCTGTTCATTTATTATCCAATAAATAAATTTTATTATTAATAATTAAACTTTTTTTTGTTCTTTCAGATCTTCTGCAACAAATTCAAATTCACCATATCCGCAGTATCATCCAATGTCGTACGATCCATCGAGAGGGAGAGTTCGACCACAAACAACATTCAGCACTGCACCTACAACAGGAAAATCGAGCTATAGTTGGGTAAGAATCGTTTAATTATCAAATAAATTGGCAGTAATCTAAGAATTTGCTTTCAATATTGCAGCAACCGACAAACACTCAGTATGAATATTCGCCACGAACATCTTTGCATCAGCCGACACTTGGAACAGTGCCGAGTAGTTTTGTTAACGCTAGCTTTCATGCAGGCTTTCCTCGTGTTTCAATTCCCCAACCACAGCAGCAGCAACCTCCCACACAAAACCAACAATCAGTGCCGAATGCTCCAACACACACTCAGCTGTTGGGAAGTGAATATATTACGTCTTCGTCAAGTATTCGCGATAGTGCTAGTGCTGCACGTCTTCAGACACAACAGCAACAAGGGCAACGTCAATCTCAAACCCAACAAACAGCTCCACCTGATCCAGGAGGACAACAACAGCAAATGCAACAACAATCAACACAACAGCCAGCATATAAAAAGATACGACTTGGTGAACCTTACCACCAGCAGCCACAAACGAACAGTCTCCATCACCCAGCTGCAACTCCAATGCCTGTACGTTTGCATCATCATTCATCTTCAAATATTCAACCGAATAATAATCCAGTTGTCGTTCATGTGGCACCGCCACTACAAAGACAACTGCCAAATCCGACATCTGGTGCAACCGCTGATATTCAATATCAACCACAACAAAAGCCACAAACACAGCAGCAGCAACAACAACAGCAAGTTCATCATGTTCCAAATGCTGCGTCACCTCAAGCACAACCACAAAACACAACAAATTCTAGTACGAAAATTCCAATCGGAGCAGTTTTGAAAATTGATACACGAGATCCACCAAATGCAAGCAGTGGTGGCAGTGGTGGGGGTGGTTATCATCCAAAGACAGAAGCGATATCACCAGCTGGATCCCCAAAATTAACAAAAGATGATTTACTGACACAAATTAGTAGTGTTGATTCAAGTATGATGGCTTTAGAGGAAAGAAAAAGAATTCTAAAAGAGAAGGAACGAGTTTTAATGGAGCAGAAGGAAGATGGAACATCAGTGGAGGTTCCTGAGCAACCAACATTTCGTCATCGAACACTTGCGCAGCAAATTTATGCTGAGAATAAAAAGAAAGCTTCAGAGAATCATGCTGTGCTTACTGCTCTTAACTTTAAGGGACAAACCTCTGATTTGCCGCTTTATAATCAACCCAGCGATGCCGAAGTGTGCCGAAAGATTCATGAACACTATTTGACATTTCGCTCGAGTCTTTTATTGCATTTGAGAAAAATAAAGTCTGAACGTGCTCAACGAAGCCAGGAATTAGCTGATAAATATTCAAAACTTTCGGCTGATTGGCAAAAGCGTGTTGAGAAGGTGGAAGCGAGTGCTAAGCGCAAAGCGCGAGAAGCTCGTAATCGGGAATTATTTGAGAAAGTTTTTGTTGAGTTAAGAAAGCAGCGTGAAGATAAAGAAAGATTTAATCGTGTTGGATCGCGTGTGAAATCTGAAGCTGATTTTGAAGTTATTGTTGATGGACTTCAAGAACAGGTAAGATAAAAACTTTAACATTTCACATTTCTTTACAATGAAAAATCTTTTCAAATCTCTCATTAGGCACAAGAGGATAAAAAGATGCGATCTTATGCTGTAATTCCACCGATAATGTTTGATAATCGACAACGTCGTTTGGTCTTCCATAATGAAAATGGCTCCAAAGTTGACATGGAAACAGAACTGAGTGCTTATAAGACGCTTAATCTTTGGACGACTGGCGAGAAAGAAGCATTTCGTGACAAATATATTCAACAAGCGAAAAACTTTGGTTTCATTGCGAGTCATCTTGAGAGAAAGAGTCCACAAGTAAGACACATTTTAAATTAAACAAATGGAAAATAAATAAGAAAACTTTTAATTCATTTTCTTCAGGATTGTGTTCGTCATTACTACCTCAGCAAAAAAGATGTGAAGTACAAGCAACTGCTTAGAAAATCTAATAAACGAACGCGAAGCACGAAGAATTTGCCGAAAACAAATGAAAGTCAATCACTTCTGGATCTTATGACGACGGGGGTGACAACACGATTACAAAGAAAGTCACGCAACACAAGTCGTTCTACAACTTCATCGTCAGCAACGGCATCAGCAGCTGAAAGTCAAACAACCAGCAGTAATCCGATCTCGACTGTTAGATCATCAGTATCTTCGTCAGTGCCGTTACCTACAGTTACAGTGACAGTGAATAGTAATCTGCAAGGTCAGGAAACAGCAAAAGACGAAGTTGATCCACTTTGTATCAGATCAATGTCAGAGACAACGTCGTCATCACCAGCACCAAGTGGCACAAATGCTAGACGTGCAAGTAGTGCTGGAAATCAATCAAATGATTTCACATCAACAAAGATTAAAGTGGATCCTGATGGTGATGCTGTTATGAAGACTGATCCCGATGGTAACAATTGGTCATCATCGTCGTCATCTTATCCACCTAACGGGCTCAATCTAAAGCACGAGGTGAAATCAGAAGAGATTAAACAAGAAGAAAAGTCAAGTTCTGAAGATATTGTCATGAAAGACGACAATGTTCAGAGCAAGGATGAAAAGAAACTCGACATTAAGAAGGAAAGCGAAGATAAAGAAAATGAAGATGGTAATTACCAACTCAAATTATTCTTTAAATAAACATCATTAATAAAATATCATTCATCTCTCTTTCAGTCAAAAATAAGAATTCTTCGACGATGGATGTTAATGATGATGAGTCAAATGAAGTAGAAGCAAGGTAAGAAATCATAGGTTAACTAAACAACAAATATTTATTGTATGATAAAAAAAATATTTTTCTTTCTTTCCTTCGTTTTTGCTTAACTTTGCAGTAGTGCCAAAAAACGAAAGATTGATGAAACTGGAACAGGAGACAAAGGTGAGCTCACTTAACTCATTACTTTAATTACTATCATTATTTCTCGTCAACTAATCAATTGAATCAACAATGAATTCATTCTTTTTCACGTACAGTACCTTGCATGAGTAATTTTGTGAATGTTTTGATGGAAAGAAATGCTGAAAACATTGAAACCTCACAACAGTTTTCATAAAGATTTCAAAATTTAAAAAACCGCTAAAGTTAGAGAAAAAAAAATTTCGTCTTTTATTTCTTAAATTTATTAAATCAAATTTTCTACAATAAAAAAAACAAATTGAATGAGACTTTTTCGGCCTTAAATATCATCCTTCTTCCTCGAACCATCTTCTGTAATGATAACATTTTCTTCTTGAATTGGTTGTATTGATCCATCACCAATTTCCGGATGACATAACTTCCGATGTTTATGAACGAAATAGTAGCTTGGAAATTTACATCCGCACGTTTTACATGGATAATATTGAACATTCATATCCAATGGTTTAATAGAGTCACGTTTGACTGGTATCACTGTTGATTGTTCAGTAATTCGCTTAACATCACCGTCACTTGAATCACAATCATCACGACACTTTAAAATTGAATTTAATGGATTGATGTGACGTTTTGCATGTTTTTGATAACAATACTTTGACTTGAATGTGTGATTGCAATAAACACATGTAAAAAGTTCACCAGACAATTGAGAATTTTCTGATTCCTCGTTATTGTGTAAAGGAAAACACTTTTGCTTGTTATATTGTTCATTAATATTTCGAGCCATCTGTTGATGAAATGATAAAGCATTTGAGCTTTGATACTTTAATCCTCTTAACTCTTCAGTTGTCGTTGTTGATACTGGAACTGTCGATTTCATATTTTGTTCAAAAGCTTCATTTAAAATCCGTCGGAAACGAACGGGACCGTCACAACTTGCAATATCTATAACAACTTTATCACTTTCATTTGTTGTTGCGTTTAAGTTTGAGTTCACTGTCGATGAATATTCCATGCTTTTCACTTTTGTTAGATTAATTGCTGTTGATTTTTGAGAAATTAATTTTTTATCTTCAACTGTTGGTTTTTCTAAAGAATTGAATTCTTTCATAGATTTTTGTTCCAATTGCAATGTTTCATCACTTGAAATGTTTGATAATGTCTTGAAAGGTGTTCCATGACTTGGAACTAATAAATTGCTGGGAGCTTTAGGTGGTGACACAAAATTTAATCCCAAATTTGATGGTTTGCTTGCAATCGGTCGAACGACTTTACTGAACAATGTTGGCGCCATAACTGGTACTGCTGAACTATAAAACTCATTTTGTTGTTGTCTTTGAGTGTGTGCTAGAAAATCACGACAAATCTCCAAAGCTCTTGGCATGTGAAGAATGTGAGTTGCGAGTAAAACACCGAAAATATTTTCAAAGTTTAACTCCAGAAATCCCGTGTACATGTAACTGAATAAAGGTGTGAAATGTTCGACTGTAATATTCGGTAGGAAAATTGTATTTTCATGCAGTTTTCCTGCTTCAGTGACGCGACTTATCGCTGCACGAAAATATCCACTTTGTGATGAAATAATTGTTGAATGTGCTGGAAATCTTGTGAATGGTGGTGGGCCAACTTCAATAGAAACGTCTGGTGGTAATGACATTGGAATAACTGAATCATTACTCTTAATTGGCGTATCCGATGTTAACCAATTCGTGAACATTTTCTCATAGTTTTTTTATCACACCACGCGTTGAAATCTAACGAATGAATTTTTCTTCTTCAAATCACTTTCACGTCTGATGATGATGACAGATAAAACACAAATGAAATTTATGAGTGAACGTAAGGAAAATTATGACGATGATGGGAGAAAATATGAAAAAGGCTCATGCGCTTTGTTGGAATTCTCTCTCACAACTGATCCTTTTACGTTTACTTTCTGAAAATATTCTTTAATGCTTACAAGCAAACCGGATTGTCAAGCAGATTACAAGACATTATGCAAGGCAATGGCGATTTAAAGTCGAGGGTAAATAATTCCTGAAAATCTCGTTTCCATGTGAAAAACATTCAACAATCGTTGACTATGAAAAGTTTAAATGAAGTGTGAAGCTAATTGCTTGAGATGGAGATGAAAATAATTTAGAAAAGTTCTTTGATATGTGGGTGGAAATTATTTCATTCAATTAACTTAATTAATTACAAATAATAAATAATTTAACAGCGGTGGAATATGAATTGAAATTTTTGTAAAAGAAAACATTGAAATGAAATGCAAACAAAAATCCTTTTCGTGAATGCTAATTGTGAAATTTTAATTGCGGAAATTAGATTGAATTGAATCAAATTTTGAATTCAGTGGAAAATCTCATGATTCGGCTCATCTGATAATCGATGAAAATTATTTTTTGCCATGATTATTGATTCATTCAAACTATTTATCGCTTAATCCACTCAATGCTTCATTATTCATAATTTATGTACAATCATTCACATTTTAAATGTTTCATAAAAGAAAATTCAGTCAAATGTTTGTAAACCTAATAAAAAAACTGAGAAAACTTTTCTTCTTCCAACAACTTAAAAGCTTTTAATTTATTTCATTTGCAAGCAAATGTAAGACGTGAAAGAAACTTTTTTTATCTAAATTAACGCAAAAAAACTATTTAACTCGAAAATTATTGAGTAAACTAATTAAATTGAATTCTCAAAGCACTGACGATGGAGAAAAAGACATGATAAAGCGGAAAAGGTGGTTAAATAATGGAAAAACTTCCCTTTCTCTCAATGTAATTGATGAATATTAATTAAAACAAAATGAAAAAGCTTCATTAACCGCAATTGGAGGGAAATTTGGATGGGGAGAAAGATTTTTATCTCACTAGAACAACAATAAATTTAATGAATTTTTAATGTTGATAAGGAAGAATTTTTTCATGAAATGACGAATGATGACGAAGTCAATTTTTTTCCTGTCTTTGGTTAACAAAAATATAATTCAACGGTAATTAAGTCTCGTTGGAATTGGCGGGTTAATTGCTTGACGAATTTCGGGACATAATGTCACTGTTACCGCTCAGTCATTTCATTATTCTATAATTCTATGTTGTAAATAAGTTAAAACTACACATGTGAAAACAACTTTCAATTCAATTAATCAAATGATTTTTCATGTAGAAAAACGTCATGAAACTGGCCTGACCGTTGGTGATCTTTCCTTACATGACCTGTGAGAAAGTTGAAGAATTTCTTAAAGATCTGAACTTGAGGTCAAGTGTCACAAAGGTCAAACCCTTTTTCTTCCATTATTTTATAAAACTAGTTCTATGATCGTTAAAATGACCGGTTCTTATTATGCTTGACCATTCCCACTTTCCCCTAAATGAACGTTATTCCTTCTTCCTCTCTTCGTTTATGAAATTAAATTACTTGGACGGCATCTAATACTTTATTTCTTTAAATTAAATTCCAACTGCAAGCTGATGTATCAACTGAAATTAAAAAAATATTAACTTAATTAAATCCCATCGAGTCAAGCTTCATTTTAAACGTTCGTGAAATTTCTCTGCTTCAATTCTGAATGAAAGAACATTTCAAAAGTCAAACAAAAAAAAAAGCATTCCGCTAATTATTAATGTAAAAACTGCCTGGAGAACTTCGAAGAATATTTAAATAGAAATTTAAGTTAATTGGATGGAATTTCGCTTTCAAAGAACAACGAAATGAGACAAGCGATGGAGAGTTTTCTATTCATCGAATCATTTGGGAAATTTCTAATATTGAAATTATAATTCATATTAAATGATGTTGTAAAGAATTCCCTTTGAAGTTGATGTTTACAAATATTTTTAATACAAAATTGGGAATCAAAATTTCTGTCAAAGGAAAATGTTTGACTTCTCTCAAGTATTCTGCGGTTTTCCTTACTTTTAAATGAGTTGATGCAATGCAGAATCACTTTAAACAAACAAAAAGTGAATAGTCTTAAGGGATTTGTACGAAAAGTATTTTAATCTTTGTCTCAACGCTTTCACGAGAGAAAATTCTTCTCTTTTTTGTCGTCAGTTATGATAAAAATAAATTTCAATAAACAATTCTCCATCTGCAAGATTTCCATTGTACCAAAGCCTGTTCGTAGTATCCGTTCATGAATATTTAAGTATCAAAAAGCAATGCAATTTATAAAATTAAATTACTTAATAATTCATCAACCATCATCGCTCTCAACATATATTTTTATGCTACGTCCTTATTAGCATTCATTTTTATTCACTTTTACGCTTGTTAAATCAATTTCCCAATAATTTTAATTACCATTGCGTATGACATGACATGTTGACACCTTCAATAACGCGACAGTTGAATTAAAGTTGGTGAAATTATGTAAATATTTGAAGACTAAGTTAAGATTGAAATCAATTCAATTTATTCATTAACATGAAATATTTTTTTTGTGTTTAAAAACATTCATTTGAAGAGAAATAAAAGTAAAGTTTTAAACCGCGTAAGTTGCTAAAAAATGATAAATAAACTCAAGCATTGACTGTTGTTTATCCGAAGCTATTTTCTATAAAATCAAGACAAACAGAAACAGAAAATAATGATGAATAAAAAGCTAAACAAACAATCAAATATAAAAGGGTAGTTCACCATTTTTCTATCTGTTGGTTTGTATAGCAATTGCTCGAGAGTTTACGATTACTTCCAGCTACTTGCACATGAATCAACAAGCATAGTAGGGAAATTTAGTTTTGTAGTGTGAGATGAAGAAAATATTTTTTCTGTGAGAATCGACAGAAAAGTTGAACCGATAATTAAATGAAATGAAGAATGGACGGAAGGGATTAAATATAACTGTTTGAATGACTTTTAAACATCAATAATATTCATTCGCTTCTATTTGTTCACTTTCTAAATTAATTAGAAAAAAAAATTCAACTTTTGATGTTTATCAGCAATTTTTATTTGACAATTGATTGACTTTGGTCTTTGTTATGCATTTTGCAATGAATATCCCTGCGGATGTGGCAATAAAACGTTCAGTTGTAAGCAGAAAACTGCGGCAACAACGTATGAAAGTTGACAAACGACGATAGATAAAAAAAGTTTGTCACACAAGCAAAAAAATACGAGAAAAGCAAGGAAAAATTTACGTTTGAAAAGCGAATTTTAATGATTTGCAAATATTCACAAGCGGAAAAAAAGATTTTTCTTTCGATTTTTCTTCTGTTTCTTGATCAAATATTAATAAATTAAACTTTACTTTTGATGTGGTGCGTCTTGAGAATGAAACTTGAGTGGTTGAAGTTGTCATTGAAAATCTTGCTTCGAATTTAACTTCTCATCTCTTGAATGTTTTCTTTTTGACATAAATTTTATCCTCGTGTTTATTTTGTATTTAATTTTCTCATCTTCTTCATTCATAAATTAAGAAAAATGTTTTCCATTTGAAACAAAGTTGAAGACTCGTAAAAGTCACAATTTCATGCTTAAACAGTTTTCATTTCTTTCCTCACTTATTTTAATTTAATTTCTTGTAACTGATTTTTATTTTCATTGAAATAAACTTCAATCATTTAAATTGAGCAATTGCGAGACCAAAAAAAAAGTTCAACTTCAATTTGATTTATTAGAAATGAAAATCTTTCTTATTTGATTTCGAGTGGATCTGTTTGCCCATCAGAGATTACATTTCATTTTTGATAAAAGTTCGCTTCCGCGATATTCCTCGCTGTTCGCTGTTCAAATGTTCCACGGAAAAATTCGATTTTCCTTTCTTTTCTTTATTTATAAAAATTTATAATTCAATAAATGAAATTAAATGTAAACATGATGTGAGAGAGAAAGAATTTTTTGTTTGATTCTTTTTGATATTGTTTAATCGGAATGATTGTTCCATTGAATAAAAAAGAAATCAATTGATTGATTGTGAATTCCATCGCTTGAATTTAAAGTTATAAACATTTTTTCATTGATAGATAAAAATCAGTTGCTTCATCCATGCTTTGTGTGTAAGCAAGAGAACTGCAGCCGAACAAGACCTTTGGAAAACTCCAAAACTCAGCTCCTTTATGGCATTCCAGAAGACACAATCCCAGCTGGTGCACGGGTTTGCAGTAATTGTCAAAATAAATCAACGAAACCGAGGTGAGTTAACTTTGATTTCCAGCAAAGTTTCAGTTAAGAAAATTAAAATTTTATTCAAAAATTTCAGATTCACTAACACGAATTGTCCACTGCCAACATGTCCCAATCCTAAAGATCGCGTCAAACGTTTCCGAAACTTACCATCGCGATTATTTGAATTGTCACCTGAAGAACGCGATCCCATCATCAAAGAACTTCAAATTCCTCCGAATGTCACAAAATGTTGCTCTGCATGTCTGACAAGAATAAAACGTAAAATGGGCGCACATCTACTTGGAACAACGCCGTTGACAGAAGACGAAGTTCAACAGTTTCGAAAGCAACTGCAAGAAATTGGACCCAAATGGAATCAACTTGCTGAACAACTCAACAAATCAGCGACACTTCTCAAAACATTCTATTTCCATTACAAGAAGAAATATGGTTTTGATCAGGCTGTGAATGAATATTACAAAGTTCATGCGAATGAAGATCGTAGACCAGTGACAGATGGTGATGAATCAGATGTGAGTGTAACGTCATCTGATGACAATGTTTCAGATTCATTAAAAACTGACAATGAGAAGAATAAAAGTGAAAATGTTAAAGTTGAAAGTGGCGGAAGTTTGAAACTTGAACCACCAAATGTTTTATCTCATCACGGTCAAGTACCACCAATAAAAGACATCAAATTGGAGTCATCGAACAACAGTAATCAAAGTTCAATTGATGATCGACTTATACCACCACTCGGACAACCTCCACCACTCTTAAGTAATCAACAAATGCAGAATATTAACGTCACGGGAATCCCACGTGAAAGTCACAATCCATTGATCTCAGTTATGATGAGAACAAAGAAACATTCAGAAGATTATGACAGTTCAGCAACGGAAACAGCTGATGAAGAGAATGAATCATCACCAGCGAATCGTCAAAGTCCTAAGACACCTTCAGTGTTTACTGGAAAGACATTGAATCCAGCAACAACAATCTCAATGGTTCCACAATTGACAACACAACAACAACAGCAGCAGCAGCAACAAAACGGCCCACCATCAAATGTTCGTGATGCTATGCTTGACTTCATTGAAAGGTCGTTGAAGAATGCAACAGTTCCACCAAAACCTTCACAAGTTCCACCTTTGAAGCCGAACCCACCGGTGACCATTCAACCACCATCAACGCCAGTCGATAATAATCCTGACATTACATTTGTTGGTGCTTATCGACAAGAAGGCGCAAATAAAATACAAATTCAACCACAACGTCGAACAAATGCTGAAACACTCGCGACACTTTCTATTGTGAATTCAAATTCAAGTGGACAACAATCGAATGTTCCAAATCAGCCACAAATTATTGCTGGTCATCCTTTGAATATTTCTTCAATTGCTGCTACAATAACACCAGTGCCACCACCACAACAGAATCAACGACCATCGTCAAATCCTATTCAAGAGAAAGATAATGGAACGATGAAAGTTTTTCCTGGTGGACGTGGCGTGATGTCGCAACCATCAAGTATTGTGAATCAATCGGAACCAGAACCGCAAACACTCGATTTAAGTATCAAGAAACCTCAACAACAACAACAGCAACAGCCGCAAGAAAGACAATTTACATCATTTGCTAAAGCTGTTCCACCACCACCAAGTGGTTCAGTTTATCGTGGTGATCCATCACTTCAACCACAACCAAACATTCCAAATCAATCCACTTTCCTTGCTTTTCATCCTGAGATGAGTCGTCATCCATCAAAATCTCCAAGTACTTATATTCCACCTTCATTGTCACCTGGACAGCGTGTTTTAACAATGAATCCACATTTGCAACAACAACAGCAGCAGCAGCAGCAACAGCAAATTGTTGGAAAAGGAAATAAAAATGCACCGAAATTGAGTTCACCGAAAGTTCATCATCAACAACCGGGACAACAAGGAAATGTGCAGCAGATAAATGGTCCAAAAGGATCGATAACGCTTGGTACACCTCTCACTGATAATCGTGGTCAACCGATTATGATTCAAGGAACGACAACTCAAAGTCCACGTTATGATTATCCACGTCAAACGCCGCCATCAGCAAATGATAATAAGTTTGGATCAATAACAGCTGGAACACCGATTCATTTAAGTGATAAACGTGTTCATGACTACATGAAGAACAGTCGGCATAGTCCTGCAACAAATCAACCAAACGTGTCAGTTGCTGGAAGTGGAAATCCACCACACCCGAGTCAACAACAGTTTACTTCACCCTATCGACCATCTCCACATTCAAGTGAACTCAACTCAACACAAGCCTTGATCTTTAGTGATTACTTGACGTCACAACAAATGCAAGGACATAATCAGTCTTCACGTGGTGGAGGTGGTAGTGGCAGTGGTGGAAACACTGTTAACATAATTACTGGAGTTGGAGCTCCACCAAGTGGACGATCTGAGAAGGAATCACCATCGCCTCGAAGTATGGCACATTCAAACTCACCAGCTGCTATTTATTATGGTGATAAAGATCGTGAAAGAGCTGGAAGTGGTCAGCCAAGACCTGAATATTTGAGTCGATCATCACCAGCTGATCATCATAATAGGTAATGAAAAATTCTTTAAAAATATTTGAAAAATTATATTAATTTTATTATTAAATTTTCAGTACACCAAGTCCTCATCGTACTCCACCACCACAACAGAGACAAGGTGTCATTCAAAGGCATAATACCGGTGGATCAAAGCCTCCATCTCCAGCGCCTTCACGTCTTACGCAGCAAGGACATTACGCTCATCATTACGTGCAAGGTAAGGAAAAATTGGTTTGCGTCTTGGATAAGTTTTCATAACTTTTCTTTGCCTTCTTCAGGTCACGATGCATTCTCTAATTTAGTTGATGTTGCAGTTGCACAGCCATCACTTCCAGTACCGAATGATAATAACAGTCGACGAACTCACATAACTGTATCAAGTGCTGATGGACAACCTCAGTCACTTGCACCACATCGTGAACGTTATCAAACTTATTTACACCCTGCTGATGTTGCAGCAATTCAACAACAACATCAGGTGAGATTTTATAGAAAATAGAAATGAAAGTGAGAAGATTATTAATTTTTTTTTATATAGATTGAAATGTTCCGTCGACAACATCACAATCGTGAGATTCAAGAATATAATGAAAGGAAGGAGCGTGAATTTCATCAAGAACGTGAGCGAGAAAGAGAACGTGAACGTGATGAGGCTCAACGTCGATTAGATGCTGATATGGCGCAGCGAAACTTTGAACGAGAGAGACTCGAACAAGCTCGGCTACCGTACAGTCAATCGACATGGCGACCGGGACCAAGCGGTCGAATGCCTGAAGAATCGATTCCGTTTACAGCGCAGTGTTTAATCAACGCTATCATCACAGAGAACATCTCACGACCACCGGAACCACGCGAACGCTTTGTAAGTAACAGTATGAGACAAGCGAATGGCACGAATTCACGGATGGATTCTTTATGGTTGCAGGCAAATCGAGATCAAATCAGCCGCTTACAAGCTGAAAATAATGGAAATTCTCATTCACCAAATGTCATCAATGTTGATGTTGATTCGAATGATCTCTCACGTCATTCACAAAGTTCTTCATCATTGCCACAGAAGAATATCAAGTTGAATGACATTACAGATGCTGTCATCGCTAAAGATCCCGCTTTTGGTCATTTGCAACATCATCAACCACCACCTGGTGCTTATTTGCCATCTGGTCAACATTTTGTTCGTTATAGCAACGCAAGTTCTATTCCAAACAAAACACCACCATCAGCGCAAAGTCACGCAACACAATCAAATCAACCACAACAGCCACAACAAATTATTGCAACTGATCAGTGGAAATTGAATCGTCGATTGCAGCAACAACAACAGAAAGAAGAAATGGCAAAAGGTGGCAACAATGGTGGCGGTCCACAAGGTCGTTCAACGCCTGATGATCGTCACATTATAAGAATGGCTCAATCGCCATCACCACGAACGAAAATGTCATACGAACCAGTGTCACCGCCTGAAACAGCTCCACATTATTATCTCCAATCAAAACCGATGATTACAATTAACGCAAACGATCAAAGGAAACTTCCACCTGGTGTGGTTCCAACATCCCAAGAGAATGCTCCGACTGGTGACGCTACGATGGTGTTGAAGTTTGTAAATCATCGAATTGCTGAAGCGATGAGAAATGATGACAAATATGGTTCGAATGAGCATCATTCTGTTGATGGAAAAGATGGACATTCAATGAAATCATATGAGAGACCGAGGAGTGGAAGTTCAATACCTGGAAATGGAATTCCTGAGAATGACAATGAGAAGTCATCAATTGGTAAGCGTGAATCTCCATCTGTCTACATTAGCCACTCAACGAGACCGTCGCCACAACCGAATCAACCTTTCCAAGCTTCGTCAATGTCTTTCATGTATCCGTACAGCGCTTTGACGATTCCACCGAGTGGACCAAATCCCATCATCAGTCCTAAAGCAGCTAATGAATTGATTGACAGTAATCGACAATCGTCTGGTGCGCAATCGCATATGGAGACACGACAAGTTCTGTCTGAACAATATGACGCTCTCAGCGATGAAGATTAGCTGACCGTTGTCAGAACATTATTAAAAGTGTTCAATAAATCCCGAATTATGACGTGAAAAATGTAAAATCACAACGAGAATGTTTAAAATTTAATTGTTGACAATGATAAGACTAATATGCTTAACTAGATTCATATTGCATGAAAGAAGAGAGAAAAGAAAGAAACATTTGTCAGTCAAGAATGCAAACACATTGAGTTGCGATAATTCGCATCTCAATTTGAAATAAAACCGATGGACGCTTCATTGAAGAATGAAAATGAAGAAATTCCCCCGAAACAAGAAACTTGAAGCTAAACCGCTAAATGTGTAAATATAGTTGGAGATTTTGTAAAATGTATAAAGAAAAAAAACCTTCTGTCGAAATGTGATCTTTAATTAATTTAATTTACTAATTTTTCTTTTCATCTCCTCCCTTGTTGTTATCAAGCAACAAAGATTTGCGAGGAAAATAAACTTTTTCGCTTCATTTCGGGGAAATCTTCGATAACTTTTCAAGTTTTTTTATTTTAAATCTGATAATTTTTGTTCTTATTTTTATAAAAAGCTCTTGATTTAAGGTCTTTAGTTGCTAAGTAGTTGAGTCCTGACTTAAGCTTATATGTAGATGGAATATGCGACTTTGTCATTCAAGTCGTCGAATGGAATCAAATGCTAATGAAAGAAGAGGAAAAAAAGTTTAATAAGTTGTTTGTTTTTAAGTCTTAAGTCTCTCTCTCACTCTCTCACTCTCTCCCTCTCTCTTTACTTGATTTTCCCCACAAAAATACACACAAATAAAGCGTCGAACTTCAAATGTAGGTTTCATAATGTAAATTATGTATTTGTATAATGTTACACGAGAAAACACAAAAAAATTAATAATTCTGCAAATTTTTTAAATGTAGCCACAGAGGTTGTAAACGCACACAATAAGAACCTCAAGGAGTGCTTTGAAAATTAAAAATTCTCCTTTTTCAAGCTTGGAGAGTGTGCGGTTGCATTACGTAGTAAACGTGAGGTTTACTTACGTCGATCTAAGTACAATATGACTTGAATACGTTATGTTCCTTAAGTTTGCAACGTAAAACAATCGTACGTGCAGCCTAATATTATTAAATTAAACAACAACACAGCTTAATTACAATTTGAAGATTTCTTTAACATTTTTTAAAGTAAAATAAAATCTTAGTTTTCCCTTAATTTGAAATATTCCACCTGCATTGTAACGTTATAGATTTTCTTCATTTAAAAATGTTCAAGTCGAGGAAGCAAAAACATTTTTTTTACCTACAAAACAAAAACTATAATCAGAAAATAAATTCTCTCGAAACTATTTAAAACGTTTATTAACATGATGGAAGAAAAAAAAAAGTTGTTATTATAAAGATTATAAAGAGTATGAAATAAAAAAAACTTAGATAGGCTCCCTACGTATGAAAAATATAAGAAAAATAAATAAATATTGTATCTCGCTCGCTCCCCTTAATCCCCTCAATCTTATGCTCCCCCATAAGCCACCCACTCTCAAACAGCAGATTACATCTTATAAATAATTGTTTCTGTGAGTAATGGTAATAGATGAATAAAAGAATAAATAAATAAAAAATATCTTCATCTCGATTTGAAGAACTAAAAAAGATAAATAAGAGAAGATAAAGAAAAGCTTAACGAACAAACAATCCTTTGATTTTCTACGATTTTCCTTTAATTAAAGCGACCTTTCTTTATTTAATTCTCTAAGATTTTTTTTCTTTTCTAAGAGAGAAAAATGTATTGTGTAAAAAAGAAAAATAATGAAGAAAAAACAAGTGAAAATTCCGTCTTTGAAAAATTAATTACTAAAATGAAAAAAAAAACTGATAAAAGTAAAAAAATCTGAGATATTAATAAAAAAATTATGTAATAAACATTAAATGTTTGTTGATTTCTGTTTGCTGGTGTTTTGAAGTTTTCAGAATGATTCATGGATGCGAGTTTTCTTCTTCGTTTATCAATATTTATTAGTTAAACTGGAATTGCTACAAGCTTAACTTTGTTTTCTTCTTCTGATTCCCTGACTCTTAAATATTCTTGAAGCAACCAATTTAATGTAATTAAAATTGAAGTTTCAAATCCCTTAAGCTTTCAGGCGTCTTAAAGTTGATCTGCCTTCAAGAAAAGCGAATCTAATTAAGATCAACAACTTTGTATGAATTTTCATTAAAATCTTTCATTAATCTTGTAAAAGAAGTTTCCAATTCCTTAGTAAATTTTAAGATTTTCTTATTGAGAGCTTTTAAACTTCCCAAGAGCTGAAACTTCTCTCGTTTCCTCTCATTGAATTTTCTCGCAATCAGCTGATTGTCGTGCTTTTCGAGTGAATTTCGTGAGCGAAGAAAGAATATAAAGGCGAGCTGTGTTAAAAGCAAGACAGTCATTTGCAGAAAGTCAATAAGACAACTCAAAGGTAAACACTTAAAATTCTTTCTCATTTTATTCATTTGGTAGATAATTTTGGGCTTGTTTTGCTATTAATGACTTGTAAATAAATTCAAGAAATAAAAACCTAAAAATGAAGTTTCCGAGAAATTTCAACGATATCGTGTCGATCGTATTAAGTGGCTACAAATTAAGAATGTTTTAAACATCGACCAGAACGATGTATAGTGTCGCGAAAGAAAGTGTTGACAAATAACTGTTTCAGGTCAAAATCAGGTTTTATGTGCGTTTGAATCAAAATTATCAAGTTCCAGCGCATTCGATGGAGAAACTTCCGTTACAAAGATTCCTTCACTGCGACTCTTTTTTGGCTATCCACAAATATAAAACTTCTCTGATTAATAAACATCAGGATCATCGAACTTTCTTCACCTTTACAAGCAACACCATCATTCGATTTTAAATGTCAAGTTCGTCAATATGGAAGTTTACTACCGTGATTGTAATTAAATTTTGAGACAGAAAAGAAACAAAAGTTAACGTGATCGATGAAAGGAAGAAAAGAAGTCAAGGATTTGATAGAAATTATTCACAAACCGGCTTTTTAATTACTCTTTTTTATCTGATGGTTGTAATTTGTCACAATAAAATCTGTTCCGAACATCAAGAGATGTTGAATGCAAAATGAAACAAATAAGTGGAAAGAAACTTTGATGAAACATTGAAGTGATTAATTAAAAAAGTTATCACAATTCCATGGAGAAATCCTTCAAGCATGTTAACCGTGACTTAGAATAATCAACTCAAATACAAGTGTCGATTGATAATCATTTAAATAAATTCGCCACAAATTTGTGGTGTTTAAGTATTGGAAATTAATTGAAAATTCTGTGCGAAGTTTAAAACGTGACAAATTGTCTCTTTTTGTTTTTGAAGGAAGCATTATAAGCGCCAACCTCGACAGTGAAATACATAAAATATAAAATATTAGAATTTATCAAGCGAGAAAAACTTTTTCAAACAGATTCAACGCTTGATTTCGTCGATGTCTGTTGAGAGGTTGAAATTCCTGATTTTATTTGATATTCGCGAAAACTTCAAAAGACTCAAAATTAATCTAAGTAAACAACATTAAAAGATCTTTTTTAAAACAAATATTTCAGGACGCCAACAATGTCAAAAGTTGCAACATTTCTTTGTGTTCTTTTGTTGTCGCATCAAACACTTTGCGATGGCAATGAAACCTCGGAAAATTCAATTCCAGAAGAGAAAATGTATGATGATTATCGATTACCAACATCAATTACACCGGAAAACTACAAACTCGAAATCATCACACAGTTAAACGATACTCAGGGATTCGGTTTCAGTGGAGTTGTTTGGATCACGGTAAGCAAACATTTTGCAATCTTATGACTCATTCAGTTTACTCAATCTTAACTTTGAATCTTATTCTGTGTTTGCTTTCAATTTCAATAACGAGAAAGAGAGACAGAGAGAGAAAGTTTAACGCCTAAGCAGTAGTAAATTGTGTTACAATTGTCTTTTTATTACTTACATATTTACGATTCGTCTGAACTTGATGTGCTAAAAAATGATTGCGCAAGAAATAAGAAAGAAAAAGTTGACGTCGACAAACCAGATTTTTATCCCCGTTCATATTTTTATTTTATTTCTTGCTACGGTTAGATGAATGTAAATGCATTTGCCGACAACATCACGCTTCATATGAAAAATCTTACAATAGAAAGCGATAAAGTTCAGCTTTTTGAGCTTCCACAAGTCACCGCAAATGATTCAATGATTGAGAAAAGCTCGCGAGATTATGAAAAAAGTTTGAATGAAGAACGGAAGATAAGAAAGATTCAATACGTTCCGAAGCACGACTACATGATTATTTACCCAGCAAAGATCTTATCAAAGTTCCGGAAATATGTTGTGAAGATTCCTTTCGAAGGGGATTTAGACACGAGTCTGATAGGATATTATCGAAGTTCATATTTCGACAAAAAAGCGCAGAAAAAAATGTAAGTTGATGAATCAAAATTAAAACTAATTTAATCTTGAATGATTACTTAAGAAAAAGAATCAAAAGGCGTCATAAAAGAAAACATAAACAAAAGTTCATGAAGTCAAAAAGACGTCGTCATCTTAAGTAACTCAAAAGTATTTTCCATAATTATTCATTAACAATAATTTCAATAAAATTTTAGATGGCTGGCTGTGACGCAATTTGAACCAACCCATGCACGTGAGGCGTTCCCTTGTTTCGGTATTTCATTAACACACTTTTTCCATAAAAAGAATTTGCTTTGATTTTTTTATTTTAATTTCTTTTGATTCATATCATGACAAACAGACGAGCCTGAAATGAAAGCAACTTTTGATATCTCGCTGGTTCATCATAAGATGTATAATTCACTTAGCAACATGCCACTGAAAGAAAGCAAAGAAATGGAGAAGATTGAAGACTTTGTTGTTGATACATTTGAGACAACTGTTCCGATGTCAACTTATTTGGTCGCTTATTGTGTGTCAGACTTTGAATACAAAGAAGCAACTGTTAAAATGAAGGATGATGTTAAATTTAGAATTTATGCGAGACGTGATGCGATGGACCAAGTTGATTACGCTGCGGAAGTTGGGCCGAAGGTTTTGAAATTTTACGAGGTGATTTTTTTGTCTTTTCGTAGAAAAAAGTTTTAAATGTTTAATCTTATTATGTGCTTAAGGATTACTTCAAAATTAAATTTCCATTGCCGAAAATCGACATGATTGGTGAGGATTAATTTTTCATTTATATTTTCTTAAGAGGAAATAAATTTTCATCATTTTTTCCAGCTATTCCCGATTTTGGTGCTGGTGCTATGGAAGTAAGTATTAAAAGATTACGCTACGTTTACGTAACGTAAATTCTACGTAAGTTTACAACATTAATCGGATTAAAGGAAAAGAAGTTTCAAGTTTAATCTATGCACAATTTAATTAAAATATTTTATTAACAAAATTATTTCATTTAATTAGAATTGGGGATTGATAACATACCGTGAAACTGCTTTACTTTATCGTGCAAATGCGTCAACATTGTCAGCAAAACATCGAGTAGCAGAAGTCATCGCACATGAGTTGGCACATCAATGGTTCGGCAATTTAGTCACAATGTAAGTTGAATTAAAATTTTTAATATCTTATTTCACATAAAATATTCCATTTATTAAGGAAATGGTGGACAGATTTATGGTTAAATGAAGGCTTCGCAACTTACGTTGCATCTCTTGGTGTTGCTTATCTTCATCCCGAATGGAAATCTCTTGACGAAGAAAGTGTCGACAATACTTTGCATATTTTCAAGTTTGATGCACTTAAAGCTAGTCATCCCGTGTCAGTAACAATTGGACATCCAAATCAAATCTCACAAATCTTTGATGCTATCAGTTACTCAAAAGGCTCTTGCATCATTCGAATGATGCACAAATTTCTCGGCGAAGAAAGTTTCCAAATTGGCGTGTCAAATTATTTAAAGAAACACGAATATGCGAATGCTAAACAAGATGATCTCTGGGCAGCTTTAACTGAAGTTGCACACAGTCAACAGTCACTTCCCAATGAACTATCAGTCAAGGAAATCATGGACACGTGGACACTTCAAGTCGGCTACCCAATTATCAAAGTTCACAGAAATTACGATGAAAATTCAGCTGAAATCACACAAACTCGTTATTTATCTGATCGTTTTAAGACACGAAGTGATGTTGAATTCTGTTGGTGGATTCCATTAACTTATGTTGACTCTGAAACTCGTGAATTTAATGTTTCTCATGTAAGTTAATTTTTTTTTCTCAAATCTTACTTAAGATTTAAAATTTTCATTAACAGGCACAAGATTGGATGAAATGTGGAAAAGAAAACATTCCGGAAATGAAACGAATTGAAAACCTTCCCGATAAAGATCAGTGGGTGATTTTCAACGCACAACTTTCTGGACTTTACAAGATTCAATATGACCGATGGAATTACAAACTTATCGTGAAAACGTTGAATAGTGAAAACTTTAAAAATATTCATCAAATTAATCGAGCTCAACTGATTGACGACGCAATGGACTTGGCATGGGTTGGAGAACAAGATTATGGAATTGCATTAGCAATGATAAATTATTTGAGACAAGAAGACGAGTACATTCCATGGAAATCAGCATTGGATAATCTTCGTTCCGTCAATCGTTTATTGATTCGATCAGAACTCTACGGTGTATTCAAAGCTTACGTTCAACATGTCCTTGAACCAATTTACGAGAAAGTTGGTGGCATAAGTGAACCATCAAAATCAGAACGATTAGATGCTGTCAAACATCAGTCAATGATTTGTGGGTGGTCATGTCGTTTTGGTGTTGGTGATTGTGTTGAGAAATCTGTTGAACTATTTGCACGATGGATGAAGGAAACAGAACCTGATCATGTCAATCCGTAAGTAAAATATGAAAATACAAGAAAATTAATTAATGTCTTCATTATTTTCATTAACAGAGTGCCATTGAATCTTCGATCGGTTGTTTATTGTTCAGCTATTCGAATGGGAAAAGAAGCTGAATGGCTTTTCTTGTGGACACGTTACATTAATAGCAATGTTGGAGCTGAGAAATCATTGATAATCTCTTCGTTGTCATGTTCTCGTGAACAATGGTTGTTGGGACGTTATCTCGACTGGTCATTAAACTCAACTCTCGTAAGGAAACAAGATGCTGCTTCTGTCTTTGGTGGTGTGGCACGTGAAGAAATTGGATTTCATCTTGCGAAAAATTTCTTTTTTGAAAAAATCGATGCCATTCATCAAACGTGAGTCAAATATGTACACTTGTGGTTGAATATTAATTTGTGTTTCGGTCTCTTCAGTTTATCTCCAGATACATCACGCATTTCACGCTTCATCAAACCTCTTGCTGAACAAATGTCAACTGAGAAAGATATTCACGAGCTCAAAGAACTTGTTACTGTTAAGCATAAAGTATTTGAAAAATCAACTTTGGGTGTTAAACAAGCTTTAGAAACTGTGGAATTGAATAATCAATGGAAGCTCAATACTTATATGGATTTCTCGCGACGATTGAATCGAATGATGGCGAGAAACTTCGATTATTCTTTGGAAGACGATGAACAGGAAGAAGCAAAAGCTATTTGATACATACTTATAATGGAACAGTTAAATTAATAGTTTTTAAAGAACATTGTTCATTTTCTAGTAAAATCCATTAATTTTTCTTTTGTCTTTGTCGTGCTTTTATTGTCGCATATGTTGCTGACTTATTTGAATGTTAATCTTTATTAATGATCTAACAATTCTATGAAAATTAAAAATAAACAGCATGTAAATTATAAAAAAAGTTAAATTAATTTGTTTATTTTTATGTGACGTAAGAACTTCAGGATAATTAAATTTACATTGATGAAATATTTTGAAACTTCTACAAACGCTAGCACGTTTGATAGTCGCAAGCGCCATCTTTTGAAAAAAAATATTTTAATGCCTAATTTTATAACGGTTTTTAATATTTTAAATGAACTACAGAAAACGTAAAACTGAACAAACCGAACTCTGAATTTCACAAAAATTCAATAACAATAAAATAATATTGAAAAAATAATAAAAAGTCATAATATCACCATTAAAAGACTTTCAAATAGAAAAAACTTGACGTTAACCAAACATTAACCTGTTCATTGACAGAAATATTGTGAAATGATTTTAAAATACATCGAATTGTAGACGAAAATCCTCAAAGATGAATAAAACGATTGGAATTTTAAGAAAATCAAATTATCAACAACATCATGAACCATCACCAAATCTTCTCGTTTTTGGATATCAATCTAAGCTTTACCGAGACGATAAGAAAGCTCTTGAATTTGACCGGGAAGTTCATCTCATCCCAGCTCCTTATGAACGCAAAGATTTAATTTCAAGGTTAATATCAAAAAACTTTCATCAATTTGTTATCCCTTAATTAAGTTAATTGTATGTAATGCTCATCGACTATGTTGAGCATTGCAGTTACCAATATTTTTGGTGAACTAATGAACTAAACAGATTTAGATTTTACAGCTCCAAAGTCAAACACGCATTCATTTTCACACGAAAAAAAAAGATCCAGAAAACTTTTCCTACCCTCATATTCTTCTCCCACATCCTCCATCAAGGATCTCACTGAAAACTGATGGATGATAAAGAATAAAAAAATTAATCTATCTCAAATCTCTTTTCGACGATATTTAAAGAAAAGATTAAAAACAAAGAATGAAAGAATAAAAAAAAACTTTCAAATCATGAAACTGTACTTAATGATTGTACTCTTTAGATGAGATGATGTCCACAACAAGATGGTAAATATGGATGGTAAATATAGAAGGTTCCATTTTATATTTTTATTTATGCTCTTATTGTATTTAATATGATGCGTGAATCATTGAAAGTTACAATGGGACAACCCAGAAGATCTTTTAATGATTTACATCCAAACAATTGCATCTCTGGATGTTTTCAGAGACGGAATCTTATTCTTTGATATGCATTCGACGATGACTAATTCGTACTTGTTTCTGGTTTCTTCCGATTTCTTAATCTAGATACGATGTCAGAGCAACACTTGACAGTGCACCGCAGGAGGCGCATGACAGTTTCATGAATCGATTGGATTATTTATCACCAGCGGAACAGCAAGCAGAAATGATGGCCGAGAAAGAACGTTATTACAGTTTGTACACAAATGAAGTTGAGGAAGAGTTGTACAAAGGTAAAAGATAATTAAAAATCTTTTTCTTCAAATTAAACTTTAATTAAATTTTCACTTTATAGAAGAGCTAAAGAAACGAGAAGCACAATCAGGATATAATCAAGTTTCCTTCAGTTACAATAAAATTGGTCCAGTTGTAGAGAAAGAAGCGACAGTGTCACAAGAACCTGATGACAACGACACGACTCCATTTACACCATCAGCAAAACTTGATTTACCAGTTGACATGGAAACACCGCCGACTGTTAAACTTAATCAAATCATTGAGAAAACAGCGAAATTTATTTCATCTCAAGGGCCACAGATGGAAATTCTTTTGAAGACAAAACAATCGTCAAATCCACAGTTTGAGTTTCTTAATCATAATGGACAATACAACAGTTATTACAAACACATTCTTGCGATGATAAAAGCTAACACATATCCTTGGGAAGAAGCAGAAAATGAAGATAAAAATGAAGAAACCAACAGTCAAGAACCATCGAATGGTGTCAACAACAACACAAATGGAAAAGAAGAAATCGCTGCAACACAACCAACAATATCATCGATAATTATTCCGAAAATGATCTTCAAACCAAGTGCTGATTGTGCTTACACACAATTGATTAGTAAAATAACAAAAGCGCCAATCGCTGAGATTGAGAAACAAAAGCAACAAGAATCAGAAATGAAACAAAAGATCAATGGAGTGACGACGACACATAATGAAGTTCTGAAGAAGTCATCAGGATTATTAGGACTTGTTCATTACAGTTCCGATTCAGAAAGTGAAGACGAAAATGTGATGACATATTCAGGATTAATTCCGCCATCAGATCTTCAACTTGTGATTGACAAGACTGCGATTTATGTTGGGAAAAATGGCGTCGAGTTTGAAGAGACGTTGAGGAAGAAACAAGACGTGAGATTTCAATTCTTAGACGTCACTAACGAGTTCCATCAATATTATGTATTCAAAGTGAATGAAAGTCGTGGATTGCCACAACCAATAGCGACGACTTCTTCTGTCGTTGTTAAGAAGTCTGATGAAGAAATCAAACAATCAAAACCAACACCCGCACCAGTTTGTTTCTCAATCAAATCAAAAGAAGAGAAAACAACAACGTTGAAGCCGACAATATTGCAAACAAATAGCAGTGATGAAGAGACAAAGAATGAAAATGTTGTTCATCAAGATCCTTCAAAATTGACGAGTGTTGAAGAAGAATTGGAGATGCAAGTGGATGCGATGAATGCTGAACGTGAAGAGAAACTTGCAAAAGACAAATTGACAGAAAAGCTCATGAACGCAGCAAGAGAGAAACTTGGAATGCTACCCAAGGAGAAAATGCTTCAAATTGAACGGAAAAAGAAAGCTTTAATGTTCATCAATCAAATCAAAGGTGAGTGACATTGATTGAGATCGAATAAAAGAAAAGTTTTTTTTTTTGCTTTCTTTAACTGAAATATTTTTGTATGTTTAGGATCGAATGGAAGTTCTTCAAATGGAGCAACGAAAGACGACAATGATGTCATTAACTTGACACATTGTGGTGATGACTCAGATGATTCTGTTAAATCGATTCCCGTCAACACAGTTCCGTCTTCTTTAAAACATTCTTCAAGGTCTCCACGATCAAGGTAAATATTTTGAAGAACTTTCTGTGTGAATTCAAATTTATTTCTCTTTCTCGCAATAGGAAACGATCAACGTCACATTCAACTCGCTCCAGTAACTCGTCATCATCGTCATCTCATTCAAGAAGCTCATCAAGAAGTCACAAGAAAAGCAAATCTAAAAAATCACATCGAAGTAAGAAGAAATATCGTCGAAAGTCACGTTCAAAAAGTCGAAGTCATTCATCGTCACGAAAGAAGAGTCGACGAGAGAGAAGACACTGAGATGTGCCATTGAAAGTTTTCCTTTCTCAATTTTAATTTGTCTGAAAATTTAAGAAAATCATTTCATAATTTCAATAAAAAATGCTTTTTAAATATCGAAAAAAATGTGTTTTCACGCAATTTTTATTTCTCTTTAGATATTCATTTCAGATGAGACAAATGAATGAAAAATTAATTATTTGAATAATAATTTTAAAATTTCCATGTAAAATCAAGATTAAATTCCGATCCCTCACTACCTTCACTAGTACCTTCCAAATGGAAACCATATTTCCTTTCTTCTTTCTTTTTTTCTAGGCGAGTCTGATAGTATCTTTCACCAAATCTTAACTGATAACGTAAATCTATGAATGGTTCACTTTCAATGCAAGGGTAACAGTCTTCATCCAACTTGTTTTTATCTTTGAATAATAATATATCCAGTCCATCCAATTCGTTTCGAATAGGCCATTTAGATTCATCCGTTGGTTCAGATATCGGTGGGAGCCAACGAAAATCATAGATAATGGGATCTGGCGTTTCGCCTGACTTTAACTTGTTCAGTAAATCAGAAAAAGCTGTTGAATGTCCTAATGTTAAAAATCTTTCAGAATCTTCATTTTCCTCATAATCATTGAAAATTGTTCCTAATCTTAAAATTCCCAGTTGAACATCTTCACCTAGACTCGAACATTCATCAATGCAACGCGATGAATTCTCTTCATCATCAGATGAACTTTCGTCATCTTCTTTTCCATCATTTTCTTCACCATTAGTCGAGCTATCACCATCATTATCATTGGATGATTCTTCTTCCGTTTCTGGTTCTTCTAATGGAATAAAATGCGAAGGGAACTTTTCATAATCTATTTCCTATTATAACAAAACAAAATTTTCTTACTAGAAACCTCCACACATATTTCATGGGCCTTGGAAACTGCTCAAAATTAATTCAAATTAAAAAACTATTAAATTTGTTTTGTATATTGAATATAAATATGTATTACCCTTTACATCACTTATAATAAAGACAACAAAAACTGATAATATCAAAACGAACTTCATGTTTAAATCGACTAGAACTTCACTTTGCCAACGTAAAACTGATAAATGTCAAATGTATTCACGCATATTTATTCTCTTTTTCCAGAACCTTCCTTTAACGTCATGATAATTTAAACTGAATCCATTTGACTTTTTTGTGTATCACGCTGTCAATATTATCAATGTCAAAGAACTTGAAAACAGTTGTGCATCAGTTCATGTGTAAATATTCTTAATATTAATGATCTAATGACATTCACTAATGAGGAGAATAAGAAAATATTTGTTATTAAGAGTCATCAGCAAAATTTGAACTCTCAAAAGTTATCATTTAGTGGTTCTCCAATATTCATGGTTAAAAGATCTCCTAAACAATAAAAATCGAGGATGTTTTAATACAGAATAATGGGATTCCTTAGAAATATACTAATAATGTTATCCATGATGTGTTATTCTTTCTACAGCGACTGGCAATATACTGTAATTAATCCTCTCACAGAATTTAGAATTCATTTTCAAACTAATTTATAATTTATTTTGCTTGTCTTAAAAAGCTCTGTAATGAAACATTCAACTGGAAAAGGCCATAAAACTATTTTGAAATAATTTATTTTTTCTTTCTTTTCTTGAGTGAATTCAATGAAACGAAACTTTAAAACTGTAGATAACAATCAAATTAAAAGCGATAAGTAAAAATTATACCACCACCCTTTTTTTTAAAGTTAATATCAAATCTTATTTCCCATCCTCCAAGTTTAATGGGATAAATATCGTCAATCCATGATTTATTTTCAATGCAAGGAAGACAATACACATCTAACTTTGATAAATCTTTCAGGTCTTCTTCCAAACGATCTAATCGGCGTCTTCTCATGTCACTCCATTCAAAAATACGATACCATTTGGGTTCATCTTCTTCTTCAAAAACTGTGTTTAAAGTCAGTGTAAAATCTTTTGAATCCTGTTCTTCATCTGATTTAATGAGCTCCAGTGCATCTCTGAACACTTTTATATCCTCAAGTGATAAATTTGCCTCCAAATCTGTTTCAATTTGATCAGGTATTGATTCCAGTGGAGATAAATTTAACTTTACATCCTTCCCAAAATCAAAACAACCATCAATGCATTGCGATGGGCTCGGATCATCACTGACATCTGATTCACTTGGTGAAGTTTCTCCACCTCCATTTGTTTCTTTCCCAATCAGAAGTAAGGATAGAACAAAGAAAAGGTTTCTCAAAATAATTTCCATTCTTTTAGAACTGGAAGCACTTGAAGGAATGAAGTAAATTTGGCTAACGTTTGATTTTTAAGCTTTTACATATTTGTAACAGAAAGGAAATGTCTTTGTTATATGCAACTATTTATTTACGACAGAAACATGACGATCATGAATAAATGCAACTAATTAACATTTTGGATTTAAGTATAAAGCTGTCGACAACTTTAAATACTCATTAAAGCAAGAATTTTTAATTATAAAAACTAAGTTGGAGTTCATTTGCTTAATTGATGAAAACATTCATATTTTTAAGAACACAGAACTTCATTAGTTCTTCGTATAATTTTTTTTTAACTCAGATGCTTATCTCAGATGTTTCCAACAGCTACAGCAAATAGAAACTAAATAAAATTTCATAAAAATGATAAATTCAAGTCCAATATGAATTCAGTGCAAAAAAGTTTTTAATTTCTTTCTATTTTCTTTGCAAAATATTATGAAATCACGAAGAGAAGAAAATTCTCGGCCAATAAAACAATTTTAAAGGTGAACTTTATGCATTTTGTGTCGCATTTGGTAGCTTGAGAAAGCTTTTTTTAAATAAATGAAATGCAAGCTTTTCAATGCCAATATATTCTTGGTTAATGTAATCTTAATGGTTTTTTAAAGTCCGCTTATACATATTACACTAAAATGTAAAAAACGATCTCTGTCTGCTTTAAACGTTCAAAGTTTCCTATGTCGATAAAACAGTTTCACTAACTGCTTTAAGTCGGTTAAGCAGACACATATAGAAATTTGCCTAAACTTTCTTTATAAAAAAACTTCTTTCTTCTTAAATTCTAAGTAACTTTAATTTCAAATTCTTTAAGATTTCTGACCTTTTATACTCTTCCCTTTGATCTTGTTATTTTCATTTTCTATTTTAAACATCTGCATCTGCATGAAGAATTCAAACCTTTTCTTAATTGAATTTTTTTATCTTTCTTCTTTGATTCTTTTTTTCCACTTAGCGTACTCGTAGAAAAAGGATAACTTAGGCAACACATTAAAAAGTAAATTTATTGCAATTGTTTTATATTTCGGAGACTCTTTCAGTAACGAATTTCTTTTTTTATATTTATTGTTCTTTCTCATTAAAAATTAGCACCTTGTTGATGAGATGAGATTACCTCAGGTTGACAACAGAAATTCACAATGAAAGAACAGCAAAATAATTTTATTCTGTAATAATTCCTCTTCATTCTACTTACTAAGTAACAAGTTTGTTGTAAAAAGAGAAGAAGACATTTAATTTATTTTTAAACATTATTCGCATGATAGAAATTTTTGAAATTGATTGACAAATTTGAAAAGATAAGAAACATCAATGTTGCTTGGGTGATCTTTTTTGTAAGTAAGTCAATTAACAATTATGATGAAATATATTTAAAATAAATTATTCTTAAAAAAAATTACTTCTGCCTAATTATAATTTAAAAAAATTACATGAAATTAATGAGGTGAAATTAATAATAAAAATGTGTATAGTTGGTTTAGCTATAGAAACCACAACGTTTAACAACTTCTCCCGCAGTTTTATTCGAACAATCATTTTTAATTAGGTTCATTAGACAAGCATCACCGGAATGATGAGAATTCAAAATCGAGAAGTTGAGAGCAGATCCGATTACGGATCGTCAAGCCAACAAAGCGGGTCATGTCGTGAACCGTTAAATTTTTATTTGGCATGAAAGTACCCTAATTAATGGCACAGTTTAAATTTCAAACACTGTTATCAGTGAAGCTGTCACAAGAGACGAAGTAAGAAATTAAAACAATTTTTTCCTGACTCATCGCTCACATGAAATGTCAAGATCAAGACTGAACTTTGAGAACGATTTCAACCTAAATTCCTGGGATCGCTCAAAAATTTATCCTTTGATGAATTCCTTGGTCGGTTTTCAAGGAAATGACATGAAGAATTTTATTTATTGGATAAATTTTGTTCAATATTCAATTTTCGATGTTTAATTAATTTTTAATGTGGAAGGTTGAAATCTATTTTAAGAACTCAAATTAGCATTTTTTTTCTATATTTCATTCATAAAATTAAAAGCATCAAATCTATATCAGTGAAGATGACTTTTAAATTTATTACACGAGCCTTAAGTTTCTCTTCTCTCTTTTCACTTTATTGAGATGTCTTCTTGGTATTGTGAAAATGACTTAGAAAAGGAAATTACTTGATTTCTATCTGAGGGTTGAAAGAAATATATCCGAAAATAAATGCTCGATGTTATCGATATCTGGTGGACAACAAATTGGGATATTTTTCAAAAGTATCTTATGTAAGTATGCACTCATTCTTATACTCAGTCAATCTTTATCAGCTTTCGCAAAACTGAGAATGGCACTCAAATTGCCTCTCGTAAATGTGACTTTAATCAGCTATAAATCCATCGGAAAACATCGTTTTAAATCCAGTTGATGTATTGACTTTGATGTGAAAAGACAAAAAGAGTTTTAAAGATTTATAAAGAACTTCGTTGTGATTTTTTAAAGTGAAAGTGAAAAAAGTTGAATTAAAACATGAAATTGATAGTTGAGGAAGTATGAAAAAAACTTGAAAAATTTCAATGAAATTTATTAATGAAATTAAAAAAATAATTAACAGAATCCTTTGGTAATTGATCCATCAGAATTACTTCGCCCAGAAGCTGAGTTTACGGAGAAAAGTGTATCAAAGTTTCGTGATTATACCATCGATGAAAATGATCCTTTAAAGGAAATGGTCAGAAAGACATACCGACAAATGCACTTAAACCAAACAGTTGACTTTGTCAAGCGTAAGAAAATGTTCATCTTCTTATAATTGAAGTGTCAATAAAAGGAAATAACTTGAAGCGATAAAGATCTTGAACAATAAAGTCGCTTTCAAGAGTTTCATTGACTGATAACAAGATGGGATAAAGTGTTTACACAAATGAAAATCTATTTTTGTTATTTTAAAGCTTTGATTGACGCAGTCGATAATTCAATGTTTCAGTTAGAATAATCAATAAACAAAAAGCTTGTCAATTCAATGTAAACAAAACAAAGTTTTGGAAACGTTGATAACATAATTTTAATACAGATTTATTGTCGCATATTTTGATACATAATTTGCGTATTAAATTTTAAATGCTTCTTCAATCGAGTTTAAAATAATCTTTCAATTACTGATAGAATGCCACAAGAGATGGATGAACTTTGATCATCTTAAGATGACAACACGTGAAGCTCTTGAGAAGCTGAACGATTTGATAGATGAATCAGATCCCGATACTTCATTACCTAACATTGTTCATGCTTTTCAAACGGCTGAGAGAGCAAGAGAAGAATTTCCTGAACACGATTGGCTACATCTGACCGGGTTAATTCATGACCTGGGTAAAATTATGGCCTTTTACGGTGAGTTTGAAAATTGCTTTTCAGAAATAGAAAATTATTATTTATGTTCAAATAGGCGAGCCACAATGGGCTGTCGTTGGCGACACGTTTGTTGTGGGATGTCGGTGGTCTGATAACATTGTTTATCGAGATGAGAGCTTCATAGGTAATCCGGATGGCATTAATCCAAAGTATAACACGAAGTATGGAATGTACAAGCCAAACATTGGCTTAGAAAACTTGATGTTGAGTTGGGGTCATGATGAGTATATGTACCAGGTGCTGAAACATAACAAAAGCACTCTTCCGGAACAAGCACTTAATATTATTCGTTTCCACTCATTTTACCCTTGGCACTCTTCAGGAGACTACGAATATCTTATGAAACCCAAAGATGAAGAAACGAAAAAATGGATTTTGACTTTTAAGTAAGTGACAGTTTGACGGACAAAGTTGAACACGTGATAGATTCTAATTTGTATTTTTACAGCCGCTACGACTTATACACAAAGTCTACTAAGATCCCAGACATTGATGAACTTTGGCCTTATTATCAGAGCTTGATTGACAAGTACATGCCCGGTGTTCTCGATTGGTGATGACTATAACTTGCTTGATTTATTTACAACATAAATAAACTTTATCATCTATTCTTAATATTATTATTACTATTCCCTTTTTCAATTAACAAGGATTTATCAATTTACATGCGTTTGAGCTTGTATTTATTTATGTTAATAAAAGCAAAAGATATTTACATTCAACATGCATTACATATTGCTAGTAGCAAACCAAATTTTCAATTTAGATGTAAATCTTCATTATTTATTATACTGCATTATTTCAGCTTCATGTAAGAAGCTTCTACACCGAAGACAATCGTTTCGATTTTGTTAAATTATTTAAACATAAATTTGAATGAAAATCGATCGATTTATTTTAAAATTTTAAATCTTAAAGAACAGAGATTGTTTCTCTGTATATTCTTGTTGAAGAAGCTTAACCATAATTATTATTTAATTAAAAACACAAAATTAATCATTTTCAGTTCTTTGATGTTGAGTGAAGGGCTTTGAAAAGTTTGCTTTATAAATTTGATTATTTTATGATAAGCAAACGATGCTTCAGACGATTTAACTTTTCAACAAACTTACAAAAACTATTCTCAACACATAATAATAAATTTATAATTAAAATGTTGAAGCTGTCTATAAACTTTCAATAAAGAAACTTTCCACTATGCCTTAAATTTCTTAAACTTCCATTTTCATCGCTTCAGAAAATTAAGGCTCATTAAAGATGCATCATTAGCAACTCATTTTCTTATCACTTCTTTGTTGGAACTGGAAAGAATTTACACTGCGACATTGCAAACCTTAATTGCAAATTGAAAACTTTTCCCCACTGCATGCTAAGAAAGCATCTTAAATGGAAATCTTAGCTGAACCTTTATTCGAAATGACTTTCTAACTTGAAGTGCTTTCAAAAGTTTAACTAAGACTGATGTCTATCTTTCTTACAATAATATTTTCGTATTGTTTTCTGTTGTTAGAAATACTTGCAGCATGAAGCTGTATCAAGTCTTGAAACTTGTTGAAAGCAAATCAGGATAAAATCTCAGATGAAAACGTTTCTTTACCTTTCAGCTTTATTGTTTCTGAGCTTTTCCGTTTGCAATTCGCATTGTGAACCTCAACTTGTGATTCAGAAACATGCAAACACAAACAGAAACACAACAAAAGCAAGTAAAAGTTGATACATAAAGAACAAAATGAAGATATTTATACATTCAAATGTCACCTGAAACTTTGCCAAACGGTGCGTAATTTAAAGTCTCTTAATATTTATGAATTCAATTAAGATACAAATACGTGTTGCTACAAAAATTGTCCGTTGTAATTAAATTAAATTATTTAATTTAAATGACTTAAGTAGAGCTTTTACGGTGAATGACTAGATCCCCCGTAACAAACTTTTTTTTCCTCAGTCACATCTTGTAATTATGATCTCAAAGGACCGAAAAAGGGAAAGAAATGAATAAATGAAAATTTTTACAAGTAAGATGGAAAAAAATGCGATTATATTAATTTTGTTCCGTTTTCTTGCTATTCACATCACCGAGCAACAGGTGTTGGAGGGAAAAGGTCGAATTTATAATCCTTATTTTCTAATTCACTGAGTGAACGGATAAAAGACTTTCCAGTCACTCACAATTTTGAGCGTCCATTTTTTAAAGGTTTCGCCGTGCATGAGATTCTTTCAGCTTCAATGACCTTCCGATTCTTTTATTCGTGACTAGCTTATAAAATGTGAAGAGTTCAATCATAGAAAAGGTTATTGAAGCTTCAGCTATGTGAGGTCACTTCTGAGGTATGACTTACACATCTCGTTAGATGCATCACGAAATCAATATCAATACCTTTCACCTTTTCCATTTAAAATCAACAATTTTCTTCAAAAAACGTCTTTTTAATACTTCTCAGAATTATTTCTTTTTTCAAAAGAATTTCAAAGCAAATTGATTGTAATTCTTCCAATTTTTCACTGAATCAGCTTTAGAAAAATAATTTATGAAATTTTTTGAGACAAACGAAGTCCAAAAAAGAAAAAAAAATAACAAACGATAAAGTTTTATCGCATCAGTCAACTTTCTTTTCTTATGTTAGCTTTTCTTCGTTTAACTTTCCTGTTCTGACAACAAAAAAAATATAAAAAAGTAAGAAGAAACTAAAGAAAGAAAATAAGAAGTCTTTAAGCTTATTCTCCATAATTTCCACTCGACATTGCTGTGCACTTGCTTTGGGCAAAACGTCTCGTTAAATAGAAAGGAAAAATGAAAAGAAGAGAAGCAGTCTTATGCTCGATTGAAAAGTTATAAGAAATTTTGACACAAGAAAAGAAAAGAAGAAGGAAAAACAAGGAAAAGATTTAAAAATTTCTTTGGAGAAAGGAAAATGTCCTTCATTAATTCTTCTAATGGAACTGTCGTGTCATTGTTTTCACTTGAATGACCTGCTGCTCTTCGATAATTCTACACCAAACTCATAATTTCTTTATGTTCCGTTTGAAATTCGGGTAATATTTACAAGATCCAGGACTTAACGCTCGAAGGCGTCCAACCTTTGCTCAAGGGCGAAGGTAAAATAATGAAATGTTAATTCTTCTTGTTTACCCAAAAATGAAATTTAAAATCTTTTCCAACTCTCAAGGGAGAAATGATGAGAAACGATGAAAACATTTTTCGAGGGCTTTTAAAAGTTATTCAAGAAAATTTGTCGAACTTGTTCATTTCTAAGCTACGCGGTTTACGACCGCTATAGGCAACAAGTTTGAATAGCGCTTCAGTGAATCCGCAAATTCTTAGATTTCATCAAAAATATTTGCCAATTAAGGCAGGCGAGATTAATTATAAAAGCTTTTGAAATTGACTCGTATAATATGATAATTTTCCATAACACTACATAGATTAATGGTAGTTTTAGTTTTCTTAACAGCTTGAATTTCACGTTTCGGAAAATTTTCCTTCATCGCTTGAGGAAAAGTTTTTCAATTTTCTCATGGAAATAAATTAAATCCTACACATATGCAGAAGGAATGATAATTTGCCTTTGGGGACTCTTTAATCCTTGTTCTGTGATATAAAGTTCATCCCAAGCCATATTTCATGTAAGATAATGATTCCACTTCACAATAGAACATGAAAAGTTGCTACTTTAAAGTTTGTTTTTCGGAAATAGTTTGATAGAAATTATCTTACATTTCTCAGGTGAGAGTAATTCTCAAGTGCTAGACAACAAACCTCACTTTGTTTGATTAACGTGGATAACTTCTTGTTGATTGTTGTTGTTAAATTTTTACAATTTCGACCTTTTTTGAGCGTAGAAAATTTGAAAGAATTTCCGTGCGATAATTTTTCTATTGTTATGAGACTCGTAATCATTTGTTTATGATGCAAGAAATTGCCTATTTGTAAGGTGGGCGATGAGATATGGGTCTGATGAGAGATAAGCTTTCTTTCTTCTCGAAGGCTTTCTCCTTCAAATTGAGATCATTTTTCACGATGTACATGTATGTGGAGACGTGAAAAAAGGTTTCTTACTTATTGTCTAGTACATAAAAAATGAAATGAGTCTGTTAAGAAATGCTCCAGTGTAGGTTGAGGAAAGTTCTTTAAGCAGAAATTCATGGCATTCATAAAAATGAATAGAAGCTTCTCATAGAAACACCAAAGCAAGCAAGGAACATGTTGGAAGCGGCGTGAAAATTCTTCATGCACGCAATATATAATGAAAAGAATTTTCTTTGAAGTAAACTCTGATAGAAAGTTGTATGACTGACGGGTGTATGATGTAAAAGCGTAAATAAATTAGTTTTATCTCTGGAAATTACTGTTTTTGTTGTCAAAAGAAATCTTCAAAATCTTTCCTCTAGGCTCAAATGTTTCTCAACAAGTCATAAAATATGAAAAGTAAAATAAATTCTCATATGCAAATTAAATTTGATTAATGCTTTGAAAAGACTGATTCTACCTCCCACGAATTACTTGAATGTAAAGAAAATCTGACAAAGTTTCACCATAAAAAAGAAAGAATTTCTCTTTTGAAAGAAAGAAATTTTTCTATGAACACAAAATCATAATTTTTCATTCTTTTGACTTAATTTATGACTTTCTTCTTGTTTATGAAGGTCTAAACTTTGCTCTACTTTTACAACTTATGTGGGACAAGTTTTAAGCGCTTTCTTTTGGATACATATCTGATGAAAAATCTGCCAAAACTCTCACAACGACTTGAGCTCTACCAAAGCTCTAATAAAGTTTTAACATTCTTTGAAATAATTCTAGAAAACTTTCTTCTATATCTGAAAAATCCACTTGCTTCTAGAAATAGTTTTGAATTCTTTTACTTACATGCATAGAATGACAAGCAAATAAAGATTCCTGCTTCACAGAGAAGAAAGGGAATAAAATTTCTCACGACTCTACGAGTGCTATTCGATGAGTTTGTCTCACAAACTTTCTTCCTTTAACGTTTATAATTTCTCCCTAACAGATTGACAGAACTTTAGAACAAACCAATCTCTAAACATTGTTCAGCTTTCTTTCAGAAATGAATAACTTAAAGAATGTAGTTTCATAAAGAGCTCACTTGAATGCAAATCCAGAATTTTTTTGTCACACAGCAATTGGCGTTTCCGTTGGTAAATTGTATGGAAATTTATTCTGATAGATTCACTTTTTTTCGTCACGAAATTCTCGTCTCGACTATATAAGTTTGTTACCGACGTTTCCTGGTTCACGTGCACTCGAGTGAAAAAAAATCTTGCCATCGTTATTGAAACAATTGTAGACATCCTTTTTTGTTGTTTGTCTCAAAAAAGAATTCATAAAACTGTTATTGATATGAATATAAAAGAAAATCTGATAAGCTTAATTTTGATTCAATTTTCGCTTACTTTATATCGTGAGATTAATCATTATATCTAAATGTAGCGTTTTCAACGATTAATCGCTAGTCAACTATTGGCAAAAAGCATGAAATTTTGCGAGTAGCGGAAATTGATTAAATGACAAAAGCCAAATCACATAAAAGCTATCAGCTATAGCAATGTCAGCATGATTAATACATTACGACATAACAAATTAATGAGAAGTAATTAAACGAGACAGACATAGTCTTGAATTAAATGTGCAAATATTCGAGAGAGAAAGACGGAATAAAAACATAAAATAAATAAGCAAATATAGCCGGAAGTAAAAAGTTGTCTAGATTGCTTTTTGTTATGGGCAAAAAATCTTTAATCTGCTTATAAGATTCCTCGTTAATTAATAAGCTTAATCCATTAAATCTCCTCAATTCGTTTCTTGAATTTCGTGATACAGGTTTGTGCCAGTAAATAATTGCTAAATTGATGAAAATAAGCGGAACCCTCATGTGGATGTCAAAACCCTTTTCAAAAACATTTAATTCACCACGATGGACTTTGGGAAAACCTTATCGTAATTTGTCAAAAGATAAAGATGAAAACTTTTCAGTTTTCATCTTCATCTTTCAAAACCAAATACAGTGAATGTTCTTTTTTTCTTATGAGAATTGAATAGAAAAAAAGAGAAGAATATATTTTTCCAGATGAAAAAATTACAAGAAAAACATTCCAGGTTTATGTTATTGCGGGCAGAAAATTGCGGAACGATTTTTAAAATTTTAACCGTTAAAAATTAAATGCGTGACAAAATATTTTGTAGATTTTAATTTTAATTATGAAATGAGATAAGAAATGAAAATATAATGTATTTAGCATTATAATTTCTTATCTTAATAATTAAATCATGTAGAATTTAATTTTAATAGCATAAAATTAAATTCTTACTTTGATATTTCTAACGGTAAAAATTTCAAAAATATCCGCAATTTTCTGGCTTGGAATAATTTTTCCGCAATAATCTGGATTTGGAATAGTTTAGTCGCGGAAAAATATATTCTTCTCGAAAAAAATCTTTGTCAACAGAAATCAAAAATAAAAAGAAACTCATTCGAATGAGTTTAAAGATGAAAAGTCTTAAATTGAAAATTAGAGTTCCACATCAATCATTGGTAATCTCAAAGGATCGCATCATGTTTCTAAAGCTCTTTAGATTATATGAAACTTAAGTGTACATGGAATCGTTTCAAATTAAGTTCAGTGAATGTGAATGTGAATGTACCCTTCATTCACAAAGCAGATACTTGATTCTGCTTGAACCAAACTTTGAATATTAAACAATAACTGAGATGTAATTACGCACATTGAATTTTAAGGATAAGGTAAAAGTTACACCTCAAGCTATCAACGCAAATACCTATCATTAAAAGCTTACTTTCTCCAAAATTCTCTAATTATATCGACACATTTAATTTCCAATTATGCATAATTTCATTTTTAATCGAGAGAAGAAGCTGAGAGCATAATCGCCTTTGTGTCTTCTTCTTCCTTTTAATGTGTTCAATGAGCAAAGATTCATTGCTTGAAATTAATCAATTTAATTGAGTCATTAGTTTGCATGTTTTCACAAATATAATCATTAAACATGCGACGATACAAGCGAACGAAAAGAAAATATTTTCAATTTTAATCCTATAAGTTGATGTTTACTTTTCGATTTTCAATTTCTTTTATTTGATCGTCGAAAATCGAGAAGGGTGAGATATTGAAAGGTTTTAAATTACCTGTACGCCATATGGAAATCATGTTTGAGCGAATTTATTAAAAGCTTTTTACATTTCTATGTTTGCAACATATTTTTCTCGAATTCGTAAGACGAACACTCTCATTTTTATGAGTTTAATATAAAATGAAAAGAAAATTTCTTTTCACAATATGCGATTCTATTCTCATGGCAATGCGATTTGGAACTGAAGTTTGAAGTCAATAATAAAGAAAGACGTCAAGAGCAGTTCCATCAGTTTTCAACTTTAAAGTCTGTCATAAAAGTAAAATAAAATATCTGAGAGATTCTACTTACTCGGAAATATTTTGATAATAAAGTGATAAATCGTCGTCAAGCTTGAGCCCAGATTGAGCAAAGAAAATTAATTTTTCTTCGATGGAGAAAGGATTGAAAATTCAACATGAAAATATTTTCGACATTCATCGTCCAAAAAAGTTTTTTTCTCTTACTCAACGAAATGTTCGAGCTTAGTTAATGATTGCAGTTGATAAAGTTTAAGTGCTTTTGGCGATAAGATTCTAAACAATAAATCATGATAAGAAAGGAAGAGATATTTTTCATGAAAATTTGAATTTATTATTTCATAAGTTCAATCCTCGTACTTTTTTCCCGTATAAAATACAAAGAAAAGTGTGTTAAAGAATTGTGAAAAATATTTTTGTGCTGCTCTTTTGAAATTCATGGAGAAATAACTCGTTACCATAAGGCGGAACTCTTGTGGATATGTGAAGCTTTACATTATCATTTTTTTGCAATTTTGTTAATAAAATGTTTCTTTAGCTTTATACACATTTTTACTACATGTTAGAAATTCTATTCAGCACGAGAATTCTTTTCCCATCACAAAAAGAATTAAAGGGAAAATATTTTATAATTCATTTCTGCATTGAATGAACGACAAGAAATTTCTCGTTAAAAGTTTTTTACTTTTAGATGTCATTTTGTAAATTAAACTTCTTTCTATAAACACGAAAAAAAGCATTCATAAGACTTGTAGTGCTGGTCAATCACAATGTTGAGTATTTCACATAGAAATCTCATTTTGTTGATTAGTATTTGACAAGCCTTATGATTACTCCCACGCAACTTTCACAAATTTTCAACTCTTAATAAGAAAGAAAGTTTAATTTGAACCAGTTCAAAACAACTTCGAAAGTTGATTCTAACAACATAAAATTAAATTTCAACGCAAGGAATAAATATTTATTTAAAGATAGCTGAAAAACAAATTTTAAATTCTTGGAGAAGGAATTTTTGAGAATTCATCATATTCAAAATAATCTCCCTCCTACACATATCTAACAATTTGTGACCTAATTTCATGACATGACCGAGTGGTTTTCTGGCACATATTTGGGCAACACGTATAAATTGTACCTTGTGAATCGGAATAATATCATAAATGGAATGTCTTTGATGCCATAAAGTTTTGAATGAATCTAGAGCTTGGAAGGCATTGGCTGTAATAATAGAATTATCGCCCTTTACTGTCACATAAGATTCCCAGTGAATAACTCTTGAGACGGGTGTACACGAGTGTGAAGAAATTCCTTTACAAAATGTTTTCTCTACACTATACAACTTACCAGAACTGAGATGCCATCTTCAAAATGAGATTTCATTCACATATCATCCTTGACCTCACAGAAATGTTTTCGAATTGAAAAGGGTTTCTCACCGAACACTTTTCATTTCTTATTCTTCAACAGAAATTGAAAAGCATTTCATCCATTTATTTTGGACGATACGATACGATTGTGAGCGAGATAGAAAGTTGAGAAATATTTTCTCAAATTCTTATCTCTTTGTGTCGATCGAAAGTAGGGCTTTAGAAACAGAGATGGGTAGATTGAGTGATGTGAAATTTTCAATTGAATTAAATACAAAATGAAATGCTAATTCGCTTTTATTCATTGGGATATATTTGGAATATCTCCTTATCTAGTATTTTTTCTTCTCTCCCTTTGCCTTTGTTCTTAAATTAAACACAATTCGTTTCCTTTCAACGACGCTTTTTCTCGATGAAAATAATAAAAAAAAATACATTACCATATAACGATTTTGTCTTTTTTTCTCATCACTCGAAGGGATTATTTGCGTGAAGTGTCCCGAATTATTTTTAACCTAATCGAAAAGCTCTCAATTGTTATAGCGACAACCAAACTTATCCATTCGTGCAGTGGGTCACCGTCACGATTCAATTTATTTCAAACACATAAACAAATTATATTGCGCTGAGGGTGAACACAATCTAATTAAATTGTCGAAAATTTATTACCATAAAGCATAATTTTTATTCACTTTCCGAAGTTTCCATTTTGTGAAATAGAAAAAAGATCAAAGTCTGTCGTGCCGTGAGTACGAAGCGCACGTATGAAATTATAGAAGAATTTTATGTTTCAAAAACACATTTTGAATGAAAAGAAAGCAACAAATTAAAAGCGCATTTCGTTTATAGCCTGACATAAATGTTTCAATATCTAAACTTGCCTTTTCTACTAATCGAATTTGTTTTCATAATTTATGAACAAAACTTCAATGCTTAACGCGGCAACAGAATGTATGTGAAAAAATAATTCGTTTTATAAGCTTTTATGGAAATATAACTCAAATATACTCACACTCATATCTTACCCAACACTACGTGATCAGTGAGTAAATATTGTAACGTCGAACATAATAAATATTTTCAAAGCTTTATAAAGCTTCTGAGATAGAACAACTCTATTACCAAATGAATTTCAAATACTTATATTAATCGAATGCATTCTTTCAGCTTCCATTTCTATGACATGAGTTGAAATTTTTAATATAATTCTTGCACTGTGCACAATAAAAACGCTCATTGTTGACATAGCTAACCTTTATTTGGGAAAGAAAAGAATTTCAATTCTCTCGTCATGTTATCATCACACACGAGCTAAAACAAATTTTGTTAAAATGCTTATCTGCATTGTTGCACATGACTTCATTTACGAAAGTTGTGAATCCTTTTTTATCTCAATGTTTTTGCAACTTCGCGTTTTATTTTATTTTTTGTTACAGTCGAGCAGTTTTTGTTTTTTTTTATTCTCATTGTTCAGCAATCCAGGAAAACAAGATTACCACGAACCTACAAGACTACATAGAGCATCAGCTCAATTGCCATCATGCTTAAAGCATTTAAAAATTTAATGCTTTTAAATTGTGACACAACATGGGAATACGTAAACGGAAATTATTTCTATGAAATGCATGTGACATCAAATTTATGAAATCTGGGGGGATGAAGTCATAAATGCTTGAAATTGTTTTCATGATAGACTTAATATATAAATAAAATGAAAATCCTGCATTAACAAAGCTTACGAATACATAAAATGTAGCTTTTAATTACAACTTAAAACACAATTAACTTCATTAAGTGTTCAGTTATATTAAGAAAGTTTTACGACGACCAGAGCGACGGCAGTGGCAACATCAAAACAGCCTCATCAAAGACGTATAAGGGAAAGATCTAAAGCGAAAATAGAGTAAATGATAATAAAGTTACATTTAAAGGAGCTTTAATGATTCTTTCGTCTTCGTTCTGAGATAATTTTTGCTTCCATTTAACAAAACTTTATTACCTTAACGGTGCTTAAAGAAAGGAAACTTCTCGATTTCGAAAACAAAACTATCAAGCGTTGTGCCGTGAATATTTCCTTTGCATTTTAATTCTATCCTGATAACTTTGCCCCGACTATCCGAATGGAAATAAGAACTGTAACAAAAATTTGCCATTAGTATTCATCACCCCATACGTAAATATTGATTGAAAAGCGAATTTTAATGTTACAGCCGAAATTATCAGCTAACGATTGATGTTCATGCCATGGTAAATATTTTATATCAACCAATAACAAATGCAAAAATAATCGGTTTTAATACTTAAACCGCTTTTTGTTTATCTGACAAATATGAATCACGTTCAAAACAGCACATGATGAAATATTTAATTTGTAATCACCCACCATAAGACGATTACGTGGTTTTGAAACTCGGTTAGTGATTTTAAAGTGTTTCATCATCATTGTAGCAATCTGTAACTTTTCCCTTATCTGGATCACAGACTAATGTAACCAGAAAAGAGAATTTGGAAAATAAAATTTCTACTCATATTTATTGATCATTCATGGAAATGGTTAAAGAATCCAAAGCTTAACTAATAAATAAACATTGAAATGGTGAAAGAATGATTGATAGCACGTGGAGATGTTTTTGAATAGAAATAGCAAAAACATGAAGAAATCATTTCAAAGAAACTTTTTTCTTTCAGTAAGTATTTAATTCTGCTAATGCACTGAGACAGACATCACCTCGATTATCAGTTAAATGATGGCATGAAAGTTTTCAAAAAATAAAAAAGGTTCAAGGAACCGTTCACTAAATATTGTCATCTGTTTAATAGCGACACTTCATATCAATGCTGGAAACGATGCGCATGGCAAGTTGAAATGTTTTCACATGGCATGGAAATATTCAAACAGATTCGGAAGCTTTCCAGTATGTTGGAAATGTTTCATTCGTCTTCTAACAGCAAGAGCCTTAAAGGAATATTCCCATTAGACGATAACAAGTTTTCCTGATTAGACGCGTTTCAACCCCGGAGACGTTTGACTAGAATACTAAATCAAGTTTAATAAACTTCATAGAAAGTGATAAGAAAGTTTTAACTCTATTAGGCTGGGAAGTTTATGGCATTGTGAGATAAATAAGAAACAAGGAAATTTTGAATGTGAAAGTATGTGAGATTTATCTTAACCAATTTAAAGTGCTTTAAACGTATATGACGATGGTGAAGGTGCAATGAACAAATTATTTGAGCTAAATTAAAGTAACGACAAAAGCGAAAAAAGAAGACTTAAGAAATTAATTAAAGAAAGTCATCGAACATCAGATCCCTAAAATAATTGGAAGAATGCCAACTCAGATAAAAAGCTTTTAAATTTTCTAGAATAAAATGAAACAATGCAAAGTGCAGTTGAAGTTGAACATTCTCTAAAATGATTTTGCAACAAATCTTTTTCACTCTATCATTAAATATCTAATTTAAAATTTCTTAAACGTCTATTTTTTGGAATTGCGTCATCGAAGTAAATTTACTTCTATCGAATGGTTCACAAAACTCTTTTGAAGCGGAAAAGTAAAAGGCATGACTTGAGATAAGCAGAAAGGAGAAAAAAAGGATGTGAAACATCACGAACGACGAATGATGAGAGAACATAAAATCCATCACTCGAAAAAGTTGTTGGATTATTTTCTTATTCGGGACATGTTGAATGAGCAAAAAGAAAAAAAAACGAAGAGTGGGAAATGAAAAGCTTTTGACATAAAATAAACAGCGGCTATGTTAAGGGACTCATCCCTTTTGCATACATATTTGTATACATTACATAAAAATGTAAAATTAGATGCAATATTTTGAATTATTAAATGGATCTGGATCTTCGACAGCACAGAGCCTTTCTTGTTGTCTTTCTGCTTCCTTTACTCTGATGATAAACTCTTTCTTTTTATTCATTTTACTGAATAAGTACACATTCCGCTCTTCAACCCTCTTTTAAAAGACTCGAAAGATTCGCTTCTCATGTTTTTATATTCGCTATTCATTTCAATGAAAAAAAAAGGAGAAAAAAAGGCGATGGGTGGGATGGCTGTGCTTTTTCGTTGGCATCATTTTACATTACGATGATTGCGTGAAGCTGAGATTTTTGTGGCCCAGGGAGAGGCCCAGTACTTGCTCGGTGATACATATAAAAGAATAAAAGAAACCCTTTTCATTTAAAAGGATAATTACGTTGATACACTGCGATGCATATAAACTCGCTACTTTTCTGAAGCTTATTTTTCTCTTGAAATGCTAAACAAATATGTATCTGACTGTGGAAATTGTCGGAAGTGAATTAACATAAATCAGTGAATGACACGAGAACAAATAAATTAATCAAACTTATAATTAATTCTCTCCCCTTATTTATTTTTTTTATTTTCAAGTTTGCCGTTTGCATAATTAATTGTCACATGTCATAAATGCTGTTGAATTCAGATTGAAATTGACATGAAAAGATTAGAAGAGTGGAAAACCCATGAAAAGTGTTACAAATTAAGAAGTTATGGATGGAGGAATTATAATATAAACATGTAATGTGTTGTGAGTGTGTTTATACTAAAATCCAACATTTATAAAATGGATTACGGAAGCCACGTTTCCTTGGATTTATGGATTTTAATAATTTATATTTTAGGTAAGTCAATTTACATTTTCTAGACAAATTATATTCCTGACTTCCTTTTAATCTCTATGAAGTTCATAACTGAATAAACTTCCATGAATAAATATGTATGTGGAACAGAGTGTTAATAAATAATTTACTTATCTTCCTCAAAAGATTGAAGTCGATAAATGTTGCAATATGTATTAAAGATGCAAAACATTTCCCTACTAATGTTGTAAACATTTCATTAACAGAGATTGTCTCAAAGTTTGTGACATATAACAAACAAAGCAAGCCACTGATATGTCAGCATTTCATATAAATTGGCACCCCCGCAGCACATATCTCGTGATTGTCACAACTTTATGATATCTAATTACGAAACTTTATTCAAGAAAACTTTTGTTCAAGTTTATTAAAAATGCAACATCAGTTTTTTATCGTAAAACTTTATTATCATTTAAAAGCATCTCTTGACAGTTTGTAGACTTAAATATGTGCGACTGCAAATGCAAAAATATTCAAAGCAGTAAGAAAAAGCTTTGAATAGCAAATAAAATTGTCTCTTCACATAAATTTGAACACATGTGAGCATAAAATTATCAGAATATTTATCTTGCTTCTGCATGTTCGAATATATTAAACATTCATAGATATTTATTTACTTTTCCATTCTTGCATTAATATTAATTTTGACATCAATTGATGTTTGTGATATAGAATCTCGCTCATTTTCGTCCGTTTGATGATAAGCCCGAAGGTTATTTCTAAATCAATCTCAACTTGTTTGAAATTTCCTCATCATTGTTTACCAATTTATCCAATATTGGAAAATGGTTTAAAAATATTTCCTTAATTTGATGACTTGAATTTTCATGTCTCCTTGGGGATGTCTCAAACTCAAGAATTTTAAGAATGTAATGTCAATCCATCAATGTGCCATTATTTGAAATAAGGTAATGTAAAATGAGATAAAGAAAAGGGAACTCTCTTGACGCTCTTATAAAAATTAAATAGAATCCTAAAGTAAGTCAGAAGCAGAAGACTTCACAGTAAGTTAAGAAATGAAAAAGATGCTGAAAGCTGAAAAATGTCAAAAAAGAGAATGAAAAATTCGGATATAAGAAGAAAACTGTCGTGTTTCTTCATATTTAGTCAGAACCCACATGAAAACTGTTTATTTTGTTATCAAACAGATATAACGAATGGTGGTTTTCAAAGCACAGCAGACGAAAATACCGCAAGCGTGAACCTCACGACTACTTCATTTCGTAGCACATCAACGTCGTCTCCAATAACCAAAATAATAGCAGTCACGTCAAAAGCGACAAATTATGAGATTCTTAGTGATGATACCAGTAGTCAAGCATTGACGCAACCAACAATAATAAGTGAACCGTATTTCGATGCCCAAACGCCGAGAAACGTGACAGGACTTGTGGGTGAGAATGAAAATCGATTTTGGGGATAATTTCCAATTTTCTGTGCTTCTATAAACATGATGTGTGCTGAGAACCTCATGTTTGCTATTGCTACTCTTTATACCCTGACGAGTCATTCGTCGATAACTGAATCCGCAAAATTTTCCATTCACTCTAAAACAAACTTTTTTTCTTCTACTCGATGATGTCAATTTAGGAAAGTCGTCTTATTTGAGTTGTCGTGTCAGGAATTTGGGAAATAAAACCGTTAGTTGGATTCGTCATCGAGATATTCACATTCTCACCGTTGGCAGTTACACATACACAAGTGATCAGAGGTTTCAAGCGACACATCACAAAGAAAATGACGAATGGACGTTGCAGATTAAATGGGCACAAAAGCGTGATGGTGGAGGTGATTAAATTCTCTCATAAAATCCAAAGACATGTTAAGAATTTTCAGAAATAAGTTCTTAGAATGTCTGAGCTTTCTATTAAAAAGCAGAAAGAACTCTCGACAATAATCTGTCATGATTAAATGAAATATTTTATTTTCCTTGACAGTTTATGAATGTCAGATCTCAACGCAACCTGTTCGCAGTTATTTTGTAAATTTGAACATTGTCGGTGAGTCTGTTTTGTGTTTTGTCAAGCGATTTTATCATTCGAAAAATTTGTTTTCCATCATTCAGTTCCCACAGCGACAATATTGGGTGGACCGGACTTGCACTTCGACAAAGGTGCGTGAAGCGGAATAAAAATTTTGTTTTAATGTAAAAACTTTTTCTCATTTCACTTGCTTACCTGAAGGTTCGACAATAAATTTGACGTGCACTATCAAATATAGTCCCGAGCCACCAGCTTATATATTTTGGTATCATCATGATGAGGTAATTAAATTTTTCTCAGAAAACTCTCAGTTAATATTTGTTTCATATTATAACGAGCATGCTGAATGAATTGAATGTCGCGTGTATACGTAATGAAATTTTAATTCCCACGCTTTTCATGGTATTTTTAAATGAACAAAATGAAAGGAAAAATTCCCTGAAACATTCGAAAAGCTTAATGTACTTACGATGACAACAAATAATAGACATTAACAATTTGTTATTTCGATAATGCACAATTTTAATTCAAATTTTGCTCTCATTTTACCGAAATTAATTACGTCATGTACCTTGAAGCGATATTTTACAGTACAACAATTGGGAGAGTTTCATGTGAATAATTTAATTGAAAATGTTTCACTTTTTTTCAAAATACAAACAAGTCATTTTTTTTTTTGATAAGAATAGAACATGGCTATAAACAACGTGTAGCTTGCTGTGTATGTCATTCCCAGTCCTAAAAGTCATTCAAAACAATTATTCATTCTACATGCATCCATTAAAAAGCTCAATTTACAATTTTCTGAATCTCCTTCAACGAAAAAAAATTAAAATATGAATTAAATGTTATTACAGGTGATTAGTTATGATAGTCAACGAGGCGGTGTAAGTGTAATTACCGAGAAGGGAGACATCACGACCTCTTATTTGCTCATTCAGAATGCTGATTTAGCTGATTCCGGCCGCTACTCATGTTCACCATCCAACGCTGATGTTGCGAGCGTTCGTGTGCACGTTTTGAATGGTAATCTCAGACTTATATTCGTTTTATTCTTTTTTTTTCGGTTTCAAAACGGAAAAGAATCCTCGCAGATTACGAAGGATTATGCGATCCCGTTTCCATTTTTTTGTTCGTCCTTTCCTGAAAAGTATTTCTCGATTCGCTCGAATTTTACGGTCTTATGTAACAGGAAATGTTTTCCTTGAAGATGACGCGATAATTTCATTTAAGATAACAAAATTTGTGCACCTTTGTTTGTTAAATCTTGAACCTTTAATTTATTCCTTTCTAATCGATAAATGCTAAGAAACAATTGCTTGAATAAAATATAAAGCAGCTCTCAAATATCTTATTGATAATCCCACTTACTGTAAAGGAATTGAATTGGTGAAAGTGTCGAGTAAATTTTATTTTTGAAATTTAAATACTCCCCCATGGAACGAACGCCTACAACGTATGTAAATATTTATGAAGAAACATCCGCGCTTTAATTTCAATTGAAAAGTTATCATCATCTTTCATGAATTAAACATGAGGTAGTAATGATTTAAAACAATCAGTTCGCGCTTTAATTTCAGGTGAACATCCTGAGGCAATGCAAACGGGTTCATGTGGAAAATCTCCAAGCTATTACATAATAATAAGTCTCATGTTATTAATAATATTATCCAACATCGCACACAAAGAGTTGTTTCTCTCTTTGCCTAAATCATCGCTGGAGTTGAAACCATCGCATCGTTACTCGCATGCTCAAAAATCATCCACAATATCACCAAGAAAATATGGTTTGTCATCAACAGCATTTCTCATTAATTTTAAATTAGAATCTACAGAAGGTGTTGGCAAACAGTATCAAAGTATATTCACTCATCCAGAGAGCTGACTCACAAAGGTTCATAAACAATGTTGGAGGAATGATTCTAGCTAGTCGTCTACAGTGAAGAAATTCATGAGTAGATTTTTCATTTTGTAATTGAAAGCTCACGATGAGAAAAAGCGAATCATATACAAAAGTAGGAGGCGAATCATTTGTTGAAAAGTTGTGAAAAGCAACAAAGCAAAACAATAAATCAAAAGCAAAGAAAAGGCAAAACAAGACATGACGAGATGATACAAAAACTTTCGAGTAGATAGTGAATGAAACTCATTTTTAAAACCATTAAATTTAATGAAAATTTTCTTTTTTACTTTCCAAAAATTTTTCCCATGATAACATTTTTAACAATTCTTGAGAAGATAATCAAAAAAGAAACTTACCAAGACGAATGAAACTTATCTTTCTCATTTAGAGAAATTTCTTTTCCCTTTTCTTTTACCACAAACTGATTCTGCAATAAAAAGATTATTTGAGTTTACTGAAGTAGCTTTTGGACATCTCATTGGGCTTTTGTTTGATTTTCATTCCCAAAGTGAATTGAAAGTTGTTTGAGGAAGAGAAAAGCTTTTCATATAATCACATTCTAATTTAAGTTTGATAAAACTTTAAATTATCAAACTATGATGAAAGTTTTCTCTCTTTTACGATTGGAAAAAGCTTGGAGGAAGTTTGTCAGTTATGTCACTAATTTAATTAGTGATTGGATAATCTTTTTAAAGGATTGAGAAAGAAAGAACTGATCAAAGCGAGTTATTTTTATTTGAAAAGCAATAAAAGGAATTAAGGGAAAGTGACTTAACTTCTAAAGTTCCCTAAATTTTTTTATTTCCTCTATTAAATGCGGATACCTTGCTACAGTTTTTTTTGTTTATTTTATAGTATTGCGTTGACTCCACTAGGAAAACATCAAATTGAATTTATAAAAAGTCGGCCCCAACAATAAATATCGTGCAAAAGCCCGATATTTAAAACTCCGGCAGTTATAGAATTTCTAGACGAACAGTATTAGTAAAAATCTAACTCCAATAAGGGGCCACTTTGTATAATGTTTCCACCTTCGATATTCCAGAAACTTTTTACACAAAGTGGCCCCTTATTGGAGTTAGATTTTTACTAATACTGTTCGTCTAGAAATTCTATAACTGCCGGAGTTTTAAATATCGGGCTTTTGCACGATATTTATTGTTGGGGCCGACTTTCGGTAACAGACTTTTTTCTTCACAATGTTTTTTTTTTTTCGCTGGCATGTTTTTTTTTTTTTGCTGGGGA